ATATATATATACATTCACCTACACTGACACCTAGGGGCAATTTAGTGTGTCCACTTGGCCTGACTCATTGTCTTCGGACTGTGGGTGGAAACCCATACAGACATGGGGGGGGGGACATGCAAACCCCACACAGAAAGGACAATATACTGTTATTAGTTGGGTTCTAAAGAAGTTCCTAAAAATCGTTCCTGAGATGATGTAGACTAAAATATTGACAAGTAATGACAAACCATAAATATGGGCCAGTTTAAAAAAAAAATCATTATGATGTCATCAACTTAATGGCTTTGATATATGTCTGATGTTAGCACACTGGAAGTAGTATAGTATAATTAACTGTTAATGAAGTTAACAGTGTTAACTGTGTTAACTGTGTTAATGAAGTGCAAACCTTTTCACATAGAATCATTAGTGATTGCTATTTTTATAATGGTATTGCTGTTTTTATCTGGTGGTATATAGTGTCCAGTGTAAAATCTTTCTCCTACTGGCCCCCTGGGCCAGTGAATCAGAGTTTTACTGGCCCTTTGTATATTTTTAGGGCCTAAAAGAGAAAAAAAAACCTTTCTATAAATCTGTTAATTTATTAATCACATATGTGTACTCCGTGATGATTAGCCCAAACAACATAACTGACTCATTTTCCTCCTAGAACATTTTAAAGGATTTAATATTAACTTTGAATTAATGTTTATGCTTGGATGTTCTAAATTAGTTTAGATAAGGACTTTTATTTTGAGGGCACTAACATGGTAGGAGTAGTGGTGGGGAGGAAAGCTGTGTGTGTTTTAGCTTAGCTGGCTAACACTTTGGTCACTGGGAGTCAACAGTGAGTGTGCGCCTGTTCTTTTGGTTTTGCTGCTCTGGTGAATTCTTCAGCAAAGCCGAGTTTTGGACCGGAACCTCGAGTCGTCTAAGTTTCTCCTGAGATCCCTCAACGTCACAGTATCTATACATTCGGTGACAACTGTGGATCTTTCACTGAAAGCTCCTTCTCATGCGCTACACACTCAAAAAAGTGGGGATGTTCAAAATTAGAGTGAAAGGTTTTGTAGAATATTCAAGCAACATTATTCCATAATAAGGTGAATTTAGAACCATTTGAAATAGACGAATCCTCATACACTCTAAACTTGTTTTAGGGCCACTGCTAATAAAAATAAAAATAGTAGACTCGAGAATAAAGTCGTAGTATTTCGAGAATAAAGTCATAATATTTCAAGAAAAAAGTCATACTATTTTGAGAAAAAAAAGTTGTAATATTTCAAGAGGAAAAGTCGTAGAATTACAACATTAAAGTGGCATTAATGCCAGGAAGGATCACAAAGGCTTTGCAAAGGGAAGGCAGCACCTCCTCGTGTTAAAATGAGGGAGTTGAGGAGTTGGTGGAGTTATACTTTCATATAAGACTTTCATATGAGACTTAGAAAGAAAGTCTCCCTGTCTCTCCTGGTACATCAGCACCAGCCTGTTATTAGTATAAGAACCAGCTGAAACGGCTGAGCAGGAAACTGTGTTTATTCAGAATAAGGAGCCAGATGGAGGAAACTATCTGTCTGTTTTGCTGAAGGAGAATCTCAGGCAGGGTCGTCTACACTGCTGTCGGGGCTACATCTCCGCGCCATTCAAAGAGGGCATGAAGTTTCACAGATAGTGAGAATGATAATCAAAATGATCGATCCACAAGCAGACAGGAGTGAGTGGGACTCTGGCGCCAGTACAGCAACCGAGACCCCAACGCGTTATGGCAGCCCCCCTACCGTTAGCCCACTTTATCCTTCAAATTTTTTCTCAAAATATTATGACTTTATTCTCAAAATATTGCAACTTTATTCTCGAAGTCTACTGTTTTCATTTTTAATTAACAGTTCTTTGCAGTGTTATTTTTGGAGGAGGTAGGCCTGATTAGGTTTTTAATAGGAATTGGCTTGTTCCTGTAGGACACCTTTAGATCTCATTAGGAAACCATCAGAGGCATCTGGAATCGGTCCCAGAACACCTGTTAAACCATTAGAATCCTTTACACTGTGATATCAGCCCTTCAGGAAAACACAGAATACCATTAGTGACTATAGGGCACCAAACTTTTAAGGTTATAAGACCTTTGGTGACCACAAAATTATTTCCATCCTCTTTCAGAATGAGAAACTTTGGTGTTAGTCTGTACAAAAGTGGAAACAGCTAAAATTCAAATAAGATACTGCTATCTTTATTTTTTTGTTTCCCTTCGATTTCTAAGCTAAGTGCATTATAAAGTTATCAGCATCCATGCAATCAATTCTTAAGGCGCAGATTTAACTTAATGTAGTTTTTAATATATGCACTCTCTGTGAAGAAGACCTAGAATCATTAGAACATCTGTTTTACTCAAGCTGTCTACAAGGTTTTGCAAAGATCTGGACATACGAATGATCGGACGGAGTATAAATTCATTAAATATGGCATTTTCATTCTTAAGGAAATATTACAATTTTGGCTAAATATTTCATACATGAATGCAGAATTTTTGGAAATTCTCCCAGTTGGTTAGCATTCTCTTTTCATTTTAAAAAATGAATGCCTGCTTTCTTCCCTCACAAACTGAGGGGATTCAATTCCAACACGAATTGAATCAATTGTTGCTGTGGTTTATTAAGGGTCCTTTTTGAAATGGATTTGTAAAAGCCTCTTTCACGCTGCTTGAAACTACTTGAATTTTTATCAAAACTTATCAACGTTCTATTAATCTCACCTTTGATCCAGGAATACCAGGTCCACTTTCTTTTTAGATGTCGATCCAAAACTCAGAACTCAGCACAACTCGTACAACTCATTTCAAATGCATTCATATACAATGAAAATTCAAAAGTACATATAAACAGAGCTGTTTAAACTTTCTGACTTGAAACAAAAACGTCGTGATGATGCAGTGAATCAGTGTCAAACTGGGGACCTTCCAGGCCAAAGTGCTGTGGAGATCAGTGTTTACCTCATCTAACGCTCTCAATTCAGTTCATGAAGGCCTGGCTAATTAGCTGATGAGCTGAATCAGGTGTGCTTAATGAGGCAGTGAGCTGAAGTCTGCAGAGTTCTGGCCCACGAGGACTGGAGCCTGACACATGTGCACTAAATGAAATTGAGTTGAAGTTGTGCAGTCGTATGTTTGTTGATTTGACCATAGGAAGTTTGTTGAAGTGACCATAAGTTAACACATTCTCTACAGAAAACACACTTCTGCACATTGTAATACATAGATGCTGTTTATTTGCTGAATTTAACATACTGGGGAAAAACGTGGCCTGTGAAAAAGTTATGGCACATTTTATATTTTATGTCATTTTATATCTTTATCTTTTTCCAATATGTCAGCAAATTAATAGAAATTGTATATTAAATTCTACAGAAAAGTGTCATATTTAGATATGTTTACTGTAGAGGATATGTTAACGTATTTTTACTAAGAAGATTAACAATGCATGTCATTTGACCTGGGGTGTTCAGACTTTTGTATATGACTCTATATACTAGACCAGGGGTCGACAACAAGTGGCTCTTTTAATGCCCTCTTGTGGCTCCACAGTAGAATTAGATTTTTAGGTAAAAATAAAATAATCATCATTTGCAGTAACATAATGTTTTGCTGAGCCTTGTAACACAAAGGTCAAACAATAAATGGTTCTAAATGCTGGAGTTAATTCATAAATGGTCTTAAACGCTGCTAATTCACCCTTTAACACTAAAGGTTAGTGCACGGTCTGCTGGTCACATAGCAACGTAGACAACAATCTCGCCGTTACATTCTGGTGCCTCAGGCACCATTTAAGGTGGAGCAAGAAAATTAGAATAAGAAGCTGGCGAATGAGAAGCGACTTTAGCCTTGTAAAAAGTAGATTGTTGAGAAACATTTTACAAGAAACTGTTCTACTGTTGCAGAAAAGTTTCCCGCCAGAGATGTGAGAAAAGCAGCTGTAGCTAAGCTAAAGCTTAAAGCAGAGCAAAGTAAGTCTGCGTTTTCATTGATACTATATTTGTTAGTCTACACTAAGTCATTAGCACATACTGAGACATATTTACAGCCAAGATGGTAAAATCTTACTTGAAATGAACATAAAATGTTGTGGCTCCCAAAGTGGTTAGATTTTTGTTGAAAGGACAAAATGGCTCTTCTTAGCATTTGGATTTGTGAATTTATTGCCAATTATAAGCTTTTAAATCTTTTTTATCACTCAAGTAATTAAGAAATAATGTAAGTTTGCATTAGTTTATATTTCTAAGAAATATGTCTGTAGATAAAAGGCAGATTTTTCAGTGGAATTTGAAGGGACTTAGGCGTTCATGTAATACAGTAACTGTCTAATATAAAACCGAACTCCACACCAGCGCGTAGTCTTTACTGTTTTATTTCACACTGATAAATGGTGTCCAACTGTAAATTATTTCCATCTACAGCACAGTGCTTTAGTGAAACTGCTGAAATAAAGTCTTTACTACGTTGTTATACAAACAAAAACCATGGTTAAATGTCCTGTTCCAACATTGTGAGTCTATTTCAAACTCATGAGAAATAAATCGAGGATTATAAAGACTAGATTTTCACATTAACTGCTAAAACTGTAGAACTACAGAGATGCATGTGTAGCATTAGAGCAGTACATTCAGCACTGATTTGTGTTCAGCTTAAATTTCATCACTGGAAATAAAGGTGTAAGTGTGGCACAAAGAAAGAGAAAAACATTCTGGATATTTGTTGAAAACAGTGAACCTAATGGACATATTTCTTTACACAGGTTTCTCCAAAATCTGATCTGAAATTTTTAAATATTAAAAAGTTTTTCAAATTCCGTGTCCTCTGTCCTAATTCATTAAGATGTTTTGCATTCTGCAATTCAGCTCCACATAGTTTTCACATCATTATTTTTTATTACAGTTTACATGATTTAACTTATGGACCATTCATTGGGTGCGGGAGGTTGGGCGAGGTGGGGGTGTCAATCATGGGACAAACTCAAGCAGCGGTCAGGTTAAAGGTCACTCTCTCCGTAGAGGGCGGTGGAGAAGGCGGTATAGTCCAGGGCTCCCGGGACGGCCCCAGGACCGGTGTAGGGCGGCATTCTGGAGATGCAGTACTCAGCCTGGTCCCGGGGCAGCTCTCTCCTCAGCTCATCTATCAGGATATATGGCTGGAGGAAAAAGAAACGACAGCAAAAATACTGTTGATTACAGCTCTCAATGTCTGTACATCCACCACATGTTCAATATCTGCTACCAGCCAATATGAATATTTGTGACTGATATGGATTAATATCAATGATATTGAAAAAAGAATGTCAAGTTTTGTTGATTTTCTAAGTGGAAATATGTTTAAACATCCTCTACAGAGAACACAGTTAATTTGGCATAAATTTTACTGCACAATTTTTATTTACATTTATAATTTATGGTCCATAATTAAAGAAATTGTAATAAAATTATATGAGAATTAAGCGCATAAACAGTAATTGTATATTATAAGGTGCAGAAGTGTGTTAACAACCTTTGGAGGGTGTGTTTACTTATTTATGCTTAGAAAATCAACAAAACATGGAACCAGAGCTGCCCAAAGTTTTGCACATGACTGTATTATAACCATTACCTACACATTATTGGTGTAATATTATTGACAGTACTGACTCCAAGCTTTTGCAGTATACGTGAAGCAAATTTTGTAAAACAGTATTACACACAGACACACACTCACCTTGTCTGCAGCAAGGATCCTGAAGGAAGCGACGACCTGCTCGGACGTGTCAGTGTCCGCGGTCTCTCTGGTCATGAAGTCGATGAAAGACTGGAAAGTCACGACCCCCGTCGCGTTCGGGTCAACCAGCATCATGATCCGGGCAAACTCCACCTCGCCCTGACACACACACACACAGATACACACACACACACACACACACACACACACACACACAGATACACACACACACACACACACACAGATATACATTAGAGATTAATTTTGTGTTCAAAATATCAATATGGCACTCTATCATGGTCAATTTACTTCTACACAGTGTGTGTATGTGTGAGTGAAACATACTGTGTTCAAGTCTGAGAGAGCGACATTTGACAGCATTCAGCGTGTGGTAAACGTGTCTAATTGTTAGTGTTTACTCTTTTATTCTAAGTTGGACGTTTTGGCTCATGTTATGGTAGGGAAGAGCCAAAACACGTCCACCTTATAATAAAAGGAAACGGAAAACTTAGTTTAGTTTTTTGTTGTGTAGGGGCGTCTGTGTACTCCTTCAGTTTCAGCTTAGTCAGGCTAGAGGTGGGTGATACGGCAAAAATATAATATTGCGATACTTAAAGAAATTTGCACGATACACAACTGGCCACAATATTTTTCAGACATCGGATCAGGAACAGAAAAAAGAACCAGGAGTGGTACATTTTAAAAAATACTATCAAAAACACTTTTTTTTTGTATTCAGTAATTTGCACACTGTGTTGCACTAAATCAAATTAAATCAAGCTAATTTTGTCCTCTTTAGAATGAAACCTGCAGTTGGTCAGTGTTCTACAAGCACTAATAATATCCACGATATATTCAGAAAAGCATATTGTATTGTACTGTGACATAATTTATCACAATAATGATATATATTGTCATATTGCCCAGCCTACATCAGGAGATTATGTAATAACTGTAACAGACCTACTTTAATAACTGTTGTTAAGGCCTTTAGAATCCTTGAGCTAGTTTCACATTCACAGACGTGGGTTAGTTCACAGCTGTAGTGACTTATCCGTTTGTAGCTGCTGCGATTAGTGCTTAGCCGTTAGCATTTGGGGTATGTCTTTGTAGAGCTTGTTGTAGCGCTGTTATAAAGGATGATGTTACTTTGCTATATGTGATCTGTGGCAAAACCACCAACGAACCTGAGTTCACTGCATCTTTTGAGTTTTATTTGCAATGTTGATAATCGTGTAATAGTGATAAATTAAAAAAAAAAAGTTTCCTTTGGGGACTATTTTGCCCTGCATGTACCTCTCCACCATGAATAGACGTTATAAAACACATTTTAGGCTAAAACTTTCCCATAAAACAATGTCTCAGACATCAGGCGTTTAGAGCCACTGAACTCAGATTAGGGCTGAATGACTTGGGGGAAATATGGAATTGTGATTTTGCTGACCAATATCGTGATTTAAATGCAGTAATGTTTTTTTTGCCCAAGAAGAGCAGAACATCCACTTCATCAGTGTAATGTTGGACCTTACATTTACAGCAGACGCTCTTATCCAGAGCGACTTACAATTTGATCATTTTACACAGGTAGGCGAAGGTAGTGTTAGGAGTCTTGCCCAAGGATTCTTATTGGTATAGTGCAGGGTGCTTACCCAGGTGGGGTTTGAACCCCAGTCTACAGCATAGAAGGCAGAGGTGTTACACACTGCACTATACCAACCACAACCACACACTTTTTCTGGGATGAAGTTTGAACGCTGAGTGCATCAGACTACCAGTTAGTTGTGATGGTTGTGATGTCACATATACAGAACATGGGTGTTTTGCTGCTTCTGACTGGTCTAAAGGCCTCAGCAGACTCTTGCGGAGACGGTGTTCGCCTGGCTTCAGCAAACAAAGTGATGTAATAGCGGAGAACACGTACAACCGCAGACGTTGCACGGAGGCTTAGTTTGCCTTGTTGCACACATGGCAGCAGGGTGAACTCTGTGGATGAAGACACTACGCGTGAAAGCCTCCGATTGGTCATTAAAAAAGAGGCGTGCCATGAAACAAAGATGGACAACTTTGAGAAGATTCAGCTTTGGCAGACACACTAATGTTTCACTGTGAAACATTTGTGAAATAAACAATGAATATTTCCTAAATGTAGGATGTTAAGTCTGTTATTCAGTAATACTAACTAGTACTTAGCACCAAAACATACAGGTTATCTTATATTTAGGTTCACAAGAGGACGAGGCTGAAGTTGGCTTTCTCTTCAACAGCTTCTTGTTCAATTTTCCCGCTCCACCTTAAATGGTGGCAGCATTATGAACCCAAACGTCACCATAGTTAGAACTGTGAAAGAACCGTTTTCCAGCAGTCATGAAACTTTTCATAAAATGTCATAGCGTCACGTGGAGCATCCGCGACAGGCGACACGTAACCGCAGAAAGCATGCGGCTTCGCACAACCGTCAAGAATTTTGTTTCGCAAGACGTATGCTGAGGCCTATACTCATCTTCAGGCAGCTTACAAACTCTGTGTTATTAGTTTACATTTTTTTTCCATTTAAAACTTATGACAACATTGTTGATAATGTATTATATATTATAAACTGCAGCTCTTGCGATTTGAAAATTGTATTCAAATTGCGCTTTCGATACAAAAACGATTAATCTTTCAGCTCAGCATATGTCTGGTTCCTATCACCACCACTGTGAACAACTAAGTTTCTCTAGAATGGAGTACTTTGCATCAAAACAACCTGACTTTATTTGCAAGGTAATGATTGAATTATGTAGAAATTTTGAAAAATCAGTGGAATTCCCCTTTAAGTCACGTGTGTCCAAACGTTTGACTGGCTAGTAAACAAATTCCCCCACTAGGTCTCATTTGTGAGCAGAAACCGCATTATCTAGTGAAATACTCCACTGAACATATCTAAATAGTAGTAGTAGTAGGCCCTGTTAGACTGGACTGTGGCAGTCAGCCCCTTACCAGGTCGTAGCCCATGGAGATGAGACAGGCCCTAAAGTCATCGGTGTCCATCGCTCCGTTCTTCTTCTGTACCGTCAGGGTCAAAGGGCACACATTTATGCACACAGGGGTACATATGCAGAGATAGACATGAACAGAAACACATAAACACCAAATCACAGAAAACAGAACGTATAAATTAACCAATTTCAACACAATAATTCCTGAAGGCATTAGCCATTAATCATGAAAGCTACTGTAATTAAAGCTGCACATGTTAACTGTACTAACATTCTAACGCAGCACAATAACCTAGTAAATGATGGGCCTTTCAATAATGCAGTCAGAAAACTTGAATAAACATTTCTAAAATGTGACGGCTGTACAGACAACTATACTCTTGGTAATCTGTACTACAACTGTTTATTAACTGCAATTAAACCATAAAGAATAAAGAAATAAATTGCAAAATATTTCTCTCACATACAAATATTACATGCCCATATAAAAAGTTATAAAAATAAGAATGTGATTATGTGCGATGATCAATATTATTTGGTAGAATTATTTCTTAGTCTTAGCTATGGATAAAATTTACTGCAATATTATCGTTTACTCTTTCAGTCGGTATTCAAAACTGTTTTTGGTTTGAGCTGAACTTGCGTCTTTGGGAATTGTGTGAAATTGTAAAAATTTCACTGACCACGTTTACATGCAGCCTAATAATCCGTTAATACTCCAACTAATAACTCAATTGGAATAGAATATGTCCATGTAAACACCTCAATCAGAATAGACTGGTCTGATTGAGGCCATTCGGAATATAATTTATATCCGACTAAACGAGGTGGGTAATCCTGTCAATAATCCATTAAATAGAAGAATAATAACCATGTTAACGCCTGTATCTGATTACATTCCCAATCAGAAAGTTTAAGTATGTTCTGATCATGTGCATCGTGTCATAGTGAAAGTTTACTGCGTTCAACATGGCGGAGCAGAAACTGGTCTGCAGAGGAGACGAAGTTTATGCTCTGATCTTTAAAAGACGGCGGTGGGACGGGAGTCCAGCTTATGTGTCTCAGAACATGACGTCTTCCTCTCTGCCTTCTTTAATAAGGACATGTGAAGGTTTTCCTGAGTCTGACATCATTTTAAGGTAATTAAAAACACAAACACTGCTCACTGCTGCTCATCTCACTCTGACTGGACTCACGTGATGCTGGTTGTCATGGTAACGTCTACACTAAGCGGTTCTCTACGTATGCACATCATTTTGGAACAGATTGCTTGTAGTGAGCATGTAAACTGAGAGCGTCCTGCTTGATTAGTAACTGTATGATCTGAACTGGTGAACGTGTCTTCTTAGCTACATGTATCAAACCATGATTGTGGCATTTCTGTAACAGTTTTTCTGTTCAGTTTTTTTACTGCCATCATCAAAGTTGAAAATAAATAGGTAAATAGGTCTGATGAACTCTGAAGTTCTGAAGCGTTAAACAATGCACAGTCAGTATTTACTATCAGCATGAGTAAATCAGAATGTGCTTCATAATAATAAAGTATTTTGAGCTTTGAGAGGGAAGCTCCTATAATAATAACGTCGCATATGCGCAAAAGAGGAGCTCCGCTCCCTTTCCTCTTATTATAGGTGCTAAAAAGCCTTAGAAAATCAGAACAGTCACTTTTGCAACGGCACAAAATATTAGTAAATCTGAACTTCAAAATACGGGTTTATTTCTCAGTTATAAATATTGAGACCTCACTTATGAGCTGTAGTTTGTTGTAGTTGTAGTTCTTGAATTTGTAGTTGTAGTAGGGCTTAAAGACTGATCTGAGCACAGTACCCGGTCGAAGTGGTTAAAGGAGGAGCGGAACTCATTCATCTGCTCCTGGCTGATGCCTTTAGCGTCGCGGGTCAGAATCTGAGTCTCGATGTCGTTGATGGTGCGAGCGACGGTCGTCAGGAGCAGCTCCCAACCAACACGGATATGCTGGAGAGAGAGAAACATGGACGGACAGATGTATGGATGAAAGATAAGCACAAAAAAGGTAGTATAGTGTAAACAATCCATCCATTCACCAATCATATGTATTTTAATGTGTACCTCCATGGTGTAGTTGGTGTGTTTGTTGTCAAATATGAGGGACTCCTGGATGAGCTGGTGGTCTCCCTCTAGTTTGTCGATGTTGGGTTTGTAGCTGACGATCACATGCTCGTACTGCTTCAGCTGAGTCATCTGATCCTCTAAAGTACCTCCGATCTCTAGAGAGCAGCGTCCAATCTCCTGTCATATATCATGGACAAAGTACCAGTCAATTTCTATTCACACATAACCAGAGCTGAGCACCTCTGCTCTAGTTCCACCTTAAGACACAGGCAGGGATGGGGAAGGTGTTTTGAGCTGGGAGCGTTGAAATTCTAAGAAGTTGGCTGACATCAGTGCTGCAACATCATATAAAAACAATACAGCAAGTTCTTCAGTCATTTATAGGCTAGAGTACACAACATTTATGCACATTACAATATGCTACATTACATTACACACATTATGCTACAGTGCATGCTGGGGATTGTAGTGCAGTACATTGTCAAACGAGCTAATATAAATAAAAAGTGTAAATAATTTCACAGGCCAGATAAGATTCTGCTACGGGCCTGATTTTTGTTTGACACATGGGATTTAAAGTCTATAATCAATTGGTTTTATTTAGCATAGTACTTTGAATCATGGAATCAACCATTTTATAAGCCAAATATGCTGATGTTCAACGCCAATTTATTATTATTTTTAATCCACTGTAAGCCAAATGTCATGTTGCTTTTACTCAGCACTTTCACTATATTACCATTTAAAGCCACTATAGCTAATAACTTAGTGACTGTTTTCTAGCTCAGTGGTGCCTGGCCCTCAGGGGCCCCCAGACAGTGGACCGTCAAATATGTGGACCGTCTGGGGGGCCCTGAGGACTGGGTTTAGAACCACTGTTCTAGCTAATGCTAAAGCTTCATCCTTGAGGCTTTTTAAATAACCTGTAAGTGTTAAAGACAAATTTGGATTCCATAATTAGTTTTTATTGGACATATTAACTGAATATTTGTTCATTTGTGTAAAAATGTAATTCAGTAAAAAATAATACATTGCTTTCTGGCCAAATTCTGTGAGCAGGACAACCATATGCAGTTGGCAGCAAATTTCTTGCATACCTGTACTTATATTAGTAGTTATATTAACACATGCTGAGTATCCTCAGACAGAAGTGATATGTAGGGTCACGTAAGCCCCCTACCTCCATCCTGGTCTGTATCCAGGGCCCGATAAGGTTGGCCTGAGCAGCAAACTGCCGCCGCAGCCTCTCGTTACCGTGCTGCCGCGCTAACTCCTCCTGCAGAGCGCCATCTCTCTGAGGAACCAGCTTCTTCACCTACAAACACATAGACAGAGCACAGAATAAAACCACACACAGCCACACAGACATTTATGAATGAACAAATGTGTGCAGAAATCATCCAAATCTTGAAACAAGTCAAATAAATAAACAATTCATGAAATGATCCTCATGATCAGAGGAGGTCACGGTTCAGGACTGCATAAAAAATCGACTAATATGTGTCGGAGGAAAAAAGGTACAATATGAAAGTTGTTCAGCAAACAGAAATGTTAAAGAAAAAGTTAAAACAAGGGCAAAAAAAGAGTATAAATTTTTATAATTTTATACAATTTTATACAATGTTATATGATATTACATTCAGGCAGGCTCTGTGTGTGTGTGTGTGTGTGTGTGTGTGTGTGTGTGTGTGTGCGCCCCACCTTTTCCCACTTGCTCAGGATCTCCTCAGGGCTGATGGTGCTGTAGGGGTTGGTGAGGTTGCCATGAATACCGTAACTGTGGAAGATCTTCTGCACTTCCTGCTGGATGCCCAGTATGGCCTGCCTTTCTGCGTCCGCTTCTGGCAGAGTGGACTTAAACTGCTCATGAGCCGCCAATAGACTCTAATCACAGAGAGAAAGAGAGAGAGAGAGAGAGAGAGAGAGAGAAAGAGAGAGAGAGAGAGAGATGCAAATAAAGATGAGAGAACGTTTAGAAACCTTCTTGGAATTTTTACTTACTATGTTGAAATAATAATAATGACTTATTTTCTCCAAATTTTGACTTTTTATGTCAATATAATCACATATGTTTATTAGAATTTTGACCTACTATGTCAAAACAATGACTTATTTTTACAAAATATTGACCTAATATGTTGAAGTAATCACTTATCTTTCCAAAATAACAACTTTCTTTCTTGAAATTTATGAACTCATTATTTCAACATGTGTGTTAGACTATTGTCCTAATAACTTAAAATCTCAAAATCAAAATATTGAGAAAATTATTATTTTAAAACACTCAGTTAACATTTTCAGAAAATTTGTGATTATTTTAATATACTAAGCCAACATTTTTAGAAAATAAATCATTATTTTGAGATACTAAGTCAAACTTTTTGACATGTTTTCTGAATGCTGCCATTACCTGGCGGGAACAGGCTTTCTGTACACTCTACCATTCAAAGGTATTTGGGGAACAAAAATGTAACTAATATACAATAATAATACACTGTAAATATCTATTAGTGTGCATGTGTGTCTGTACCTGGACCTCCTCGATGGTGTGCACTATGAACATGTCCTGCAGGTCCTCCATGGCTCCCTCCAGCCAGCTGTTGAAGGGAGCTGATCTCTTCGCATACTCGAGGAACAGCTGCTCCACCGTCTCCAGCAGCTTCTCGGTCCTCTAATAACACACAGACAGGAACATGGACACACTTCCACATCAGTGTGTGAGAGATAACAGGCACTTACTGCACTTATTATAGTTATGGAAACATAAGAGATCAGCTGAATAAATAAATAAATTATTTTATGGATACAGCCGTTTAAATTAATAGTCTGGCAAAAAATCTGAAACAAGCCTGGTGGTGGAAGTTTATACTCCCTCCACATGTCTGTAAAGTGCTAACTGGTGGTGTATGAGCTTCCACCACTTGTTAGCAACATTAGCCTTGTAGCTCCAGCACCAAACTAAAGACGCAAACTTGAGATACCAAATATGTTTTGGCTAACAGACTAAATTTGTGGTAAAGAGATAATTATGTAAATTGTTGTTATTTTCTTGGTTGATTTGTTATTTTTATTGTTATCACCAAAAAATGTATTGGTATCATTTATTTGATATATTTTTAATTATTTTACTATTTTATCGTTACTTGCATTGTTTTATATTTTATATTTAATGTTTTATATTTTATCTTTTTCTCACCCTACTTAGTTATTTTATTTTATTTATTTATTTTTCTTACTAAATTTGTAAATAGTTTTATTTAGTTGTTTCGAATTGTTAATCTTATTTGTCTTAAAGTTACTAATTTTTATTTGTCTTATGCACAAATAATATATTTTTTGGTCTTATTTATTTAGTTTTACTACCATAAATTTATATTTTCTCTTTTCAATCCTTTGGGTTGGTATAATTCTTTTGTATAATGCTTTTTTTGTATAATGCTTTGTATGAGGCTACATTGTAAGTGAGGGTCACCCTCAAAAAGAAAGCTGACTGACTGACTGACTGACTGACTGATTGATTGAGTGATTGATTGATTGATTGATCGATTGATTAAAGAGCCCATATCATGGATAGATATATAAACTTTTTTTACATTCATTATTTTTGTGATGTCACACACACACACACACACACATACACACACACACACACACACACACACACACACACACACACATCATTCTGCCTACAGCAGTTTCAGCTACACCTATTCATGCTGAAGTCATAAGAAGTGGTTCAGCCAATGCTTTGTAAATGAGGCACAAAGTAGGACAGCCCCTCAGAACAGAGGTCATTTATTTATGTCAGTCTTAAGGGCAACAAAAACAGCCTCTTTAATTCTAAAAGGTTGTAAAATGGTCACATAAAAAGAATTATGATTGGTTCATAAAACCACTCAAATGTTATATGTAAATAAAAGAAATATGGGCCCTTTAACGTCACACATAACCAGTTTACATCACACACACTGAGTACCTCCAGTGCCTCTCTGCGTTTCTGGGTGAGCGTCCCGAGATGGTCCCAAACATCACAGATACTCTGACACCTCTGATTCACCGCAGCCACATCATGATAGTCCAACTCACTGTAGGGGGCCAAGCAAATACACATACAGAGTGAAACCCAACAGCTCCATTCAGTTCACCTCCTCACCTCTCGCCCTTCTCCTTCTGTGCTGATGAAAGTGCAGCTTAGAGGCAGCGTCATGTCAATTCACGTTTGAGGAAAGGGGTGATCAGTTCTTGTCTAGCAGGGTCTTAGTCCAGCACAGTTTGTTGATTTAGAGCTGTGAAATCACCACTGTGCTGGACTTCGGCACTGCAGGACCAGAACTAGACTGTGCTAGGGTAGTGGACCTGAGGGACACTTTGCTCTCGCCCTAGGAATGGTAACTAGCACTGGTGGGCAGTTAAACCTGCAGTGTTTAAAATTTAGGGGGGCTTTATTAGCAGAAATGGAATATAGTATACAAAACCATGTTTTCATTAGTTTTATATGTGACATTGATGATGGTACAATAGCAGTCGATCTGAAAACAATGTGTTTGAGGACTATTTTGCCTCAAAACAGCCTGCATGTGCACATTCAAGCCACTCTGAATGACTTTGCTTCCATCTTAACAATGCAGATATACTGAAATCAGTGGCATTCTATTATAAGGCGTGCTGGGGCAGTCCGGGGCTGGAGGTCAGGGAACCAGCCCTGTGACCGGAAGGTCGCCAGCTCAATCCTCAACTGCTCCCCGGGTGCTGTGGATAGGGCTGCTCACTGCTCAAGGCAAGTGTGATCACAGCTCCTAGCGTGTATGTGGTGTTTCGTAACTGCATGCAACATGTGGAAGAACGTTTAGTAGCATGGGTTGTGCTTCAGACCCTTTTCCCGAGCGGATGAATCTGATGTTTGTGAATGCATTGAAAGAGAATTCAACGAGAACTCAATCAAAACTTGGTGAAGGACGTGTTTTCCGATGTGAGTGAATGATCTACTATTGTCATCATATCTTCATCAGTATTATGTTGATTTGTAATATGTAAAAACGTAGTAGTGCAACTTCAACTACTGTGAATTATTCTGTATCTACTATGAAACTAATGTAAATTGTGCAGTTTATGAGACTGAGGAACTGAAGACCCACACTCAGACCCTGACGGTTTCTCTGACATGGATTAATCCAATATGCATGATCAAATGTGTATATACAACAACGCTGTTCAGATTTTAAATAATAGGGTGTCCCATTTTTTTGTGTACCATATCTTCGACTGCAGGACAGCGTCTCACCCCAAGAGTGCAGGAAAGAGAACATGCACAGATAACCGACTCTCCTAACCTTTTGACCTCGTTATTAATGAAGCCTTATAAAGCCACATTTTGTAGCTCTGTTTCTGACTGGTGACTGAAATTTACATGATTCATCTGGGTTAAGGGTTACAAATCAATCAAATGTCTAACATGAATATAGCCATTGCCCAACCAAGTAAATGTAAATAAAGCAATTGTGTTGATGTAATATATTTAAATTGTATGCAACTACTTGAAACATGAGTTCTTTGGCATGACGTGAGAACATCAAACCCTTTTTTCCAGTTGGTAAATCACTGTAACGCAAAGCCTGAAGTGGCTTGTTGCTTCTATAAAATGGCAACAACAAAAAATTTGCTAAAACACACATTTTCAATAAAATTGCCAAGTTATACTTAGTGACTACAAAAGTGCAGAGTGATTGCTCAGCTTAAGTAATTCTCAGACAGTTGTTAGGGTGTTGCTAGGCTGTTACTATGGTATTGTACATGGTTGCTAGGTTGTTGCTAGGTGGTTGCTGTGGTTTTCCAGGTGGTTGCTAGTGAGTTGCTAGGTAGTTGCTACGGTATCCTAGCTGGTTGCTAGGATGTTGCTAGGTGGGTTTTATGGTATTGTTATTCCAGGTGGTTACTAGGTTGTTGTTAGGTTGTTGCTGTGTCATACACCTTTCAAGTGGCTGTGTTTTTGGCTAAATCTGCTTTAAGCACAGCTTAAGTAATTCTCAAACAGTTGTTAGGGTGTTGTTAGGCTGTTACTATGGTATTTTGACATGGTTGCTCGGTTGTTGCTAGGTGGTTGCTGTTGTATTCCAGGTGGTTGCTAGTGAGTTGCTAGGTAGTTTCTACGGTATCCTAAATGGTTGCTAGGATGTTGCTAGGTGGGTGTTATGGTATTGTTATTCCAGGTGGTTACTAGGTTGTTGTTAGGTGGTTGCTGTGCTATTCCAGGAGGTTGCTAGGCGATTGCTATGCTATCCCAGGTGTTTTCCTAGAGGTGGCTATGTTTTTACTGTAGTGTTCCAGGTGGTTGCATTGCTTTGCAATGCATAATCACTAATAATCAATTTGTTTGGAGTTTGTTGCCAAGCAACCGTGTAAAGTTACTACTGAAGGAGGACAGAACTTTCTGTCAATCACTGTGTATAGCTGTGAATATCATAATATAGCATTGTTTGATGAGAAAATCTTCTTATACCATGTTTTTGGTCACTAAACGTCATGATAATGCTAATTTCCGCTAGCGTCTCAGTGCGATCACCTGTACTGTGATAGCATTACTCTGACAGTGCCACTCATCGGCTTCCCCACTCTGGGTTAATTACTGCTTAAAGAAGATTTAGCCAAAAACACAGCTACTTGAAAGGTGTACGACATTCAAGTAACACAATTTTACATTTATATATTGCAGTTTTAAAATTAATCATTCAATAAATACTTGAATACAAAGCATAAACACCCGTCAGCTTGGCTTTCATGAGTGGTCAGACAGTTCATGTCGCCAGAGAAAGTTCACAACAATCTAAGACTGAAAAAAATGGTTTGCTTTCAATCCAGCTGTCAGTTTACACAAAATATATAAACATTCCATTAGCCTACATGACACCAGGTCACGTGCAAAAACTGGGTTTTGAGTTTCAGAGCAACTGATTTATTTAGCTCAAACATTTCAACTGATTGGGAATACGCATCACTAATTTCAGTTTAAACTGTATTTGTTTTTATTTCAGGGAGGATGGTCCTCTGTTTCCTCTGCTGGCCTGCAAAGCTTTTCGGGTTTGGCTGGAGCGGTCAGAGAGATTAGCCTCCGACTGAGAGATAGGACAAGTGCAGAAATCACCCTGCAGCTACGGAATGGAGAGGCAGAAAGGTTACAGCTTATCTTTCACTCACAATGTGTGTGTCATTCACTCACACACATACACACACACACACACACACACACACACACACACTTATACCCCCACTCCCAAACACACACACACAGGCTTACAGGGAGATAATGTAAGTTAAAATAGAATACCGGTGACACAGAGCACTGAGAATGCATGTAAGCACACACTGTATATCTGTGTGTGTAATAGATATGAAGTGATTTCATCTTTACAGGTCACCAGGAGGCAAAACATGGCCGGTCAAGCACAAGGGCAAAGAATCAGACACATACAATACTACACTGCGGATACAAAAGGCCTAATCAGGCAGCGACTACCAGCCTCAAAACAGATATAAGAAGGGGTGGGGGGGGTGGGGGTTACGGGGGACATAGCCCACCTACTTTTAACTCTGTTCATATTAAAGTTATCATCTAGTATCACGTAACTGTGATATAATGTGGGGTGATTTACAGACTAGGGATGCACTGATATGGATGATATGAATTGTAGGTTCAGGTAATTCAGATATCCAATATTTTTCAGGTATATCTGCAGATATATATATAAACATTTTTTAAATGCAGATACTGGAACTACATCTACCTGGAGTAATATTTATTTTTGTATTACAAATGCAGTATAATGAATTTAATGCAGATATTTTTGCACAGTACCCTGCTATCAAGTAAACATTGTGCAGTAAGTAAAGCACTACACTGTAATGCACAATCACTGTTTACTTGCTGAATTTAACATATTGCACGTAAAATGAAGCCTGTGCAAAAGTTATGGCACATTTTATATTTTATGTTAAACTCAGCAAATAAATAGAAATTGTGCACTAAAATTTGCAGGAAAATGAAATATTTTAGTGTGCTCCCTGTAGAAGTTTTACGTACCTATTTTCACATTTAAAAAATCAAATAAACATGGAATTCGACCAGGGGTGTTCAAACCTTTGCACATGACTGTAGTTTTGAAATATCAGTCAAATGCTGTCAAAAGTGATGCTCCAAAATGAAAATTCCTGACCGAAACCAAAATTCAGGACACAACTGGATGAGAAATAAAACCAAAAACCGGAAATAAAGTTGTTTTTTTTTGTTTTTGTTAATATGCTTTTATAATAATTTATGCTTTTAAATAAACATACTAAACATAAAAAATACAAGGTAATAAAGAAAGTACATGTTTGTTCTGAACAGCGAAGAAAAAAACAGTATTTTTATTTTAGAATTTAGAATTTCATTTTTATTCACTGTTTCTCATTTTTATTACTATTCTAATTATTTGTTAATGTTAGATTTTGATACTCTGTTGTAGTCCTATTTAATATTTCTGGCAAAAAAAATCCAGCCTTTCTTTCTCTTTCGTACCGGACAGATGCACTGGAACATCAGACACCAAAACACTGGGGCCGAAAATTATCAAAAGCTGCACTTCCAGTTTGCGACTGCTATGATTCTGATATCATCGTGCATCCCTACCACTAAACTAAACAGTTAATAGTAACAGATCCCACTTGTCTAATTAGCTAACATTATCTAATCACAGTCTTATTTAGTTAATTATAATGGCAACAAAAAACAAATTATATCGCAAAATAAGAACAGTGACACTGGAGCAGACTTTGTGCACGTGTGACAGAACAGAGCAGGATGTGGGCAGTGAAGTGTTAGGGTCATACTTGAGTTCCTGTGCGATGGCGGCGATTTGCTCCACTCTGTCCTGATGAGCTGACAGGTCGCTCTCAAACGCCTCATGTTTCCGCAGCAACGCTCGAATTTCCATTAAGGAGGCGGATTCGTAGTCCTTCCGGGTCAAAATCTCCTCTTTACCTGTTACACATGCATATAAAGGAAAGCCTGAACAACACAAAACACAGCAAATGTACATACGATGTCCAAAGTTTGGGGACACCTAACCCGAGTCCCAGCTGATAAAAATAAAAGCCCTTCTTTGAGAATAAAGCAAAAGCTACACATTTAACCTTGCTGTGACGTCAGAACTAATTAGTTGCTCTTGATGCTGAGAAGAAATGGCTGTTTTATGTAAAGAAAACCTGATCACTTCATTGTAAGGTCACAGTGAAAATCAGACAGTACTGTGAAGTCAAGGTGTACCCAGTCTTTTTACGTATTTATTTTTCAACAGATGTTGTAGGACTGGGCAATATAATGATATTTGTCATTATCGTGATAAATTACATTTCAGTATGCTTTTCTTTTTTTGTGGATATTGTCCGTGACTGACCAACTTCATGTAAAACTTGCTGGTCACAGAGTTCTCTTATTTGGGTGACTGTGTGGAAAATAACTGCAGTTAAAAGGTACACCAGGAGTGTGTGGAGTGGGAAGTTGATTTTTAAAGAAAAATAATAAATAATAAATAATAAATTGCAGCACGCTTTTGTCAGGTCATTCTGAGACGAGTCCTAACACTGAAGGGATGCAAGAACAAACACAGTGAAAGCATGTCAGCCGAAGATTAATGTTTGTGAAATAAACATTAACATAATTAACATAATGAGAGTGCAGTCCAGTAAAAGTTGTGGCTGTTGTCTGTTGTCATGTTTAATTTAGCCACAAAACTGTATTCTAGTACGAAAGAATTGAATTGCGAACGTCTGATGCCTGCTGTATTCTCCTCTGAAGCCATTTTGCACTGTTTAAAACGGCACATTTCGCCTGATGAACGAGAGCTGAGACAAGTTTTTCCCAGAGATCTGAAGATGTCCTGTCTGATGTGTGAAATCTGACACTGTGGTGTGATGATGTCAAAAACATACATGCTACAATACAGGTGGCTTTTTGTACAGGCATGATATCTGCCTCCCCTGAGCGAATTCAACCAGCTCAGCTCAACAGCTGTGTCTACAGGACAATCTCATCTATGTTAGGCACAATAAATGTGGTATTATTGCAGGAAATTATTTCAGCCAACATGTATAAAAGTTTTATGTTTATTTGTAGGAATATTAGAGTATTGTGATGGTTTGCACAAAATAAATCAGTAAATAAACAGCAGGTTTTAAAACGGGCAGTAAATGATTACTGTTACTAGGGGCTCTTTTCTGTTTCACTGGGCACAGGCCTGTTACACACACACCCGTTGGGCATTGCTTTACTAACCTGAGGCCCAGGTCTCATGGCTGGTGGCTTTTTGGCGGAATTTCTCAGCCAGGTGGTCGACTCTCTGAAGTCTGCGGATCTCTGTCAGCAGCCACTCCTCGTAACCCTTCTCCGCCTGCTCCAGACCTTGCCACGCACTCGCTATATCCTACACACAACATACAAACAAACCTATACATACACTGGAACTCGTGTACATAGTTATGTGCACCATACACTGTTTTACACTGACGGTAAACAGATTACTCAATACTGCAGACTGACTCAAGTTGTGGTTCTTTTTTTGTACCATGAAAAATAAAACATCACATCATTATTCAGTAATAACTTACAGTTAAACTACAGTTTAGATTGAAATGTTATAAACTAGACACCAAACCATATAAACTAATGGTTTATTCACAATTTAAAATATTTTGGGAACAATGACATTGCAAAAAATTCCTTTCCTACACACTTAAAAAAGGTGGTTCTTCATGGGTTCTTTAGTAACTTTAGAACAATGAGTTCTACATAGAGCCATTTATGCTCAAATGGTTCTTTGCATGGCGAAATGTGTGGTGTGTGTCTGTGTGTGTGTTTGTGTGTGTATGTGTTTGTGTGGTGTGTGTGTGTTTGTGTGTGTGGTGTGTATGTGTTTGTGTGGTGTGTGTGTGTTTGTGTGTGTGGTGTGTATGTGTGTGTTTTTGTGTGTGTTTGTGTGTGTTTGTGTGTGTGTGTGTGTGTGTGTGGTAGTGTGTTTGTGTGTGTGTGTGTGTGTGTGTTGTGTGTGTGTTTGTGTGTGTGTGTGTGTGTTCGTGGGTGTCTCACCGACACCATCTTGCCCTCGGAAGGCATGAACGCAGGCCTGTTACTAATGCGCAGTTTGGTCTGCAGGGTGTTGAAGTTAATCTCCAGCTGGCACTTCTCCTGCACTTTGGGCGGTTTGTGCATGCGGCGGTAATCACGAAAGTCCTCCAGCTTACGCTGCATCAGCGCCATGGTCTTCTCCGACGCGCGGTTCTCCAGCCACGGGGTGGTACGCCTGATCCACTCCAACAGCTGGAGAAGACAAGACAAAAGAGAAGTACATTATGCCTGAGTAGCAAATAAATGTCTTGGCCATTTCCACCTGCTAACTAGGTATCCTCCCATCAGAGGATGCTAACTTGTGAGGGCTAATACGTGCCTCCTCCAACTCACATGAAGCACCACCATGCCACTAAGGCAACATCATTCTACAGCTCAACATGCCTGTAGGAGGACCCTAACAGATGCCCATGTTAGCTAGCACCACACTGAGTGATGGGAGAGGGAGGACCATCCTACCCACCCAGAGAGAGCAAAGACAGTCTCTTGGACTCTTGGCCATGGATGGCGGTAGCATTGGGGGTACTGAAGCCACAATATCTCATCAATGCTTAGAAGAATATTTTTGATAAAATCATGCCGTTCTGTTCCTCAATCAGGTATTACCAGCAAAGGCTTGAATTTGGTAGACGCAGTGGAAGATGTCTAGCCATTCACTCACAGCAGCACCATCCAGCAGGACTGCTGAGTTAGCTTCATCTAGCTGCTTTCAGTGTTCAAATTATAAAGAGTCAAAAAGGCTGTGATTTAAAGAATGCGGCAAAAACAGGCGCTGCAGTGTGACTCCACTTCCTTACATTAGATGTAACACAGATAAGCCAAATAACAAAATTCTCGGTATGCAAAATGCATTTAACTATTACTGATAATTACTGATACTAAATGATATGGATGAATATTGTGATTTTTGGCTATATCGTCCAGCCCTAAAGGACCTTTTTCTTCTGACCATGTAGTGCACAGGCAAAGTGTAGGTGTGTGTACCTCAGAGGCCAGTCTCTCGTACTCCTCCATCAGTTTCTCGTTCTCCTGATTCACCCCCAATACTTTACAGATCCTGTTAGCAGCAGTCTCAGCCTGGAGAGAGAGAGAGATGGATGAATCACAGAGGATTCAGTTGTATGCTGACTGATGTACAGCCACACTGGACACACACATACACTCAATATACCTGCTCTGCTCCAGCGAAAGCATGGTAGAAGCAGGACACATAGGTCATTATGGCTCTCTCATCAGGTTTAGGGGTGTTCACAATGTCTAAAGGAGAGGAGAGGAGAGGAGCGAAGAAAAGAGAAGAGAAGAGAAGAGAAGAGAAGAGAAGAGAAGAGAAGAGTTCAGTACTGGGTTAATACTTAACTCCATGGTTCGAGCCACAAGGCCCTCATCAAAGACTGGACACTGAAAGGAGCTAAGCTACATCACTTAAAACAGATGTGGCTATTCGAACATACAGCTATGCAAACTATCTGATTAGTGTTTGTTGACTTAATCAGATGTTTAAATTGGGCATGTGTAATTTGCAATAAAGAATTAAACAAATCATGTATTTTTTTTGCATTTTCACTGAAAATCACAAGTAGCTTGTACTGCAACAGTTAGGCAGAGCTACCTAACAAAAAAGATGACAGTGTTACATCTCTCTAAAACTGTTTTGTCTCACTCATTCAAACGTGTGGCTATTTGGGCCCCCAGTGTGCATCTGTCTAAGCTTTGGCCCTGTCATCAGGAGATCCATGGCTGGGAGTCCAAGACAGCATGATTGGCTTTGCTGTCTCTAAGTGGGTAGGATGGTCCTCCCACTTCAGCTTGATACTAGCCAATAAAAGCTAACATAACAGAATTAGCAGTTTGTGTTCTCCTCGAAGCATGTTGAGCATGTTGATGTCTGCAAAGATAGGGTGGCACTTCACATGTCTCTGAGGAAGCTGTCCTGGCCTTCACCCTCCCACCGTGTGATAGGCCCTTTGCACATTTCTGCATTTTTTCTGCTGGAAGTACTCGTTATAGGGTAAACGCTGCTTCCATTAAAGCAATGACAATAACAGTGGTGATGAGTAGAGTATGTGCATCTTACTCAAGTTTTCGGGTTTGAAGCAAAAACAAACTTGTCTCAGTTTCAGCGGTTTGTCCGCTGGCCATGAGCAGAGGAAAAATGGGTTTGTGCAGTTAACAAAGGAATAAACTTTGTCATATGGAGGAAAAGAACCTCAGCATTTCACCGCTGCTGACTAACGTTACACTGAATTCGGTTCGTGCCTTAAAGTTACAGACGCTCTCAAAAAAAAACTTTATTTTCTACCTCAAATGCTGTCGGTATCGGAGGGAGCGAGTGAACAACGTCTACAGTGGCACCACGGACCATGACGACAAGGCGCACCCCCTGCTTCATGCCAACTAATTGTTATTGTTAGCAAGTTGTTTCAACATTTCCAGTTAACATGGCTTATCTAGCGTTTTGGTTATAGTTATTTTCTCCTATCCATCGATTTATCACGCTGTAGACATTAGCTGACGTTACTGTACTCTGATAGCTGTGAAGGAATTTTTCCATGAAGCATTTATGTCCTTTATTTAGTTGGGACTCCCACATTGTTGTGCGTCTGGACTCATCCTTGAATTCCAATCTTGGCAACTATGACAAAGATGAAGTGACACACCTTTCTGTGGTGAGCTGAAGTGATACAAACGCCTGTATTTCTTAAGTTAATAACTGTTCTTTGATGTTAATATTAATGTTAATGTTAATGTTCTGTTTCTTGCAAAAAGGGCCTACTGGGGGAGATGTAGCTAGTGAGGGGAATTGGCAGTGACTAAATTGGGAAGAAAATTGAGTAAAACTAAAAAAATCAGACATTCGAATAACAGAAACACCATTCTTATATATTTACAGTCACTAAATGGGATTTGCAGATGGCTTTTCAAGTCAAATAAATGGGGTGGTGTTTATAGAATTATAGCTTCACTCGTACGGTATATTATTTTGCAAATTAGTGGCAAATTGCAAAAAATCTTGAAATAAAAAGCCTGAAAATCTCCCAAAAATGTATAAAATGTAATTATTATATAGCGTTTTTTGCAAGATCTGGGATAGATTACCAATATTTGTCAGGCTCCTTCTGTCAATGTTTTAAAAAAACAGCGTGTTTTGAAAATGTGTTTAAAAGACATATTTCTCTACTTTAGCCTTTTAGTTTTTAGTTTTTATTGTTTCCCCTTGTTTTTACTGAAATGTTTTGTTTACATTTTTGTTAGTTGTTGTATTGTTATTGGACTTTTATTTTTACTTATCTACTTATTTAACTTTAATTAATTCAAAATAATATTAATATATCCCCTTTTCTGTTGCTTTGACTTTTTTCCTTGTTTAATTTGCATTGTAAAGCACTTTGAGCTGCATTTTTAATGTATAAAAGGTGCTATATAAATAACGATTATTATTATTACTATTACATTATTATTTCACACTTTGCACAGTCCAGATGGTTTTGTTATGCCAGAAATAAAAGACAACTTCCCCAAATTAGAGATGGTATTATTTACTTTTTAGAAGCAATAAAGTCTCACCTTCTGCATCCAGCATTTTAGGGATGTCGAGATGCTTCTCAGCGATGTCAAACGCCAGATTCAGATTACCAAGAGCATCGTCCTGCAGGAGCGACAACAAACCGAATACAGTCTAATTAGCAGATGGCTACAGCGCAGGTCTTACCAATCTGACAGATGTTTTTTTAATCAATAATTGATAAAACCAAGTATTACTGGCTAAGAAGTAAATTTTCTAGCCATATTCAGACATTCTTAGACCTTAAATTGACACCACTGATCTAAAGCCACTGATCCAAAGTAGCTTCATGAGTCTGATGTATGTGTGTCTATACTGAGTGACTGCACCTGTGTGTGTGTGTGTGTGTGTGTGTGTGTGTTGGGGGCCCTGGGGTCAGCATGTATTGTTCTCTGTGTGACAGTAAAAAGCTACAGAGCGGGAAGCGGTCAGCTGCAGCAGATCCAGAGGGCCCAGGGGCTTCCTGATGGCCCATGCCTAACCCGAGGGCACCGAGCCTGAGCTAAAAACCTCAGGATTACCCCTTACCAGCTTACCTGGAGCCAACTGCAACAGCTGAGAGGGATGAGGGATCTGTGTATATGTGTGTGTCTGTGTACATGCCACTCCATTCTGTTCACTCCGCTAAACCGACTGACCCGGCCATTCTAAATAAATCCTTAAACTTCAGTGCCTAATTAAATCCCTGACAAACGTCCAGCTCCACCCGCCCAGTCACTAAGATCCAGTCTAAACTCACCAAACATCATCACACATTGTCTGTATATAGCATTGCTGCTGTAAAATGCATTCATTTATTTAATTGTCAGGCAAAGGAGCCAAATAACTGAACAAAAAGAAGTTTCCAGAGGTTCAATAAAAGCTACAGGACCTGGTAGACACCAAAACTGTCCAATACAGAGCATATAAAGCTTTCATCTTTGAGAGAGAGGAGAAAATCAAGCTGCTTCAGATCTGAAAAATACACAGTAAATAGTTCTGAGCAACTTCACAAGTTTAAAATAATTAGCAGGAAGGCTGAAAAAAATTAGATGTGTAAAAATAAGTGTTGATTGAAATAACTCAAATTTTTAAGGCAGTTTGAACACTAAATTTTATATAGTGTATAAACTGACCAGTGTGATCAGATTTATCAGATTTTATGGAAAGAATATATGAAAATGAACTTATATTCTGTCCAAATAAACCAAAGATGGCATCACTTTGGCAACATGCTGCATTACCAACCACAAACCAGCACCTTAAACAGAACAAAGAGCAATATGTTCCTCCAGGACACTGACAGAGGCTTTAGCTCAGAGAGATAAAGAGCTCAGATCTTTAGATGACTAACAGAGCACTGTGGAGCTGCAGTCTGGCTGAGATTTGCTGGGCATGGCACTGGAGCAAAGGCAGAATTCCTGCTGCTGGTTTATCAGAAGGCACAACTGCAGTGCTTGTGGCTGCATTCCTGCACGCTATTCTGGGTCCACATTACTGACAGTCTCCACATTGTCTTCAGGGAAAAGTGCGATGAACTGTTATTCTATCTGTCAATGTCACTAACCCAATCAAATCCACACTTTCATCACCAGGAACGCCGCACTGATACATCAAAATCTCCCAGTGCATACGTCACTAATCATAAACTAGTTATAGTTATAGCTCATCATGTACAACAAGATTTAAACGTTTAGAATCACTTGTCATACTAACAGGTTTTATTTAGATAAGCAACAACAATGATAAGTTATTAAATGATAAATAATATACTGCAAGTATCTATTTACAGGTTGTCTGCCTTGAGATTTTGACCTCCGCTTTTGAGGCATTTTTGAGGCTTTTTAACTTTATTATACTTTATTATTAGCATTTTCTACAGCCTTTTTCATCATTCTGAACATTTTTCAGCTCTCCTACTAATTATTTGAAACCTATGAAGTTGGATTAAATTCCAACATTTTTAATGATGACCCAAAACTACCAAATGGCAAATCTGTATGTATCTCTATCTCTACTATCTTGAGTAAAGTAAGACAGTTTTAAGACAATTTTAAAGGCAAACGTCAAACTACTACAAAACAGCCTCTGGCCCTCTAGCACCACAGGCCTGAATTAAAACATACCAACACCCACTAAAACCCTGAACCTCTTCAGATTTTAAGTTGATCAGTTCAGTCTGTGAATCTGTGAATGAAGGGACTGAAGGTCTCCCTGCTACACTTTTTAAAAAAGATGGTTCTTTGAGGGTTCTTTAGTAAAGAAAATGGTTCTAGATAGAACCATCTACACACAAAGAACCCTTTGCATGATTAAAGGATTCTTTACAGCATGAAAGCGTTCTTCAGAGCGATGTGAATGTGTTTTGTATGGTTCTATATTGAACCTTTTTGAAAAGGACTCTAGATAGCACTAAAAAGGTCTTCTATTGTTACAGATTTGATGTCGTAATAATAGAAGAACGCTTTTTGGTGCTATGTAGAACCCTTTTCAAAAAAAGGTTTTATATAGGATCATATACAACATATTCTCCATTTTCACAACAAGCGTATGCTGTCTTGCAGGCTTATGAAAACGACCCTAAACCCGTACATGGTCAGCAGGCCTTGCATTGAAGTCCTTGTAGTTGCTGTAGATAAGCCTTAGTATGTAATAAGCCTGGGATTTTAAGAGGTTAAAAAGTGCGGCCAGCTTGGCCATCCTTCCAGGCTATTGACATATCATTTCACAAATGACTAACCTTGGCCTACGCATGCAGGATAGGAGTTAAATTTATATGAAACTGTTAAATCTCTCCACACATGTTAAAAAACAAAAGCATGAACAAAGGTTGTGTGGAAGTTTGGGTGGATCAGAATGGTTAAGGCAGGGATTCTTAACCTTTTTTCACAGTGCGACCCTTTTTAGGGGTTTAAAATATTTCACAACCCCCTCTTTGCCACCCCTCCCCACACACACCAGCATACACATTAAAGAAATTACAGAAGAATAATCAAATATTAGGTCTGCTCACTTACTGGCCTGCATTCCTTAGCTAGCACTTCGCCACAAACCAAGCAGTCAAGCGGTCAATCAAGCCAAGCGCTCGATCAAGAACCTCCTTCAGTAACGAGCTCACCCAATAGAAATTCATAATCTTCTGTGGCCTGTAGGTGGAGCCATTCAGCAGAGCTTGTATATACTCGCCAAAACTTTTCTCTATGTTTGATAAGATATCTTGTAGCAATACTCTGTTGAGCCCCATGGGACCAGGTTGCGACTACCAAGGGAGCCTGCCAGGTTAAGAACCCCTGGGTTAGTGTGTACGCACTCAAACGAGAAAGAAGTTAGGACACAACAACGATTAGCACAAGCGCCACACCACACGCACTGCAAAGGGGTGATGCAATATTATGAATTCTGAGACGCAGTGATGTTAAAGACAAGGGGTCACACGCGAGACCTTGTTGAGCTTGGCGTAGTCGATGAGGTCAGGCCTGTGCCTGTGTATGAGGGCGCAGAACGCTAGGCCATCCTTCCAGCTTCACCACGAAGAGAACATCAGAGTCACGTTCAAGGTCAAATGAAGTACCAACAGTTTATTCCAAAATATTAACTGTATTTCTAGTGATCACAATAATCATGTTGCTATAAATATTTCATCAATATCATGTAAAGTTCAGTAAAGTAAAGAAAGTATACTAGGCTGGCAGTAGGGCTGGGCAATATGGCAATAGTTATCGTTATGGTGATGACATCAAATTATGCTTTTCTGAGCATATCGTGGATATCATCAGTACTAAAAACGTAGCTGAATGTTGGATGGCAAAGAGCATCATTAGTCCTGTTTAATTAGATTTAGTGCAGTACATTAAAACTTTTATGAATTATCGTGATATAACTGTTTTGCCATATCGCCCATCTCTAGCTGGCAGATCATTCAGCTAATCCAAGGATGCAATTTAGACAGAAAGACTACTACATGAGCGACTACAGTTCCACAATGATTACGATAAAGCCTTCTGCGAAGTGAGCCTCACCTGACATGGAAGTTCTGTATATTGACATTCCTGTAGGGGGCGGTCTTCCTCTGGCACCACAACAGCAGGCCTTCTTTAGCAGAGGTTTCTAGAACAACATGGCATGGCAAATTAACATTTTTAGATTTTTACCTTTTAACTTCACCAGTACCAGTCAAGAAAAACCCTGAATAGATTTTACAGATCTTTAGTGATGCACGATGATATCAGAATCATATCGGTATAATTGCTCGAAATTTCAGACCAATATTCGATGATGTGTTTATTTTTCTCCAGAAAAACAGAATGTTTAGGTGACACTGGGCATTTCTCCATAATGCAAATCTAGGCTGAATCTACACTCTATTTCTACATTTTGTAAATGTTTATGTATCAGCATCAGCATCGGCAGATATGTATATGAAAAATATCGGATATCAGCATCGGCCCTGAATTCCCATATCGATGCATCCCTACATAATATTCCCTTGTACAGATATTCAAATGCTTGGAGTCACATATACAGTTATCTAACATACACACTTAAAAATGATGGTTCTTCAAGGGTTCTTTAGCAAAGAAAATGGTTCTATATAGAACCATTTACACTCAAATAACCCTTTGCATTATGAAAGGGTTCTTCAGATTGACAGAGAATGTGTTGTAGATGGTTCTATATAGAACCTTTTTGAATAACGCAGCGGATATAAATGACTAGTTTTGGTGAACTAAAACTCATGAGCTAGACGGTTCTGAAGCATGAATATAATACTTTTTGAAGTCCAGCAGTGTCTGACGGTCAGAGGCATGAGTATACGGAATGTATGTGTAAGACAAAGGACTTGAGAAATTTTACGAAGCTGAAGTTGACTTCTTATTAGAACTTCCCATTCCACCTTGAACACTGCAGTGGTTAGACTGAGGTGCCTGTACAGGTGCCAGACCCTCACAGAGCAGGTACTATTTGGGTGGTGGATCATTCTCAGCACTGCAGTTAAACACTGTGTCTACTCACTGTCCACTCTATTAGACACTCCTACCTTGTCGGTCCACCTTGTAGATGTAAAGTCAGAGATGATAGCTCATCTGCTGCTACACAGTTTGTGTTGGTCATCCTCTAGTCCTTCATCAGTGGTCACAGGACGCTGCCCACAGGACGCTGCCCACAGGACGCTGTTGGCTGGATATTTTTGGTTGGTGGACTATTCTCAGTCCAGCAGTGACACTGAGTGGACACAGTGTTTAAAAACTCCAGCAGCGCTGCTGTGTCTGATCCACTTGTACCAGCACAACACACACTAACACACCACCACCACGTCAGTGTTACTGCAGTGCTGAGAATGATCCACCACCCAAATAGTACCTGCTCTGTGGTGGTCCTGTGGAGGTCCTGACCACTGAAGAACAGGGTAAAAGGGGGCTAACAAAGTATGCAGAGAAACAGATGGACTACAGTCTGTAACTGTAGAACTACAAAGTGCTCCTATATAGTTAGAGGAGCTGATAAAATGGACAATGAGCGTAGAAACAAGGAGGTGGTCATAATGTTATGCCTGATTGGTGTATACTGAAATGGTAAGGAATTTGATTTATAGCTTGATATAAATTTAACATATATATGTAGACAGTTACTGAAAATCTTGACAATGCACAAACTACAGAAACTCTTTAACTGTCATCCATGATTAGAGCATGAAATAAGAGCATCGGTCTGGCTTGGCTTCATTTATTCCAACATAAAGAGCCAAAGAAACACTCTCCTACGTCAGTGTATCTGAGTTAATACCTCATAACTCCACTCATCCCTGTCAATCCTCACATACATGTCCCTTAAATAGCAGCCTACTAACAATGGACAGCCACAACTGCATCTCCATGGATATATTAACGTGTTAATATATCCATGTTTTTCTATCACTTTATAATTAATTAATGATGAACAAATCAAGGAGTTACTAATATGCAATCTGTCCTTTGAAAATCCCAATAAAAAGAGTGCTAAAAACCTAAGGCCTCCAAATGACTTTATCAAACAGCAGGGGTTTTCTTGGTCATGTTTTATATATGATGTATAAGCAATATGTAACTTATCTGCAACATTTTTGCATTTCTGCAGTCTAAAGTAAAAACTATTCAGTTTCTAAAAATATCTATAAATGCAAAAAAACTTCTTTACACTAGAACATGCGTGGTTTTAAAGGGGTGGCGTAAGTGTGAGTTGATTGGTTTTATTAAACTTACGACAAAAAAATGCAAACAAAACATGAAGCACGTGGCACCAGACAAAGACACTGAGTACATATACATGCACTCAATAATCCGATTATATCGGATATCATCAGATTTCTGCAGTTTTCTGATTATTCAAAAGGTCATGTAAACACTATAATTTCGATCTAGAAATAGTAGCTCAGTAATCAGATTTCTCAGTGCATGTAAACTGTTACTCTGATTCCTATCGGATTTCTCAGTCTGCGCATGCGCGAGAACAGACGGTGGATGCCGCGAGACGCAGCAAAACACTTTTGGAGCGGTGCTGAAACCAAACACGAAATAAAAGATTTAAATTTTCTTCATCTTCTAGATGATGTATGTTCATTTTTTCAAGTAAAGTGGCACAATGTTAAAAAAAAAAGTGGCATGAAGTTTGAGTTTTACATTATGTTTACGTCACGTCTTCTTCTGTGAGTCTATTGGCTGGCTTTAAAGCAGAAATCTGAATACTGTCTGACTCATGTAGACCCGGAGTTTCCCCATTATCTGACCACTCAAGTGCATATAAACGTGTTGATCAGATTACTGACAAAATCGGATTTTCTGCAGTTATTGGATTATTAAGTGCATGTAAACACACTCAATGTCAAACGTGAGTTACTTATACCAAAGACAAGAATAGAAACCACCTGGGAAAGAATGGTGATAAACCAGAGATGAGTAGGAGCACAAATGAAGAGACAGAGCTACACTAAAGGAGACAGGAGAGGGTGGGGCCAGGATCAGGACACTGTGACATCATGTTAGATTAGGGGCTTCAAAAGTAACTTACAAGTCATTTGTAAACCATGGCCAAGTAATGTGTAGTAAAGTAAAGTATTACCTGGCACTCAGTGGTGAAACATGTCTGATTGTCTACATGTTATTAAAATCCAATTAAAGAAAGGATTAAACTAGACAAGGTAATGGACTAAAGAAAGGTTTTACTATGGCCTTTAAAATAAATGCTCTGTTTCAGCTCTCTCTTGTAACACCAGGAACGTTGATGCTTTTTAGTGTTTTTGTTTAGCTGTTTTTTTTAGCCTGTGTCTTTGTTTATGAAGCTGTTATGAAGCTGTTTTTAGGACTGTGTTCCATGTACAGGGAAAAAGTCCTGATCTCCTTTGCTTTTGCATATTTGTTACACTAAATGGTTTCTGATCCTCATACAAAATGCAAGACAAGGAGAACACGAAGAAACACAAAACACAGCGAATGTTTCATTTACTGAAGGAAAACTATATCACCAATGTGAAGAGTAACTGCCCCCTAACTTGACAACTGGCAGTGACACCTTTTACAGCAACAACTGCAACCAAACATTTGCTAATACCCGAGATCAGTCTTTCACATCCCTGTGAAAGAGTGTGGGTCTATTCTTCTTTGTAGAATTGCTTTCATTCAGCCACCTTGGATGACCATGCCACAGCATCTCAGTGGGGTCAGGAACGTCAGGACTAGGCCACTGTAAAAGCTTCATTTTATTTCTTTTGAGCCATCCAGAGGTGCAATTGCTCTTGTGTTTTGGATGGTTGTCTTGCTGCGAAACCAAGTTGAGTTTGAGCTTCAAACCACAGACTGATGAGCGAACATTCTTCTGCAGGACTTTCTGGTAGAGAGCAGAATTCTTGGTTCTTTCAACTACGACAAGTCGCCCAGTTCCCAAAGTACACCGTTACACTACCTCCACCATGTTTCACTGTTGGTATGATGTTCTTATTGTGGAATGCTGCATTAGCTTACGCCAGGGACCTATGTCTTCCAAAACCTTCCACTTATTAGTGAACAGAACATTACTCTAAAAAGTTTGGTTTTCGACCCATGGAAGTCATTTTGTCCAGTATCTTTCTAATAGGGGAGTCATGAATGCTGACCTTATCTGAGGCAAGCGATCTGAACATTCTTCCTGTTCTTTTATGGCATCCTGAAGGATTCATCACATGCTTTTGGAGAGGCTTTGTAGGTTGGTCACTTCAAGAGTCACCACCATGCCAAATTTTCTCCATTTGGAGATGATGTCCCTCACTAGAATCCCAGGACCTTAGAAATGGCTTTGTAACCCTTTTCAGACTGATATATTTCAATATCTTTCTCATCTCTTATGGAATTTTGGTTGTGGCATAGTGGGCTGCTTTTTGAGGTCTTTTAGCCTAGTTCACATTGCTAGAAAGGTTCTGTTTAAGTGATAATAAGATCCAACATGACAGTTATCTTTTCAAACAGGGCCAGTAGGTGTTGGATCATTCTTTTTCCTTCCAACAATGAAATGGTCACTTAAAAACTGTATTTTGTGTTTATTCAGGTTGTCTTGGTCTTTTATTAAAATTTGGCAACTGAATGTGACAAAAATGCAAAAATAAAACAAAATCTAATGCTTTATCTTGGCAGGTGGTAGTCTGGGAAAACCAGTAGTAGCAGTCTGAGGTTGTGTTTGACCAGCGCAACCTAAACAGGTTTAGAAAGCTTGAATAGTGTCACCGTTCTGTATGAAATCAAATCAGCTTATCAACCTGTGACACTGTAAGAGCAATAAGTAATTCTGACTACATCTCATGTCACATCACTGCATGACTTTGTTGAAAGATCACAAAAAGGAGCCACTGTGCCTCTGACAGTTAGTAGGCACATAGAACAGTTATCAATAGCCTACATATGATTACTTTTATACCTTCCACTGAGATGTCTTGGATGGCAAATCGGAGGATGATGGTCCAGATCATTCCAAGAGTCATCTTAACATTTCCATCCACAATTTCTACAGAAACAGACATGAAAACACAGTCAAACCACTAGATCAAGAACCCGATGTCTAAAGCACTAATAAGAACAGCAATAAGTATAGCATTCTCTTATCAGACATATCCCACTAAGATGGTGACCTAAGAGCATACCTTCAGCTCCAATTGAAACAAGCTTGACTCCTTTGCTGGTGATGAAATCGAGAGCTTTGTTGACGTTGGCTATCTTGTGAAATCGCATTTTACCTCTGTCAGGCTTGGGTAACCTCTCTCCTGTTTGGGAAAGGTTTCAGAAACAAAGCAATGATTTGGAAAAGCATGGTAACCACACAGTACAGCAAAAAAACAGACTATATAAGCTATTGATATCTTAAACTGATACTCTTCTATTCACAAAATATTTGAAAATGTTATATGACATCAGCAAACCTTTGTCTATTATCATATTAACAGCTGCAAACAGGAGTAAAATGGCTTGTGAATCTAGTGAGTACCCCAAACAAGTAACATTTGGTTTTCAGTAAAGCTTTTATTTACCTAAAATGTATTTATTTACCTGAGATGACCTCGAGCAGCAGCATGAGTTTGAGGCCGTTTCTGAAGTCTTCCTCGATGTTCTCAATCTGAACGCCAGCCTTTCGCAGATGGGAATTACACCATGCAGTAAACGTCTAGGACGAAGACAGAAATAGTCACATACATGCACATACATATGCTACATTTGCTCAAATGTGGTATACACATACAAACCCAATTCCAAAAAAGTTGCGACTCTTCTCCAAAATGTGTTCAGCATTAATGGTGCCTTCAGAGATGTGCATGTTACCCACTAATACCCTCTCACAGCATTTTGAACTTTACCTCTAGGTGGCCCTTTTCTTTTTTGATCTGGAGAACACAACGTCCTTTATTTCCATAAACAATCTGAAAGGTTGACTCGTAGGATCAGTACATTTCCACTGTGCATCAGTCCATTTTAGATGAGCTCGAGCCCAGAGAAGTCGGCAGTGTTTCTGAACATTTTGACATATGTGGAAGCATAATACAAAGTACAGCATAGTACAGTCTTAACTTGTATTTGCAGACGCAGTGATGAGCGATGTTTACTGACAAAATATTTGCCAAAATATTCCTGGGCCCATGTGATGATGTCCATCACAGAAATATGCCATTTTTCAATGCAGTGCTGTCTGAGGGGTCTGGACATTTTTTGTGGTTTTCCCTTTATGCACAGATATTTCTCCAGATTCCCTGAATATTTTGATGTTAGTTATTATGCACTGTATATGGTGAAATACAAATTTACAAACAAATCTTTTCATTCACTTAAAAAAACATTGATTTTAAACTGTTGGATTTTTGGCAAAGTGTTAAGCCTCCACCCATCCTTGCTCATAAAGGTCTCAGCCTTTTCTGGATGCTCCTTTTACACCCAAGCATGACTGTATCACCAGTTTAAGATGTTACTGATAAGTTGATAAGATAAAACATAAGCTTATTTTGTACTGCTTAATTTAAATACAGGTTTAAAGTGGATTTATAAATCACTGCTTGCTGTTTCTATTTGCATTTCACAAACCTAGCATTCGGTTTGTACATGAAGGGAGATGTAAGGCTAAGCAGAAAATGTATTTTTTCCGATTCACCACTATTTTACCATCATCATTGTTTCATATTAAAACGCAGAAGACACACGTATATTCACTGGTGTTTTGGAAAGTAAATAAGATGGCTGTATTTGTGTTGTAGACATCATGACCCCTGGTTCCCATCACCACCACTGTAAAGAAATTGGTAAGATTCTCTAATTTAACACTCTAAACATACAGAGGCTTTCATTTTGCTATGAATATAATTGGCAATGTTTTTATGACACTTTTTAAGCTATAATTCAGAATGTTAATTTAGCAGTGGGGACTTCTAAGAACCTTCCTACTGTGGTTGAGTGAAATGTTAGCTGACTGAAGTGCTTTAAAGTATGAGAGTATGGAAACCACTCCATCTGTCCAGCCACTGATGTCATCTCTCCAAAGCAAACACTAGGCCTAGTCATATTCCAATAAAGACGGTCATAAAGACAAAAGGGAAAGCTCTGGCTGTAAATCACGAGCTGACTTCCCTCTGACTGATGCCTGGCATTTCTTTGGCAACATCTAGGAACATGCTAGCTTACGTGATCTGTTAGCCGGCAATCCTACATCTTCTGTTGGCTTACATACCCAACCTATTTATTTATTTATATATTATTTATTTGATCAGCTAGACTGACAGATTGAGCCTGACTGTTTTAGGGGAGATCAAAAATAAATAGCACCTTCTTAATATAATAAAATTCCCCCTTTTAGCCTACGGCTATTATTTAGCTTCTTTTCTGCTATTTATCCATCACCCCGGTGGCTAATTGGCATTGCTAACAAAAAGAATGAGGTTGTTTCTGTGTAAAGCACTGAGGCCTCCCACATTGTTCCTACTGAGCTCCTCTCTGTAACGAGACGTTCTGAGCTGTATGAGATACAAACGTAAGAGAGCTTGTGTTTAGAGCCAGTGAAGCAGTTCTGAACCCGGTGAAGTCATCGCTGGGCACATCAAAGCTCAGTAGTCCAGTCCAGAGCGCATTCCTGTCAAAGTAAGGGGGTAATTTTAGCCCACTCTGCTGGGTCTGCTTTGATAAGAGAACCTGGGGATGTGAGCCTCAGGTGGTGGGAGTGGGGGCAGGGGGGGTATATGGAAGCTAGCTGCGACTGATCGGATGGGAAAGAATTTCATTCATCCGTGGAGAGTGTGCTGGTTTAGAGACGCGGGGGTAGTCTGGCTGGTGTGATGTGACAGGACTAGAGGGATATACTGAGATAAGGACAGAAGAGCTGGCGAGAATAGCTTAAGGCTAACAGTATGTGCAAAATGTTCTGTGTAAAAAGCAGCTTGTTTCTTGACCTTTGCACTGGAGCTACGAGGCTAATGTAGCTAACAAATAACGGAAGCATATACTGCGTTCAACCAAAGCTTGGAATTTCCGACCTCCGTCTGAGGAAAACCAAAGAAAACACCCCCTCGAGTGGGAATTCTGGAAGCTGTTCTTAGCATACAATGTCATATAAACATGGCTGCTCACACCATCAACAGTAAAAAAGTATCTTCTCTACATTTAAACGTGATTACAGCACCATTTGCTGTCTCCTTCCACTAACAGACACAGTTGGTTAAATCTACAATGCTGACCATTCATTTTTGAGAAGGTAAACACATGAGCGCCAAAGTTACCTCTCAAACTACTAACGTTAGCTAGCTTGTTGCTAACAATACTCACTTTCATGAAGGCGTTCATGGATTTTTCCCCACTTTGACAAAAATTGCATAAATAGTTTGTAGCAGTAGATTTTTGCTCAAAACAAAAATTAGCAACAAGCTAATTTATTGTTTCGAATTTGGCTGATCTGTGTTTTCTGAGGTAAATAAGGTGAGGCAGTGCATTCACACTGTGTTTGAATGCTGCTGCTACTCCTGTACTGAAATGTCATAGCATAATTATATATGACTTATTCTGCTAAAAAATTTGCCTCTTACTGTTGCTGTAGCACTTTATTTGATTCTTTGTTCCTTAAATAGTCAATTAATTTAACATTTAAACATTTATAATGCCAGTTTGGCCCATTAAACAGCAGAAAATCTTGTTTAAATTGCAACAGAAAGTGCTAGAAAGTGCTACTTGTCAGTCATAATATACATAATATAGATCTCAAGCTCTGTGTACACTGTTCTGAAGACAGTACTGCTTGATAGATTCTTAAAACACCCATAATTGATATGTATTCTAGGTTGTGAATGGGTTCAGGTTTCCATGATCATAACGTCCCATTGCCAGAGCTGATAGCCTGCCCTTAGCTAATCTTAAACTCTTAGCAGGCAAGTGACCTTTGGGTAAGGGGTCAGATCCGCATGCCTATAACTGTCCTCACTCAATTATGATTGCACACTCCCCGAGACCTTATTACTAGGTCTGAAGTTCAGTTTTTTGGCTTAAAGTCTCCAACATGAAATATCACTGATGGTTCATGATGCCAGAAATAGGCCTGTCTTGGTTTTACATAATCACATGCTGAAAAACCAGGATTAAAACCTAATGGTTTTTCTTTCTCATGTGAATTGGCGTAATGGTTTCCAATCAAGACCACTAGTTTCCTGTAGGACACTTTTAGATTCCATTAGGAATCCATCAAGTGCATGTAGAATCAGCCATTTGTCACCTGTTAAACCATTAGGATCCATCAGGCTTGCAACTATTGAAGCTGACCGCAATTATTTTTCAAAGTTGTTAGCTTTCCCAGTCATATGTTTTTGGTTATGTTTGGCTGTTCTATCATTATGTTGAGAGCTAACTCATTGCTCACCAGTGTTAGACTTTTAATAGCTAATGTTAGCGATAGTGCTAGCTAGCTATGAAATCTGAGACTTCATAAGAAATCATATAAACTAAATTGCCCGTACGTGAGATTTTCAAATCCAAATCCATGCTTGACAAATGTTTGTTTTTACAATTCCTTATGACAATAAATTATTTTCCACCATGTTAGTAACTCAGCTCATGTGAGTCTAACGCTGATACTCGCTGCTCTCTAAAGAGTCTAGCAATATTTGAAGAAAATGGAGACAAAACTTTTTTGTACTCCATGTAGACCATAAATCCTTGAATATAAAAAAGAACTCACTGAAATTACTTGAGAAATGTAAACGCTGCAGTGCTTTTTATCCAGAAAAAAACAAGCTCCTTCGCTTACTTGTATTTGTTTACAGGCCAATTTTGTCCGGACCAATATGGCGGACGCATTCAGGTATCGCAGCAATGGGACGAAGCAGCGTCTATGTATATATCGCTGTTGTCGGAAGAAAACCTCGTATCTCCAAAATGGTAACTTTACAGGAGAAGGAAAAAACATACTTTTAATGTAAGTCAGTGGAACCAGACTTTTTTCCCCAAGTCATTTTGGGCCGTTTCTTTTGGTCCATTCATTATGAAATTTACATACAATGTAAAGGGCAACAAGCACTTTCAATTTATATTAAAAATTAAAAAAGGACAAAAATGGAGACACAAGGTTTTCCTCTGACAGCAGCGATATGTCTATGGCTACTAGCACTGACAGCTAGGCAAGACAGCAAAACAGCTAAGGTGGCCACTTTAGGCTCATAATAGTTGCATACCATGGACCTTTAAGTTGTTAATCACAATTACTTGCATGGCAATTAATCGTCAGCTAGAAAATTCATAATCGTGACAGGCCTAGTCAGGAGCGACATGCTTTCAAAAGGAATTCAGTTACATCATTCTGAACACCTTCACCAGAGCAGGTACTGCATAATGAAATGTAGCATTAGCAATACTCTAGCCTAACATATAACAGTTACAATCGCATAACATATAAATATCACATATCCTCTACAGAGAACACACTTCAGCACATTTTAATACAAAATTATTGTTTATTTGCTGAATTTAACATATTGGAAAAAATGTGGCCTGTGAAAAAGTTATGGCACATTTTACATTTTATGTTTCATCTTTTTTCAATATGTTAAAGTCAGCGAATTAATAGAGACTGTATATTAAAATCTGCAGGAAAATGTCATATTTAAGTACTTTTCACTTTTAAAAAAATCAACAAAAAATTTGACTGGGGTGTTCAAACTTTTGTGTATGACTGTTTTTAATGCAGTGGCCTGTGCAAAAGTTTTGGCATCGTATATGTTAAACTCAGCAAATAAATAGAAATTGTGCACTTAAATATTGTCAGAAAACAATTGTTCAGAAAAATGCCAAGTTTGTTCCGTGTAGAGGATGTGATAACTTCATTTCAATTAGAAAATCATCAAAATGTTCACTATCAACAAATACGTCACTTGACATTTGCACACTGATTATGCCATGAAGAGAAAACCTTGCTATGACTCAAAGAGTCACAGGTTTGACCCCAGCTAAAGAGTTGTAGGCCTAGGAAAAGCACTTAACCTCAACTGGGCTGGTCCCTTATTGATGTATTATTCCATGTGTATGTGTGCTTGTGAGACAGATCATTCTACCAAATCTTGGAAACTTGATCTAACATTAAAAATAGCTACGAGTCATTTTTTTTCCAACTAAGTCTCTTAGGTAAATTTCCAATCCACTCTGGTAAAGAGATAATGGCTTGAGACTATGCTGGAGTTACATCCAAAAAATTGCAATTTCAGGACATTGTTTCCCTTTCTTTCTTCTTTTCTTTCTTTCTTCCTTTCTTTTTTTTCAGCAAACAAAAGAATTCCTCACCAAGGACATCGGATTAACCCACCACGATGCCTTTTGGTCCCTGGAGTTAAAATTAGCCGCAGCATCCATTCTAATCCCAGGGACCGTCGTCATGCGTTAGCAGCATCTGTTGACAGTCGCGCATTCCAGGCGTATCAGTCTCAGAGAGCCGCTGGGCTATTGTTAGCCTTTAGCCTCAAAACCAGACACTCCAACATTAACTAACTGAGAATAAAAGAACACAATGATACTCGTACAGCTACAGTACAGTTCACAAAAAACTTCACCAGCCTTCTGGTCTTAATTACTATTAATAAATCATATTTTTCATCAGACAGATCTATCGTTAAATCCATTATCATTAAAATGCTGCCCCTGTAGTGGAGACCTGTTTCAGACACTGGACAATTAGAGATTTAGCCACCTGTCAACCTAAATGTGGCTTTACATCTTAGGTTAGGTTCCTTTTACTGGAGGACACAGGTCCTCTGTACATCCACAGAGAGCGAATCAGGACACATCAGGACACAAACCCACACGTTTGTGGTGATTGATCATTTTATTTGCCACATTCATTTTGAAATAACTCGAAATATGTCTAATGTGAAATAATGCATATTTCAGCATTGCTGAAGCAGGCCTTAAACTGTTTGACTGTACAGCAGCAAGCTAAAACTGAGATCTATCGTCAGCAAACCTCTCAGAAGTTGAAGTAAGAAAAGTTGAAAAATTTGCTGAAATTTCATTGTTCATTGAAGTTGGAGAACCTTCAAAAGTTGGAAATACTGGATAAGTTAGAACATGAAAAGACGTTGGGGCAAGTCTAGAACTTGGAGGAGTTGAAGATATGTTGGAGATGTTACAGAAGCTGGAGAAGATGAATTTGGAGATATCTGGAAATGTGTTTTTTTTTTCTTTGCTTTTTTTTAATCAAAAGGTAGAGATTAGAAATAGGAAAAGCCAAAGATGCTGGAGTAGAAACACTGGAGAAGCTGAAGAAGTAAATTAGAAGAAGGAAATTAGAGATGTTAGACAAGTAAGAAAACAAGAAGACGTTGGAAAAGTGGGGAAAAACAGATTAGTCAGAAAAGTTGGAGAAAAAAGTTAGAAAATTCTGGAGATGTTGGAAAGATCTGAGATGTTTTTCTAGATATTAGACATTTTATTTAAACAATAAGAAAAGTTAAAGAGGTTGAAGGAGCCAGAGCAAGAAAATGAAGAGGGTGGAAATTTTGGAAGTGTGTGAAAGTTTAAAAAACCTCAGGAAGTTGAGAGGTTAGAGTAGTTGGAGAAAATGGACAAGTAAGAAATTCATTTAAAAGAAGTAACAGAAGTCAGAGAAGTCTGAGGAGCTAGAGAGGTTGGAGGAGCTATGCTGAAGTTGTTAGAGAAGTTGGAGGAGTTAAAGAATTTGGAGGAGTTAAGTTGGAGGAGCTAGATAAGTTGGAGGAGCTACATTGGAGGAGCTAGGTAAAGTGGAGCAGTTAGAGAAATTGGAGGAGTTAGAAAATTTGAATGAGCTAAATAAGTTGGAGGAGCTAAATTGGAGGAGCTAAGTTGGAGGAGCTAGAGAAGTTGGAGGACCTAAGTTGGAGGAGCTCAATAAGGTTGGAGGAGCTAGATAGTTGGAGGTGCTAGAGTATTTGGAGGATTAGATAGTTGGAGCTAGGGAAATCGGAATAGCTAAGCTGGAGGAGCACAATAAGTTGGAGGATCTAGAGAAGTTGGAGGAGCTAAAGAAGTTGGAGGAGCTAAGTTGCAGGAGCTAGATAAGTTGGAGGAGCTAAATTGGAAGAGCTAGAGAAGTTGGAGGAGCTAGAGAAGTTGGAGGAGCTAAATTGGAGGAGCTAGAGAAGTTGGAGGAGCTATGTAAGGTGGAGGAGCTATGTAAGGTGGAGGAGCTCAATAAGCTGAAGGAGTTAAAGAACTTGTTGGATCTAAGTTGGGGAAGTTAGAGACGTTGCGGGAGCTAAATTGGAGGAGTTAGCAGGGCCGCTGTCTCTGCTGCTCTGCAGTGTGTGGGTCAGTCTGAGGCCGCTGTGCGGTGCTGGTGGTACCTTGCGCTGCTGTTTCTCCCAGGCCGGGTCCAGCAGCAGGTCTCTGTCCCACTCCTCCTCCTGCATCATGTACTCGTCCTGGTCGTAGCCGTTGTCGTACGGCAGCATGTTCTCTATCTGAGTCATCTCGAGCTCAGGGAGACTTCTAGACTCTACCTTTAACTCCGACACTGCTCGCTGCTCTGAGGGTCTTCAGACTGCCAGACGTTCACTTCGTCCCCCTTTAACACTCTTTATCCGTCTCTCTCTCTCTCTCTCTCTCTCACACACACACACACACTCCCCACCGCAACCGCACAGCGACAAGCGCGCGCTGTCAATTTGTACCGGTTGGCCACGTGACCCACTGGCGCACTCAACCCCGCCACGGCCCCCCTCCTTTCTCTCTTTCTATCTCTCTCTCTCTCTCTCTCTCTGTCACTGACGTATTCTTTTCTTGCTATTAGTAATCAGGGTTGTTTCTCTGTGTGCCACTAGAGGGCGTTTAGACCCACTTATTAAAGGGGAATTCCACCAATTTTTCGACATAATTAAATCAATTCAAACGTAAACAGAGTGATTTAGAGTGGTTTGAAGTGAAATGCTCCGTTCTAGAGAAACATACTGAGTCTGATGTCTTTACAGTGGTGGTGATGGGAACCAGGGGTCACAATGTCTACAGCACAAATATAGCCATTTTATTTACTATCTAAAACCACCAGTGAACCTACACGTGCTTTTATATAAAATGTTGATGATGTTTAAATAGTCATAAGTCTGAAAAAATATGTTTTATTATCATCAAACAATGTGTCAGACATCAGGCAGTGTATTCAAAGCCATTTTCTGTGTAATAACCTATTAGTAATTTAGTAATAACTATTTAGAACCATCAGTTCTATATACACTCTTTAAAAAGATGGTTCTTCAAGGGTTCTTTAGTATAGGTATTGGTTCTATTTAGAATCATCAATTCTATACACACTCTTAAAAACAGTCCTTCAGGGCTGTGAAGATAATGGTTCTATATACAACCATGAACACTAAAAGAACCATTTGCATGTGTTCTTTGCATGGTGAAAGGGTTCTTCAGATGGAGAATGTGTTGCATGTCGTTCTATACAGAACCTTTTTGAAAAGGATTCTGTTACGGTAATGATGTAAGTTTGTAACAATAGAAGAACCTTTTTTTGGTGCTATACAGAACCTTTTTCCATCAATCTGAAGAACCATTTCACAATGCAAAGAACCCTTTAATCATGCAAATGGTTCTTTTCAGAACCATTTTCTTTACTAAACAACCCTTTAAGAACCATGTTTTTTAAGAATGTAGAACCATTTCATGCTTAAATGGTACTTTGCATGGTGAAATGATTCTTCAGATTGATGGAGAATGTGCCGTATATGGTTCTGCATAGATTGATGGAGAATGTGCTGTATATGGTTCTGTATAGATTGATGGAGAATGTGCTATATATGGTTCTATATAGAATCCTGAAAAAGTAAAGAAACCAGTTTTTTGGAGATGTTACAGAAAAGGGAGAAGTCAGGGAGGGTGTAGAACAGAGGTCACTAATAGGCGGACCTCGGTCCGAGTCCGGACCCAGACGCTGTCCTATGCGGACCTGGACCTATAACCGATAAACTATGGAGAATTATTTCATTTTGATGGGGTGGTCCTATTTCAAGTGGCGTAACATTTCTAGTCATTACAGTACCGCTTTAGCAGCCAGGGAAACTCACAGACCAATTGCATGCATTGTAAATATAACATGTGACACTACTAAGCCAATCAGATCTGTGCATTACAATGAGCACTGAGACTCGAGTGAGTGACGCACACACAGGGGAGGGACGAGGCAAGAAACAGCAGTCGGAGAAGAAAGTGAGTCAGAGGGAGGTTATTTCACACGGTGCACTCTAAAAAGAGAAACCTGACAATGAATATTGTTGAAATATGACTGAATTGTACTTTATTTGATTTGACATTCAGTTGTTGACTGTGTAAGATGTTGATATACCTACTAGGCTACTTCAGTAAACAGTATATGGCACTGAATCATGATGCAAGTTGGACATTATGATGTTCCGGACCTTTTCTTGGAGAAATGTGCTCTAACTGGACCTTATCGAATTTTAATTAAATACCCCTGGTGTAGAAGTTGGAGACGTTTGAGAAGTTAGTGAAGGTGTAGAACCTAGAGACGTTTTTTTAAAAAGTTGAGAAGCAGGGACGTCAGGCATATTAGAGAAACTGGAAAATTCAGAGAAGTTGGAGAAATTACAGACGTTAATGAAGCTGGAACTTGTTGGAGAAAGTGGATAGGTCAGAGAAGTTGGAGACCTGAAATGTTAGATTTTTTTTTTTAAAAAGCTAGATGAGTTGGAGAGGTGTTAGAGACACTGGAGACCAAAGGTATTTTCTCTCTTGATGCCTCTTGTCCCCCGGACCCTCATAGAAGGCCCTGTTCAACCCCTCCAGGAGTCAACCCAGAGTTTTGCCCTTGCAAGGATGGAAAAGACGACGAGTGAATGGCACATTATTTTTATTTCCGTAGAAAACAACACATTCAAAAACATACTTCCATTCACACAAAAGCACATAAAAAAGGTTTTGACCTCTAAAGATAAATAAAAAAATGTTTTGCGTAGGCCCCTGGAACAAAACAAAAATCTCTTTGGCGCTGTACTTTGGTCATCTTGGTAGTGTTTGTCTCTGGAAGGCTTTGGCTGCATTTGGACAAAAGCTCATTTATTTTTGAGGCGGTCAGCATTTCTGTATACGTCTCCTTTGGTCAGAAGAGTGGAAACACTAAACTCTTGTTGTTATTCTCTTCTCTCTGGCCTCTTACTCACTTTTCTCTCTCTTTCTCTTCTCCTTTACGTTTAGTCTGGAGTGCCTGGATATTTCAGTGGTTATATTTTAGACATGGAAACTAAGATGTTCATGCTTGTTGCCATGCAGGAGTGTGAGTGAGTGTCTGTGCAACGCTGAACATTTTGACCGACATTGGACCGACTGATGGCCACTTTCCCGCTTTAAAACAAAAGTAATCTCAACTACACTTGCTTATGTCAGATGAACTGTTATCTATATGAAGGACAAAAGTACACACAAATTTCAGCTGCTATGATTGTTTTTCGCTACGCAGTGTATTTTTATCCTTTACATTTTGTGAGTCACTTTTAAGCCTTTTAATTGGATTCCGACACCACCATGGTCAGCTGGGGGGACAGTGAGAGACACCTCACACAGAGCCCAGGCTTCAAGTCCGGTGGAGATGGAGAAAAGGAAAGTGGGGGAGATGGTCAGTGTCTACAGTGCTGAACTATCTGGCACTGAGGGGCTTTGAAGGAAGAAGGCAGGAGGGAGGAGGGATGGAAGAAGAGCAAACGCTTTCCGTTCATCATTCCGTCTCGCTGAGGCCGCAAGGTCGTCTGAACTCCTGACCCCTCTCGTGGATCCATTTGTTCGATACTGGAGAGGCAGAGGAACAGTGTGAACGAAAGGCAGGGGAAAAAAAGTCTCACCCCATATTTTCAAAATGCTGTCTGTAGTACAAACCGAAGTTTCCCAGAAGATTAAATTAATAATGTGATGGAAAATAGAAATTAATTCTGTTTTTTTCTAATGTAGCTAAAAGGCAATGGAAGCTTATACTGCAGTTTGCACAGTGTTAGTATATAGAAATTACACTGTGTGTAAGTGTATGTATATATATGTATATATATATATACTGATCAGGCATAACATTATGACCTTCTTTCTATGCTCAATGTCCATTTTATCAGCTCCACTTACTATATAGGTGCACTTTGTCGTTCTACAATTACAGACTGTAGTCCATCTGTTTCTCTTGGCCCCCTTTTACCCTGTTCTTCGGTTGTCAGGACCCCCATGGATGATTTTCAGCACTGCAGTAACACTGATGTGGTGGTGGTGGTGTGTTAGTGTGTGTTGCGCTGGTCTGAGTGGATCAGACACAGCAGTGCTGCTGGAGTTTTTGAACACCTCAGTGTCACTGCTGGACTGAGAATAGTCCACCAACCAAAAATATCCAGCCAATCGGTGTATATATGATATATATATCATCTCCTTGGAATTTTAAGGTTCTATGTGACAGATTTTGGACTCTTTATTAAGAAAACAAAAAGGTTCTGTCTCCAAAATCAAACTCTAACTTAGTTCTATAAGGTTTTATCTGTGAGCCAATCAACCCCTCGAATAAGAACAAGAGGACCAACCAGGTTCTGCTTGTTTTTATTGTCTTATATTTTATTAATATCAAGCTTTAAAGATAATTAAATAGTAAACATTTAAATCGATTGGGTTTTAATTACAACATAAACATTAATTTCATTCATTCATCCATCTTTTCTTCCTTCTCCCAAAATAAGACATTTTGGTCAGGTCATGAAAATTAAATAAGTAATAAAAATAAGTGTCATAAAAATGTTATAGACAGCATTAAATTGAACTTCTTAATACCTGTAGACAGATAGAGCCTAAGCAGAAAGTGAGTTCTTAGGATTAAAGGTTCTGCATTTGAGCAGTTCTAAAAAAATTCATTTACAAATTTGATAGGATTTGATATTGTACATTCATTTGTTACTTGGAATGCACAATTTTTTGAAGCTCAATATCACGAAACTGCGCAGATTGAACCTTATAATTCCAAAGAGACGGTGTATATATGCACATGCTGTCTATATAAAGTACAGAGCAGAAGGCTTAGGCAGTCACAAAGATACTGATAAACAGATTTAACTCTCCCTGGTGAATTTTTTATTCATATTTATATATTTTTATATTAGTTTTTAATATCTTGGTTAGAAGAATACAGTTAGATGATCACAGGTTTGACATCTCACTGCACTCCAGTCATGGATTTGTTAAATTCCATCAGCAGCACCTGATTTAATGTAACTGTACGCGCTGGTCTTTCCTCCAGGAGAGCTTTGGAAATAGTTGAGCTACACTCCGACACACAGAACAACCACAGTGGCCCGTAGTGACAGCGTCCAGGGCAGAAGAACACACTTACCCCACTTGTTGCCCACGAGTACCGGGCAGGCTGCATGCCTTGTGCTGTAGTCTCCCTCCCCACTGGCAAACAGGTTATACCAGAACACTGCTGTGCCCTGCAAAACAACACAAACACATACAGTACAACACCTGAAAGTAGCGCAGACTAGTTCAGCACATACTGCCACTCTTTTAGAGAACCTACCTTTTTGGGCCACACTGCAGCTCCGACGTCTGGGAACACTGTAGCGCCCCCTGCTGCCACATCGCTCATCTGCAACGTGGACAATAATCAGTTAAAAAAAGCTCAGGTTGCAAACAATAAATGAAAATGAACAGCCACCAGTCAGGGTTATGCAGTGCCCTCCACAAATATTGACACCCCTGGTAAATATGAGCAAAACTGGCTGTTAAAAAATCCTAAATCTTATCAAGAATAAATATTTTTCTCAAATCTATGTCTGCCACAATTGTTGGCACCCTTTCCACATGGAGGACTCTCCTCTTAAGCTCATCCCACAGGCTTTCTAAGGGGTTTAGGTCAGGGTCAGACTGGGGTGGCCATGGCAAAACCTTAATTCTGTGGTCAGTCAACCATTTTTGTGATGACTTTGAAGCGGCTTTGGATCATTTTCCTGCTGTACATCCAAACTGTGGCCTAGTTTAAGCTTCCTGGCAAACGCAGGTGGTCTTTGATTGTAGACATTCTAACCCCAAGACCTAACTAATGCCTGCAATTCCCCATCTGCGATGCCTGGAGATTCTTTGTCCACTCTGACAATCTTCACCGGGTCAGTATAGACTTATGTCGTCTCACCAGCACATTCTTATCAGTTGTTTTAAGCTTCTTAATTATTGCCCTGATAGTGGAAATAGGTATTTTCAACTGTTTAGCTAATTTCTTGTAGCCATTTCCTGATTTGTGAGGAAATTTGGCCTGTGTTTCATCTCATATATATTTCCCAGTAATCAGGAAGTCATGACTGACCATTTAAGTGTTCTTAATAACTCAGGTGAACTTTAAAACATTAATTATGAATGAGAATATAATTCAGTTAGTTTCACTCTTAAGAATTCCTAGGGGTGCCAATAATTGTGGCACACACAGATGTTTTTCATGACAAGATTTATTTCTTTCTTTCAGTCTTTATACCTTGACAAGCCTTAGGTTTAATTAAACACTTCTATAAACTAATAAGAGCTCCATTAGTTTGCACTGAAGTCCCTGTAGTTACTGAATAATAAGGCTTTGTATAACATAAGTAAGGTTAGATTTTGCTGATTATAATTAATTATAAGGCTGATAAGTAATTAAGAATATTTTCTACAGCTCATTTCGCTCACGATTATGAGGCGTGCCAATATTTGTGGAGGGCACTGTATGCATGTCTGATCAAGCAATTCTTTTAAAAGGGAAGTTCCACTGATTTTTCAAAATTTCCACGTAATTAAGTAGTTAAGGTGTAAAGAATTATTCAGAGTGGATTAATCTGAAATGCTCCGACTGTGAAATGCTCTACCGAGTCAGAATTGTTCACAGTGGTGGTGGTAGGAACCAAACGTCTGAGTAGTTTAATGTCACTAAAAGCTCCCTTGCAAAAAGCTATTATACTAAACAGTTATGAATTCACCAGATGTATGAAACATTGTTTGATGTCAGTTTTCAGACGGTTTGGGCCTAAAACATATTGTTTTAAATCCAGGGGTAAATGAAGGTTGTTCCAAGGCAAAATAGTCCCCAAAGAATTGTTTTTTTTTCAGATTTATGACTATTTTATCATCATCATTAATACATATATAAACTCAGAAGACACGTGTAGGTTGACTGGTGGTTTTGGATGGTAAATAAAATGTCTATATTTGTGTTGTAGACATGGTGACCCCTGGTTCCTATCACCACCATTGTAAAAAAATGTAAGTTTCTCTGCATTGAACCATTTCATATCAAACCACTATAAGCTATTAGAATTATGCAGAATATTTGAAAAACTAAAGAAACCCCCCACAAACATTTACACTGTGCATTAAATTCTTACTTCAAGACTTGCTAATAAAATATACTGTTATGATATGCAAGGCAACTATTAAACCCAAACTATTTAAGCCCCTTAAATAGATACAAAGATCAAATCAAGTGCATGATAATAGACTGCATGTGAGATGAGAGATGGAATGAAAGAATAAAGATGGACAGATGCAGAACAGACGTGTGAAATAACTCACATAGAAGAGCCAGGTGGCGATTCTGTTTCCTGTGCCCAACTCTTTAAATGCATCCGGCTCATCTTTCTACACATGGGAACAATCAATCACACAGAGCAGTATTAAAAATACACATTAAAACATCAACGTAGTTGAAACAGATATAAACATAGCTGATGTTCTTAACCTGTACAATCTATACATTATGTTCTATATCAAATGTTTTTATTATAGGGCACTACTTTATTAAACTATGAATTACATGTATTTTTAAGATTCAACATGATAATATACTCTAGTTTCTCTGTATGTATAACTGGGCAGATGTGAACTCACCCTGCCAAAGTCAAAATGAGGCTCGTACTGTCCTCCAACTCCATAGTTTGCGACCTGAAAAGAGGCAACGACACTTTTTCAGCACTTTTTCATAGCCATGTTAAATAAGAAACTCTACTAAAGCTTATTTAATATATTTATGAAATATGTAAATATCTTATTTTTGTGTTTTTAAGCACTGGCCCTCACCTGCAGCTCCTCCGCTGTGTCCATCTCCAGGCCTGTGAGGTCCTCTATCCGCTGGTTAATCCTCTCGATTACTGGGTGCTCATCAGTGGTCAGCCAGGCACTAAGAGAAAGGAGGAGGGGTCAAATTAGGACACATAATTCCGCAACAATGGAAGACAGGAATACTTCCACCAAGAAATGCTAATATTAATACACAGAACATAATAAGTTCCACCTCATTTATTTTTGGCCACATTAGCATTTATGGGTGAAGTATGAATTGAACAGATGCCAGTATACAAGTTCATAAAGCAAAGCTCATGCAGATGATCTTCAAACAGACTTTCTCACAGCTAGTCTGGGCCCCTAAATCCCCCCAAATTTAGTTTCAGCTTTAGAAAATATGTTATTTTCTTATGTAGCCAAATTAATACAAAAAATATATATATTATAGGGCAGAGATCAGTAATAGCAGCTCTGGAAGGGCATAAAACTGTACAATCTGATGTAAATCTTGCTACTTCACAGTTTATTATGATAAATTATGCTAATTCTGAAGCACTTTGTGAGTTGGACTGACTTGCCCATCTGTACTGTAAGGAATTTACAGAAAACCAACGTGAAACAAAGTCTGTTTGTAGTGAGATAAATGTGCGAATGCAAGCAAAGCGATGGGTTAAGTGAAGAGAAGGACAAAAGAAAGGAAGGAGAAAGAGAAGAAGGAGTGTGTAAGCAGCTCTTTCCCCTTTAATTTTCTCTCCGACACACAAATGGAAACACTAGTCCAAGAGAAAGAGATTTAGAGTGGCATTTGAGTCCACAGTATTTCGAACACGTTTTACATGTCCTTAAATACAGCAACTGAACTGCTCAAAGGTACATTTTACACAAATTTTACATATTATGTTTCACTTTCCACTCAACTTATTCAGCCATAAAAATGACGTACTGTCACGTTAAGCGACATGAGCAGACGTCTTTTCAGCCTTTAGAAGAGCTCAAGTTCTCAAGTTCAAAAGCTGCTTTTATTCAACACTGACCATGATTTATTGTTCTCTCCACCCATGGTTGCCAAGCCTAAAATATCCCAAAAAATAGGCAGTTTTTCTGTGATTTTTGCAATATTTACAGCAAAGTCCTGTAATTTACTGTTGAAAGCAACACTAGAAAGTCAGACCTTGATCACAGGGAGTTCTGCAGCCTAAAATATTCCACCCGGTCAAGTTTAATTCTTCTCTGTCGCACGTCTGAGGAAACTGTACTTCTCAGTGATGCTTACTGAACCTGGAGAAGGTGCTTTTTTGTTGAGCACAGTGTGCAACACTATGGGGGACACTGGCATCTCTATAGCACTGATCTTGTGGAATGACTTGATAAAGCAGAAAGCTGAGCTTTTAAGTTCGAGTAACTATATCATTTTATAATTTATTCATATTCATGATGAGATGTGAAAGAAAAGTCGTTTAAAAGATATATATATGTATATATCTTTTGAATGACTTTTCTTTCACATCTCATCATGATGAGATGTGAAAGAATCGCATATATATCTCATATATATATATATATAGCAAAACATTTTATCTTCAAAGTGATAACTTTACAGGAGAAGGAAAAAACATACTTCACCTTTAATGTAAGTAAGTGGAACCAGACATTTTTCCAAGTAGTTTTTTCAAGTTTCTTTTGCTCCACTCATCATGAAATTTACATATATTGTAAAGGGCAACAGGCACTTTCAAATTATGTCAAAAAGTTAAAAACGACAAAAAATGGATATACAAGGTTTTGTTATGAGAGCAGCATTATTTATATATATATATATATATATATATATATATCACTAGGAATTCACTAAATTATAAGTACACTTATTTATTTTTAGCAGACAGTACAAACAACTTGCCTGGATTACGTTATAGCAACTAATTGTGGGAAAATTAGTAATTATAACTTGATTATGTAAGTACAAGTAACGTCAGGGCTTTCAGTGTAGTTTATGTGGTGTATATTTATATTTTCAGACAACTTAAAAAGACTGAGTTTCAAAACTTCATTCATTTGAGGTGACGAGTTCAAACTTAACTCATCAGGATTTACAGTGTGGGGTTCAGAGCTGGAGGCTTTCTATGACATATGAGTCTGGTAACTGTCAATCAAACAAGCAGCCAGTTTTCTGATGTACGAAATTCAAACAGTAAACACTGGAGGCTGCGCTATGTAAAGGCTGCTTATGGTGCTGGAATCTCAGCTATGCTAAAGGCCAGAGGCCAAATCAGCCGCGACGAAAGGCGTGTTTTTATTGGACGCGTTCCTGAATTCATATCTCTGGGCGACCAATCAGATCATGCCGTCTGTGCCGCTCTTGATCTGATCCCTCTGCGCCTGTATCTGTGCTTTCTCTCGGTCTGTTCCACTCTGTCTTCCTTCCAGCATTTCTTCCTCATTCTAACTCCTTCTTCACTTGTACGTTTGCATAAGTGTCTCCCTCTTTTTCATGCGTGCACATGCTCACGTAGGCCTGGATTAAACCCGACAAAAGTGCCACAGATGAAACCAAACTGGAGGAAATGTGGTGAAACTGACCCCACCCAGTTTAAAAGCTCCACACGTGTGTGCTTGTAATGAGCAGGGTGAGTTAAACCACTCTAGTGTAGGCGGCAGCATGACTGGGCCTTCTATCTATATCTTCATTAAAGGATATTTTCGTGCGTAGACTCAAACGGCTGGTTATGCAGCGGCAAAGACTGTTCAGAGTGCAGCTGGTGTGCCTGTATGTTGGAGACAATGTGATTTATTGTCTCTTGGAATTTACAGGGGGTTCGGAGTACATTCTAACATACACAGGAGGGTCAGAAGAATTGACAAAAAACAGAAAACCAAAAGAATTTACACTCCTTAACCTTCTCATCAGTGAGTTTTAACATTGAGTGTGTCCTAGAATGTATATGTGATAGTGATACACTGAAACTTCTTTTTTCTGCTGTTTAAATACACTTAGTTTAACAAAATGGGTTTAACTTAGAGAGGAACTCCACTGATTTTTTTAAAATTCCTGAGTAATTAATTTGTTAAGATGTAAAGAAAGTTATTCAGAGTGGTTTGGTGTGAAGTGTTCTGTTCTAGAGAAACTTACAGAGTCATAATTGGTTGCAGTGGTGGTGATAAGAACCAGACCTTTATTACATGTAATGGTTATGAATACTCAGCCTGATATCGGAGACAGTTTTATGATAGTTTTGAGATGAGATTTAAAATACATTCATGGCAGGGCGCTGTGAAGCTAAATAGTCCCCAAATATATATATATATATATTTTACCATCATCAGCATTACATATAAAACTCAGAAGGCACGTGTCGATTCACTGGTGGTTTTGAAGACTAAATAAAATGGCTTAATTTGTGTTATAGATGTAGTAACCCCTGGTTCCTATCACCACTACAAGGAGACAGTTAGTTTCTCTACAATAAACTATTTCAAACCAAACTAAAGCAGGCAACAGTTTTCGCCTAACTGTAATGAAAATACAGCATTCACTTAAACAGTGCATGGCTACTGCAGATGAAAATATACAAATATATTTTATATTTGAAAATATAAAAATACAAACTCCACTCTAAAACAAGCACATATGGGTCTTTACTATGCTCAAATTATTATAAAGTTCTATAAATTTCTATAAATACCTTAAATTCACTGCCACCTTAAATTTGCTGATACATATAATGCAGTGCCACCTTACATCCACTGCCACCGTACATTCACTGCCACATAAAATTCACTGCCACCTTTAATTTATTGCCACCCTAAATTTTCTGCCACCTTAAATTCACTGTAACTATAAATTAACTGATGCCTTAAATTCACCGCCACCTCAAGTCCTGATAATAGCAGCAGGCAGGCTAGCCGACAGCTTAGTCTCTCTAATACTATTCTCTATTTTCAAGCAATTTTGGATTTCAATTTTGAAATTTTTGGATGAAGTAGATGAAAGGAAGATAACCCTTGAAACCACTCAAAATATCAGCATGTGTTGAACTGCAAAGCCAGTGGAATCTAAGCTTTGACCATGTTTGACCCCTTACCTCTTGGAGACTCTGTACTGAGCAGTGGTGAGCTTTCCCGTAATAGGGTCATGTACTGTGGCGCGCCTTAGCTATACCCAGAGGGAGAAAAAGAAAGAGAAAGAGAGAGAAAGAGACAGGGAGAGACAAGCAGAAATATGAAAGACACACAGACGTAGATGGAGAGGGGGAAAAAGAGAAAGAGACAGACAGAGAAAGAGAAGGTCAATAGGGCTTATAATGCTAAATGATGACCAGCGGCTGAACAGGGACAAAGCAATTCAATTCTATAGTACGTTAATTCAGCTGTTTTCTCAACTTCTTTACTTAAAGGGCCCATATCATGCAAAACTGAATTTGAAGTAAAATAGTGTGAGGAACACTGTTCAACACATACTGTTCGCTCCCCACATACAAAGGCTAAGCTGCAAAAACAGCCCATTTTGAATTCATTGTTTTTGTGATGCCATAAAAAACAATTTTCATTAATCTGCCGGTTCCACCTACATGACTTAGCCAGCTCAGTCATGCTGAAATTATTAATAATGAAATAATTAATTATCCCAATTAATAAAGTCACAATACAGGCCAGGCCAATCAGAACGTAGATCATTTAAATATATGTCTTATGCCTTAAGGGCACAGTAACACCATCAGCCTGTTTTACTCTAACAAATAGAGAGAAAATGGTCATGAAAAAAAAGAATTATTACTGTTGTTGGTACATAAACCCACAGAAACATCATAAGTGGACCTAAGGGCAAAAAACAAAATGGAAGAAAAAAAAAAAGTAGGATATGGACCCCTTAAATCCAGTCATTTCTAGCACATTTGCTTTTCATACTCTGAACTTTTGTCCACTGGTCTCTGTTCCACCACAGTCAAAGCATGTTAAAACTGCTTAAGGAGAAAGCAAAGAACACTGTGTTCTTTACGTTTTCCTTCAATTCTCATCCACCGCTGTTGCATAAAACCGCCAAGCAGTCAGGGCCCATAACTCCTCAGCAACAGCACATTCTCTCGGTAATTCTGTTCCACCACTTACCCTGAAAATAACATCTACAATCTAAACTAAAACATTTCAGAATGATATCCTGAAGGATCTAGAATGTTCTAGAAGTTTGAGTGTTCTTGTACACACCAAGCAGCCATTACACTACAACTACGTCATTGTTTCTAGACTCATTGTCCATTTTATAGGCGCACTTTGTAGTTCTACAAGTCCAGGCGGTAGTTTCTCTGCATACTTTGTTCGCCCCCTTTTCACCCTGCTCTTCAATGGTCAGGAACCCCACAGGACCACCACAGAGCAGGTATTATTTGAGTGGTGGATCATTCTCAGCACTACAGTGACTCTGATGTGGTAGTGATGTATCAGTCTGTGTTGTGTTGGGACGAGTGGATCAGACACAGCAGTGCTGCTGGACCTCAGTGTCACTGCTGTACTGAGAATGGTCCACCAACCAAAAACTGATCCACTCGTGCCAGCGCAACACACACTAACACACCACCATGACGTCAGTGTCACTGCAGTGCTGAGAATGTCCCACCACTCAAATAATATCTGCTCTATGGTGGTCCTGTGGGGGTTCTGACCATTGAAGAACAGGATGAAAGGGGGCTAGAACTACAAAGTGAACCTATATGGTCAGTGGAGCTGATAAATTGGACAATGAATGTAGGTTTTAATGTTATGGCTGTCTGATGTAAAGTCACTGGCCACTTTATTAGTTATAATTTATTGTTTCTGCTGTGGAGTTTTGTGGCTCCTGTACGAGTTAGAGGAGCAACGAGGCAGCATGGCTCCCCTGTAGCTGGACCGGCTCCGTGGCCTTACCTCTTGCTGATCCGGTAGGAGGCCGTCTCCAGCACACCCGTGATGGGGTTAGAGATGGTGGCCCTCCGCAGCTAAGGAGCCAGAAAGGGGTTAACACACTCTGTTTGGCACTCACAGGCTACACTAGATTGGTTTAGTCCAAAATAGTGCCAAGTCTTATATGATCTATACCAGTATAGGTCTCACAGAGCAATAGGGGTGCATGGGAAACAATGTAAAATGTATTGGTCATCTTCTTGTATTCCCATAGCAACGTCACTGTGAATTTTGACAGCAACCGGACAAATCTTTCTCCAGATTCACCCTGAAGACTGTTTTAATATCAGTGTATGTTTGTGTATTTTCAAATATCGGTTTATATGTATAAATCACAGAATTCGCTCCTATATTATTTTAATCTCTGTCTCCGTGAGCACTATAGTAAATAACTCACAGTGAAAGCTATAAAGGCTAATGTACAGCCTCCACATGGCGGAGGTAGTTTCAGCACAGTGTTACAACAAACCCTCCCAAGAAAAAACAATGGGAATAGTCCATATGCTCCAATATCAGTTCCAAACAGTTGTATGCAAATAAAACATATTTTAGTCTTATCATGCTGTTATTTGCAGCTCTACTCTGTCTATTGTTAGCCTCTTTTCACTAACAATATTTATTTTGGTACATATATTTTTATGTAGTCAGGTTAAAAAGTTAATTTGGCAGAATCAACACTGTATCAATTGTGTTTGTAGAATTCTCCCAGACTTTCTACCAGACCTTCTTATATTTTCTACTGTAGGGGGATGTGTAAGTAAGTTGCCTGTATAAAAATGATTAATCTTGCTCAAATACTTTTAAAATTTTAAGCAAAAAAACAAAATTTGCTACATTGTGCCCCGCTCTCCCCTCCTGACTTTTAGGGCGTTTTCACACTTGTCTCGAATACTTGAGTCCGGACCCAGGACTGACTCTAGGCTTGTTTGGTGAAGGGGCTCATTATTGCTGGTCTGCTTTCACACACAAAAATACCTTCCAAACCGTGGATCGATTGCACAATTCCATATGCCAGTTTTCTGCGCGCAGGTTTGCAAAACAGTCGGCACTAGCTTCGTCCGTTCGCTACTTTTCATTATTTTCCTTGGATATAAACACTCAAACGGAACAGTTGAGAGTTTTTATGAGTTGTGGCCTTTTACACTCGAATGCCTTCTTCACTTCATATATCTAGTGAGGCATTCCTTCTCCTCCACTGTCTGCAACAATCCTTTCCCTGCCATCCCAAAACTTGAGAAGGGAAGTGATGCAATAAGTTGAAACAGTTACAGTTAAAAAATGAACCAATCACGCCACACGTAGCGCCAGGAACAGAAAGCTTCCACACGCGCAGCGGACCACCCTGAAAGGGAATCCCAGACCAAAGGTCAGCACTCCCTCAGACTCCCGCAGGTCCCACGGGACCTGGCACAATATGTTGCGGCGTGGGACTAATTTTCAAAGTTGTGCATGGAAGCGGGCAGATAACCAGGACACTGGCAGCAGGAGCAGGCCAAACACGCAAATCTCGCAAATTAATGAATAACCTAAAGAAAGTAGAACAATCTCTAAATCATATATAAACAATAAAAAAGAATAACAGTAAAGCAATTAAAATGAATTAAGTCATTCTAAAGAGTTGCGAAGCAACCGATCACATGAACAAACATGCAAATTCTCCTAGTTTACAGAGATGGTGGAGCCTTCAGTCTGACGGCCACAGCTGCCCAGCAAAACACCAAAAATAACCATCTATGGTTTAATTCCAGCTTTGTGTTACTTCACAGTGAGCCTGACGGCCATGACTGCTGTGTTATTTCAGTGTATTTGGGAATAGACTCTCAGACGTTGGATGTCAGTTCGCCTTGACGGAACTGCGCGGGTGGGACCGGGGCAAAACGTTTCGGTTTCGGGCGGGAGCAGGACAAATTACTCCAATTTTTTTGCGTGAGCGGGATGAAATCTTGTGGGAGCGGGACTGAAAAGAAACAGTCCCACGCAGACCTTCCACTGATTTGAGGAGGACCAGAAGTCAGTTCTCTGGACTGCTCCTGAGCTCGAAAACAGCTTTCACACTTGTACACTAAATGTACCAAACTCTCAGAGCAAGCAGTCCTGGGTCCGGAAAAAAACAAAAACACCTTTAGGTTCTGTAGTATAGACGGATTTAACAAAAAGTGTTTTAAAAGAACAGTTCAGTATACATAAAAAAACCCTAGATATCCTAAATATCCTCCCTTTGGAAAATCTGGTTTCTGCCTGGTTAACGTTTACAACACTGTAATACTGGGTAGTTGACTGGCCAAGACATGCTCGATGTCTCTAGAGAAACAGAACCTTTCCTGGAATCAATTTCAAGCAAATCAGATGACCGAAAATCCCTCCTCCATTCAACTGTGAAACTCATGATGTCTAGGGTTTGCCAAAACTAAGGCTGTTCTAACTGTGCTTTCAAACCTATTTAAAAAAAAAAACAAAAACAGTGCAAAATCTCCACAGAACTAAAAAAGCATCGCATGACAAGCAGCGACCAATCAGAGAGCAGAACTCACTCTGGGCTTGGCGAGCTCTTTAACCTTGCTGATCTCATAGTCGGAGATGATGTTGTGGTAGCGGACGATACGGGGGCGGTCCCACTCATCCTCCTCTTTCACAGGAGCCAGAATCAAGCGAGGGTTGCGCCCGTTGTCTTGGTAACGGCAAAACAGACGGCTCCACCTACGATGGGTCTACAGGTAAAGAGAGAGAAAACTGTATGATACAGAAATGCAGCAGAGGATGGGAAGAGCGAGCGACACCTTGGAATGGGTGTGGTCATTTAAATATAGACACATCTGAACTTTTTAGTATTTGTTTACTAAATCGAGTACTAAAATATGAAACGTGCTTGTCAGAATAAAAAAAAGAAATACATTCTGTGTTATAAATGACATTTATATTACATAACATTACATAATATATACTACACAATGCAAGTAGTTAACACTGTGTCTCACTTTAAATTTCCGCATTATTAAACTGTAATGAAACAGAGTCATTCAGAGTGGTTTAAAGTAAAATGTTCGGCTCTAGAGAAACTTCTAATCGAGTCAGAATTGTTTACAGTGGTGGTGATGGGAACCAGATGTGTGAAGAGTTTAGCTCCCTCACAGAAGGTTAGTACATAAAATGGTTCTGAATACACAGAAGTTTTGAGAGGTTTTAATCTAAAACACATTTAGAAGATTAAATCTGTTTGTTAAAACAGCCCCCAAAAAGACCTTTTTAAAGATTGGCCACTATTTTATCAATTCTTTTTAAAAAATGGTTCTTCAAGGTTTCTTGAGTAAAGTTAATGGTTCTATGTAGCAATATGGGTTCTATATATAACCATTTCACGCTTAACTTCAGACTGATGGAGAATGTGTTGTATTTGGTTCTACATAGCACCAAAAAGGGTTCTTCTAAATGTTACAAGCTTGACATCGCCACAATAGCAGAACCCTTTCAGAACCATTTTCCAAAAGGTTCCACATAAAACTACATACAGCACATTCTCCATCAATCTGAAGAACCATTTCACCATGCAAAGAACTGGTGAAGTATAAAATAGCTCTATATAGAATCCATGCTTCTAAATAGAACCATTCCCTATATTAAAGAACCCTTGAAGAACCCTCTTTTGTTAAAGTAAACACTACATGTAAAAACTCAGAAGGCGTGTAGCTTCACTGGTGGTTTTGGATAGTTAATAACACGGCTGTATTTGTGTTGTAGACATGGTGACCCCTGGTTCCCATCAACACCACTGTAAATACTACTGGTTTAAAAAGGCAAATATTCGAACGGTAACAATGGTCAGAAAATGCCCATCTGTAGAAAGAACGAGAGAATGACAGAGGTGTAGAGTTCTCACCATTCTGACTCCCTCTCCCCGGCACAGCTGTTCGTATCTCTTCCTCTCGGGCAGAGGGTCTTTAGAGCGCTTCATCTGCACGTCTCGTTTATCCACCTTTTTCTTCTCTTCCTCTTTGACTTCTTTTTTCCCCTCTGTCTCCTCTGCTTTCCTCTGCTTCTCCAGCTGGAACTCGAAATACTTCAGGTTGCTGTTGGCCCGCTGATGAGTAGGATCTGGCAACCACACACACACAAACACTATTTCAGCAAAGCACACAGCAGAATACAGGTTAGCAATAACTCACTGGCCACTTTGAGCCCAACCTACATTATAGGTCCACTTAAAGGGTTTAACAATTCCAAAACATATTGAAAAATCACATTTGAAATTTAGACTGTACTACCGATACGCCCCTCGGTTCCTTACGAGGGTCTCTCATTTAGTGATGAGGGTCTCTCATCTCTCGTTTAGTGACAATGATGAAAACAAGGCATCCGGGTCATCCAGTCAGAGCAAAGTGAGCAGAGATAAATCACTGGGCTTTTTTATGAATCAGTTATTAATTCTATACTCTTAAAAAGATGATTCTTCATGGGTCTTTAGAGCGCTTCAACCATTTAAGCATGGGATGGCGCTATATACAGTAGAATGGTTCTATATAGAACTCATGGTTCTAAACAGAACCATTTCATTCTTAAATGGCTCTTTGCATGGTGAAGTAGTTTGATGGAGAATGTGTTGTATATGGTTCTATATGGAACCTTTTTGAAAAGGGTTATAATTAGCACCCAAAAGGGTTCTTCTATTGTTACAACTTTGACACTGTAACAATAGAAGAACGCTTTTGGGTGCTATATAGAACCATTTGACAGCACATTCTCCATCAATCTGAAGAGCCCTTTCATGATGCAAAGGATCATGTAGCGGGTTCTTTGAGTGTTCATGGTTCCATATAGAACCATTTTCTTTACTAAAGAACCCTTGAAGCACCATCGTTTTTTAAGAGTGTCGCAGAACCCTTTTTGGGACCATTTTCAAATGTTGTTGCATAGTGTATTATTCTTCCACGTGAGTGTCACTGCTAGGTTGACAGTGGAACGTCAATCCAAAATATCCAGCCGAGAGCTGGTCAGATATGGACTGCTGATGAAGGGATAGAGGATGACCAGCACAAACTGTGCATCAACAGATGAGCTACAGTCTCTAACTGTACACCAGCAAGGTGGAGCTACAAGGTACATGTTTCTAATAAAGTGGCCACATCTGATTGCTAATCATCCTGCAGAGTCGCCCTCTTACCCAGTTTGAGCATCCTCTTGGTGAGCTCCAGCGCCCGGTCTATCTCTCCCTGCTGGTAGATGGCGTAACTGAGGTAGTCCATCACGGTCACCTTGTCTACGGAGGAGCTCTCGCCCTCGTCCAGCTGTTTCAGAGCCTGCGTCATCCACAGTTCTGTGTGGTAATAGTCCGCTTCAGAGTAGGCGACTTTCCCCAGCTCGAAACAGTCCTCCACCGTCATACGGCTCTTATGGACAACACCTGAGCGAGCAACCAATCAAATTCCTGTTATTTTCGGGTATATTTCATTCATCATCCTACAGTCCTACAGTTGTTATGGCATGCCTGGTATTAAGGTGTTGTGAGACTGTACTATGGTATCCCAGGTAGTTGGTAAGGTGTTGCTAGGTTGTTGCTATAGTATTCCAGGTGGTTGCTAAGGTGTTGCTAGGTGGTTCCTATGGTATCCTTGGTGGTTGCTAAGGGATTGCTAGAGGGCTGCTAGGTGGTTGCTGGTGGTTGCTATGATATCCCACATGGTTACTAAAATGTTGCTAATGGACCTTTAATAAACCTTTGCACCCCATTCAATCATATGTGCAAAAAGGATTGGGAGCACCATTCCCAATCAGACTGAACATTCCGGAGTTGGAATGATGTCAATATCTGAAAAACTGCAGGAAGAGCTGGCGAACACAAACTCAGCAGAAAAATAAGAGAAACTTAAATGAACATCAAGCTAGATTTCAACCCACTGAGATATGATCCAATGTTAAAATGAGGATGCGCTTTAAAAATGTTCTTCAGCAGCTCCTCGAAACTTAACTGTACTCACACGGACGCCCTCCAACACACACTCACCTGGCAGGTCTCCAGCGGAGAGGACGTTGGCCGACAGCTTGTACGTGTCCTGCAATCTGAGCAGAGCCTTAGCTGCTCCAGTCTGGTCTTCATCCGTGGGGAAGTACTGCCTCTGCACTGTCAGATTAGAGATAAACCCTGCAGAGAGAGAGAGAGAGAGAGAAAGAGATGCTTTGGTTATTTGAAACAGAATTGTAATCAAAACTGACCTGGACCCTTTTTTAACCTTGTTAGTTTTTAAGCTTTTTAAGCACGACTCATCATTTCATGCCACATGAACAACAAAATTCTTGTTATCCTGGTTATTTATACTCCAATTTAAGTACTATACATACTACCTCACTGTAGTTCGGTGTATAGGTATACAGTACATTGATATACTTGGAGTTTATAGTACTGATATCTGCATTTTTATCATCTACAAGCAATAACACTAAAAAAAGCTTTGAATTTCTTGATTGAGTTAATAAAATATAGCAAGTTAGTTATTGTCAATATGGCATTAATACAATTCCTTCATCAGGAACACATTTGAGTACTCATTCTTATTTTTCTTACCGAACTCTTCATTCCTCTCTGTCTATATTTATATATTGATATTAACAACACAAACACACTGACCATCAGTGGTGTCCTTGAGCACCAGGCTCTCCAGGTCGGCCCACTCTGAGTTTAGCCTCTTCATCAGTTTGAAGGCATTGACAGGGTGACCCAGGAAGCCCTCAGGATCCTGCACCGCTGTCGCGGTCAAAGAGTCCAACTTCTCTGCCCACCTAACACACACACACACACAAACACAGACTGTGAGAGGCAGTGTGGAGATCTAGGAGATCTATAGTTTTTGTATATTGATTATTTAGTTATTAGTTATTTGCATGTATGTATATGCATGTGTGTACGTACTGTTTAACCTGCTGCAATTTGCTCTCCTCTGCTCTGATGTAATCTTTTAGTGATGTCACCAGGTCCTTCTCTGTGTACAGCAGGTCAGTCATCTGGCCTGAGGGTTACAGTGGTCAAAGGTCAATCATACCACCAAACTTTTACAGTGAAAGAGAGTAAAGGAGAGAAAATTAATGAAAAGTGGTGTCATTTAAAAGAATTTAAGGGAAATTAGTTCAGTGAAATTTTGAATGTACACAGTGAACAAAAGTTCTGTTGCATGGCAACAGCAAACATCTCAAAAACCTGAATTTTCAGATAAACCACATAAGCGAGTCTTTTTGAGATTAATTAACTATTTGACACAATTTGAGGCAAATGTGTGATGAGTTAGTCATGCAGTTTTGAACAATGTTAACTGGTTTATATAACATTACTATCAGAACAAAACATCTCCATTTTGTGCTGTTTTATTAATGTTTTTACATAATTTGAAAATATCAGCTGCTGTTTGAACCGTGTTAAAATTTTCATGACAAATGGGCCACAGAACAGGTCCAGAATGGCATAATATAAAATACTGTTATATGCTCTTACATTGACAGTTAAGTTTTTTTCCTTCTCCTGTACAGTTACTTTTTTGGGGATGCTAAGTTATTCCTACAGTAACAATAAGCTTATAGTATATATATATATATATATATATATATACATATATATATATATATATATATATATAGGACCGAAAACAAAAAAAAACAAAACAAAAACAAATATGTATGAATTCTTTGGAGATTGTTGCAGTAATATTATATGTATTTTTGTCTGGTGAAATTAAATGTTGTAGACATTTGTTGTAGAGAAGTAAAAAAAATCTAAAAATAAATTGAAGAACAATAATTTTCTTACAATCTCATAATAAAAAAATATTCCATACGTTAGACTACATTTAAGTTGTCACTTGCCACAATAGCACTGTTTGTAGTATAGAGGTGAAGATGACTCACCGATAGAGGTGAAGAAGTCAACGTGGGCATGAAGAGTTTGGAAGAACAAACTCAGCACCAACCAGTACAGCGCCATCCTGAGAGGGGGAGAGAGAGCGAGAGAGAGAGAGACAGAGAGATGAGTAAGACATTGTCAGCTTTGTAGATGCAAAAAAAGTCCAGTTAAACATACAAAGATGTTTGCAATTAGAGCAGAACTGCACAGCAGTGTTTAACGAATCCCTCCAAATTACACAAACAGATCCTGTCTAGCCTCCCCACACACACACACAGACAGCCACTTGGCAGGCCTGTCACATAAATAGCCATCTGCATAGCAAAGCCACTGCCCAAATCATACCTTCATCTGTGTTTGTTAGAATGCATGCAGTATTGTGCAAATGTCAGAGACCACCCTTCATTTATTAAGGTCAAAACAGCCCTTAAGCACAAGTTATTCATTTTTCAATAGATATTTCTGAAAAGATAAAAGATAATCCACTTGCATGAGGAATGAGAAATGAGAATGAGAAAGTCAAAGAAAAATAAGTGAAGTTTCCAAAACTGGAGTTTGCAAAACTGATTTAAAGCTACAGAGAAACAACCACCTGGAAGACCTGGTAGACACCAAAGCTGCCCCCATCAGATAAACAGCACTTAAAGCTTTCATCTCTGAGAGAGAGGAGAAAATCAAGCTGCTTCAGATCTGAAAACATCCACAGGTGTTTCTGTCCATCCTTCCACTGTGAGAAGACAACTCAGTGCTATGGGTCTGAAAGGATGTGTAGCTGTCAAGAAGAACCTCACTGAGAAAAGGAGACGGACACATCAAACAAAGAAGCTGAACAATGGACTGACCACCCCAGAGTCCAGACCTCAACACCACTGAATGTGTTTGGGATTATTTGGATGGTGTGAAGCAGAAAATGCAAAACCAACTTCCAAGACTGAACTTTGTAGGTGTGGAAAAATATCCCTTTAATATCACTACTACTGTTTATTTAGTGAATTTAACATATGTCAAAATAATAATAACTATAAAATGTGGCATGGGGTTTGACCTGGGGTGTTAAAACCTTTGCATATGACTGTATGTGTGTGAAGTTGCCAGGACACTAGCATGCATTATGTGTGTGGCAGAACAAACGCAGATGTGTGTGTGTGTGTGTGTGTGTGTGTGTGTGTGTGTGTGGCTGTATAAACACGACACCTCTGTAAACCCTGAGGCGAAGCGGGGGGAGGACAGAAGGAATGCTATGGCAAATGTCTTAATCACACGTACACACAGAGTGTGCTGGAGGGGTCACACCAAATCTGCTCACCATCTGCCTTATTGGTTTTTTCATTTGTGGGTAACAGAAGCTAAATTTAGTTTTACATTTTGTTTTTTGCAGATTTACAACAACTCAGTCCATCGATGAGGTCAGCTCAGCTGAGACACGTCCACATGCAGCTGACCGCAGCACATGACAGGACAACCGTCAATTAGATGGATAGTCCTCTGATGTCGTGCATTTTTCTGTATTTGGTGTCCTGCTCATATAACTTTACAGCAGATTTGAGCAAAATGTAGTTAACAAAAAGGCTCCATATATGGCGACATGTTTTATGCTGTGTTGTTTAGCAGTCAAAATATGAGAAATGCTACATGCATCCTACAAGCAATTCCTGTGCGCTGAAATGACATAATTTTGCATCTAAAATCCAACATCACAACATTTTCATGATTCACAATGTGTCACCATTTGGTTAGCCATATTTAATAAGTTAGAACAGACAGAAAAAAGCAGTGCCACATTTAAGAAAACAACCAATACAATGTTGTTGAAGTTGTTCTTAAAGGCACTGACAATATCCACAATATACTCAGAACAGCTTGCTGTAATGTAATTTATCACAGTATGACAACATATTGTCTATATTTCCCACCCATATTTCACTATGATCCTATGTGATTTCCTTCACTCCCTTTGGTATGATTCATGATCATTTTTACTCAAATGATTATGATCATCTTCTCAAACTGTAGCCTCTTAACTACCACATTTAACCAAGTCTGCTGGTTTGTGTGGGGTATTCTAGCTAGGCTGCCAGTCTTATGATGTCAGTCGAGGGTGCAGCAGTGTTGCAGCTTGCATGCAGCAATATTCGTATTTCGACCCTTTAACAAGCTTATAATTCAGAAGATCCAGTGATACTTGGAGGAAAAATGTCTGCATGGCAAAACTTTGGCTTTGGAACATTTTCAGTTACCAAAAAACAGCATTTTCAAAAACATTTATTTTCTTCGTTAGAAATCTGCTTAGAACCTGAGGTCCTAACAGGCACATGGCACCAAATACACAAAGACAACGTGAATTTAGAGGTCTATATATTAGTTTATGCGTGTTTATGCGTGTGTATGTGTGAGCCTGCAAGTCGATTAGGAGTGTGAATCTCTGACAACAATTCAATCAGTTTGACTGATCAAGAAATCTCACATTTTACCATAAAGTTGGTGATATGACAACAAGGACACATACAGTGTCACTAATGCAAAGCATTAAAATCTCCTTGCATCGACATGCTACTAGCACCCTCTTGTGGAGAATCTTCAGCCTGCTAAACGTGAGTGAGTGAATCCATGAGGTGTTTTGCATCTGAAATATAACATCCCCAAAACTTTCGCGATGCACAACATATCATATTTTTGTAGTTGTTCAATTATAAAAACCATGATTTCTGATGATCACATTTAAGATGTACTACCAAAACTATGAATAGAATGATTTGTATTCAATTTTATACACACTAGTCAGGCCTAATTATACTTTCATAGAATGCAACATAGCTGGTCAATGTTCTGGTCAGTGGTTTTTAAGTGCTTACAATAGTTTCAATATGCTTAGAACAAGTTATTTTGATGTAATTTATCCCAATTCAATATCACAAAAATTACTGTGATGATTCAATTTGATTTTATTCACTTCTTTTGGTATCATTCATAATCATTGTTTAAAAAAGCTCAGTAAAAAGAATACACCAAGATTTTTTCCTGAACGTATTATAATCAATGAGAAACTATTCACTGTAGAATCTTGCTAGTGGAGTCAACACCTCCAGACTGACCACTACAGTCAGGGTATCAGTTCACATTTGGGAAATTTCTCATCTAAATCTCCTACAACAAACTAAGTGATGTCTCCCACACAAATAAAAAAAGAAGAATGCGCTTCCTCATCCAGTGTTCTTTGGCACACTGACAGGACTGTGTTTGACTTCGAGGACAGTAACGAAGGCGTCCTTCCGCCAAACATAGCTGCAGGCTAGATTATTAAACATATGACTCACACATTAAACCTCTGCAACTTTAGTTTGAGTTCATAAGGCTTACAAACACAATGTCTAAGTGGGTATGAAGGAACAGTTTAGCCAAAAAGTTAATTCACATATTTTCCTCCTTTCCCCAAATGCTAATAACCTAAGACGTTTGCCCCTATGGACATCTGATATATGGCAATATATGGATTTCAAATATATAACATTAGCATATATGGATTTCCCTTATATTAGTCACATACAGACATATATGTGACTTGTATGCCAACTTATTTGAAATTGGCCATATTTAAATATGAGACATAGATTTCAGTCATATATCAACATATACAAACACAGATATGTAACAATAACATTACTCATATATTGATGGCATATATTACTCATATATACAAGCTTTGTGTTTATGTTTATGTCTTTGTTTCTTTCATGTTTCCTAATGGAGTCAAATTTAGCATAATTAACTAAATTCTAAAACCATGCACATTGTAAGCTGTGCACTTAAATGATTTCATATTTAAAAGCAAACAGCTAACACGATAACAATTATAACTGTAATGAGATGTGTTAACCTACCTAGCACACATATGTATACATATGTATATATATGATTCACATATATTGCATATTTGATATTTGCATATATGCACTCGACATACACGTACATATCGCTGCTGTCAGAAGAAAACCTCGTATGTCCATTTTTGTTGTTTTTCAGTTTTTGACATAATCTGAAAATGCCTGTTGTCCTTTACATTGTGTGTAAATTTCATGATGAATGGACCAAAAGAAATGGGCTAAAATTACTCAGAAAAAAGTCTGGTTCCATTGACTTACATTAAAAGTAGAGTATGTTTTTTCCTCCTACCGTAAAGTTATCATTTGGGAGATTTTTTCCGACAGCAGCAATTTATTTTAAATATTCCTGATCCTTTGTGTTGTATGTGCATACATGGGCATATATCAGATTTTGTATAAGTGGTGTGAAAGTTCTTTAGTTTTGCACTGGAGCGATGAGGCTAATAGCCTGGCTAACAAGTACCGGAAGCTTTCCTCACTTGATGTGTGGAGCTTAATAATCTCTAATAGACTTAATTATGTGGTTTCTGATACTGTCTATTATTAACATGGACAAAAGGCAGCAATGACATGCAGTTTTAAACAATGCTAACTGTGTGGGAATTAGAACATGTTGAACATTTCTACTTTGTAAATTTTAATTGATCGTAAATTTCCTTTGCCAAACTATTCCTTTTAAAAAGTCCTGATGGCCCAGAAAGCTGACATCATCAGGCAGAATCCTGCAGGAGGCTATGCGAACTCTGTGCACCTCGGAAACACATTCCACTATTAAGAGTCACCTTCAGGCTATATGGAGGGCTCCTGAAACACTAAGCACAGCCTATACCAACCTCAGTCAATGTAGCCACGTTTACTGTATCTGATTATGTTTAACTCCTTAAACTCCAAGGCTTCATGTGCACAGTAACATTTATCACTCTAATAACTACATAACTCAGGCCTCATGCTAACAATTCATAGTAATTACTGAACAAATTATAGTTACAGATAAATTCATTACAGTTAGTGAACAACTCATAGTACTTATTGCATAATTCACTGTAGTTTTAATAGTTTTTATTAATAGTACTTTATGAATAATCAATATTAATTACTGAATAAATCATTCTAGCTACTGAAGAATTCACAGTACTTATTGTACAAATCATTGTAAATACTAATAACTAATTATAACTAATGATAACTAATAATAATAATGACTGAAAATCCATAATATTCAGTGAATAATTCAAAGTAATTACTAAAAAATCCATAGTAGTTACCAAGCAATTCATAGCTGACGTGAACAATTTGTAGTTAATAATGAACAACACAGTAGTTTTTGAATAATTCATATAAATCATGGTACAAATCAATCTAAATACTGAATTATTCACAGCAGTTACTGAATAATTTATAATACTTCATGAAAGATCTGTAGTAATTACTGAATAATTAATAGCATGTATTGAATAATTCATAATACTGAATCCTGAAACCTGAAACCTTAAGATAGGTGAGTTCGTGAAGAATGCACTTTCCATATAATGATATTTCACACCGTCCAACAAAACACTCATAATTTTCCATATGATATTTCTGCTATGATACATCTTTTCTGCTATGATGCATCATTTCATTCTCTGTTTTTTCTTGCTGTCCAATGAAATGTGTCCAATACTCTACAGGTTTATCGCTCACTGTCCAGTGAAATGTGGTGCGTTTTTCCACGTGATAATCTTAAAGACTTTCCGTGTGGGACGTGAGGGGCTGCAGCTGTCCAGCTGTGCGCTCGTGAGGATGTGAGGCTCCAGCATGGAGGCAGAGGAACGTCCCGCTCATAGTAGGAGTGGAGGAGCACTGCCACGTGTTCGCCCCAACCCCCCCCCCCTTCACACACACAAACCGGGGGTGGGGAGGGGGGTGTAATTTACCTGCTAAAGCATTTAAGAGAGGCAGAGAGGCAGAGTATGCACAGTAACCTGTTGCATTTGCTGAGTTTCATGCGCTTTGGTGCATTTCTGGTGGATCTGCACTTTTCTCTATTTTCAGTTTCCGTCACATTTAGTTCCTAATTGCTTTTTTTTTGTTTCATTTCATTCTGTTGTGCTGGTTCAGCTCCTGGACTGGACTTTATTTAAGAGAAAGAGAAGAATAGAGCCTAACAAACTTCTATGCTAGATGCACTGAGACGTGCAGGAGTTTTGGGCCTTTTTGGGATAATGTTTCACTCCCTTTTGGTTTTTGGAAGCTGCTTTTACTTCTACTTGAGTCAATCTTTCAACTGAAGTGACTACACTTTTACTTGAGAATGGCTTTAAGTTACACTTACAGTGTCAAACTGCAAAAACATACTGTATACTGTAAAAATGCCGGTGCTTTTTACAGGCAGAAGCAGAAGTAGTTACTGTTACAGTGCTTTCAAATGTTTCGTAAAGATGTCAGGAGTCAAATAAAGCCAAACAGCAGGACATCTGGACTATAAATGGACTGTTTTCTGCAAAAAAGACTGCAAAGACAACCAACTCATCTCCAGAATCACTGTATCCAGATATCACTCTGCTACCACTGCAGTCTAAACTCACAGACACTGCATTACATCAGCATAAAAGGTTTTCTGAACTGGTATAGTTCTTTACTGAGTGGTCAGTATCAGCTCAAACACATTAATGCTACAGGTCAGTACTCACATTGTTATTTTCAGTGTTGATGAATATTCCGTTCCACCTTAAATGGGGCAGCACTTACATTCTGGCACCTAATATATCATTTACGAGGCTGAATGTATCATTTTTCCAGCTTCTTGATTGAATTGTCCCGTTCCACCTTAAATGCAGATAGAAGCATTTCCATTTTAACAGAATGTAACTGCTACACCATTTAAGGCGGAACGGAAAATTCTAACAAGAAGCTGACTTCAGCCTCGTGTTTATTAATCTACTATACCAAAACAGCTATCACTGACTCCAAATGCACCCTTATCCGTTATGTTATAAATGAGTCCTTACCTTTAGCGTTGTCAGTCTCTGTGCATGCAGGAAGACCGTGAGAGTCTGTGTCCAGGTGTGGAGCTGGCTCGTCTCTGGTCAAGCTTCTGAAGAAGTGATGCGTGGCTCTGTAGCCAGTCTGGCTTTGCAGCCTTTATCTGCTGGGGGAACCTCTTCCGCTCCTCAGCTCCCAATCCCGGCCAGGGTTGCCAGATTGGGCTGATTATATTCCACTAAATCACGGCTTAACACTGGTGGTGGGCGTTACGAATCACTGATTCGATTCCCGTTTCAGTGTTTTGGTGCGTTTGATTCATCAACACTGAATGAGCGTTTCACAAGTTTTATACTGACACTTTATGCATAGTTTACCACAGTGTTTCTTAGCTAAGGAAGAATATCACTTCGTGTGATAAAAGCTCGCTTGGCTAATGCTACAATTCAGTAGAACTTTCTTTGACGTTTGAACGCGTCAAATCAAGCTCATTTTAATGAAAGGACCCACAGCCTACATTTTTCTTGCGTTCTGTTTTCTTCTTTGACGTTTGTGTGAGTTTATTGACTAAAAAAGGTCATTAATTTTACATGACCATTTCAACCTCTCTTTATTCTGGTTCTTGTCACTGTTATATGTAAATGAGCTCTGTTCTGAATCTCTGTGTTCTGCCTCATTCAGAGAGCAGGCCAGGATGAAACACTCCTTATAACGTCAGCACAAGTGGGCGGGGCTAAACTGATGTATGTTGAATAGGCGAAAAGATGTTAAAAGATGTAAATGTGTTGGTTTCTGTGACATCATAAAACAATTGATTTAAACCGGCTTTTTTGGCAAGTTAGTGTTTATGTATGGACTGTCTGGACAAAGAATGATATGTTTTGAAACATTAACAATGCTTACATACCATTTTTTTATCAAAAAAAAAAGAAAATTTAGTTTAAAAAAAAGAGGCAGCTATTTCATTACTTACTGTACTTGTATTTAGTAAAAGACTCCCAAACTGGCATCAAACAATATGATTTCTGAGAAATTTAAAAGGCATGCATAAAAAAACTTTTATCCAAACTTATCAGATTGTATTGAATCTGTTGTGCACTACATAACCATCCAAATCTCCAACCTTACGTCTAGTTATGAAGTGGATTATCTCCACTCCGATGTCCATTTAGGATGAATACATAATTTAAGCATAGACATAATTTAAGGTAATTTTTCAGCCCTAATGGAATAAATAAAAAAAAGAAAAACAGTTGAAAACAGTTCGAAGTGTGGGGGATTCAAGCCCGACCTGGCAACCCAGATCCGGCCATGATACGTGCAGAGCCTCACACACGCTGACCGGAGCTTCAGTTCAGAACCGAGCGAGCTCACACCGCGCATGCGCAGCGTGTTTTCTGCTGCAATTCGACACAAATCTGTCACATCCAAAATAACAGAGGCAGAAAACGGAGTTCTGCTGTTTAAAGTGAGTTAAAGAACCCTGCTTGTGCAAAAAATATGTGGGAATCGTAATTTAGAGAGTCAAACATCACAAATACGATTAACAGACCTAAATATACTCATATTAGCTGATAACTGGGCCTATTGATATTTCACTGCACAGTCTCTCCCTTGTTTTTGAAGCAGTTTTAACTTAGCAGGATTGTTACTGCGAGGAAAGAATGAAGATTTTTTTTTGTATTTTGTGGACAGAATGAATCATTTGATCTGTGATGTTTTGTGGAAAGTAGTGCAATTTTCCCTTACTTTGTAAAAAAAAAAGATTCCACAAAATAAAATCTTTTTTCTTTAGTGATTTAGAGCTAGCTAGCTCCTCTCGTTATTGTAGCTCTTTTTTACAGTGTTTTGCAGCTGTAGGGAATTTTTTATGATATTGATATTAGCCCACTGGATTCCAGGATCATTCGGTAAAGTGGTCAGAATCAGAAAAGAGGCCAGTGGCTCGTTACAACTTGTCACAGGCGTGTGAGAGGGCTTCTTCCAAGCAGGCTTATCTGGGATTAACTGTTTTGATATGTATGTAGTTTCATCTACTTGTGCTAGGACTGGACAACATGAACAAAATGCCACATTATGGCTGTATTGCTTGCCATAAGACTTAGAATGCATTAAAAAGACAATGGGGAACGTTTAAAGGGGAATTTCACTGAGTTTTCCAAATTTGTACATAATTACAAAGTGATTCAGAGTGGTTTGATGTCCAATGGTTCACTATAGAGAAACTCACAGACTCAGATGTCTGAACAGTGGTGGTAATGGGAACCAGGGGTTGCCATGTTTACAATACAAATACAGCCATTTTATTTACTATCCAAAAACCAGTCAACAAATGTGTACTCTGAGTTTTTATGTGTGATGTTGATGATGGTAAAATAGGGAAAAAAGGGACTTTTTTACGACAAACTGCATGTACCTTTCTGCTCTGAATGGATTTTAAAGGCACGTTTAAAGCCAAAACCTTCTTAAATTCATCATAGAAAAGTGTCTCAGCCATCATGCAACATTCATATATTCATAAGCATTTCATGTAATAACTTTCTGTGAGGGAGCTTTCAGAGGCATTAAACTCTTTAGTTCCTGTCACCACCACTGTGAACAACTCTGAGTCGTTAAGCTTCACACCAAACCACTCTGAATGACTCTGTTTATATCTTAAACATTTAATTATGCAGGAATTTTTCGAAAATCGGGTGGAATTCCCCTTTAATGTGACATGGTTAAAAGCTGGCCTGGCCAAAATGATTCACTTTTTGGAATATTGACTCATCACAGCATCAGGAACATGCCTTCAGGATGCTCACGGCACACAATAAATGAAAGTCATTTGCATATCAGCAACACAAAGGTCTATATTGGTGCAGCTCTACTGAATCCTGTGGTCCTGAATCCTTTTCACGATTCCAGAGAATTCCAGATGATCTTTCTACTCACTGCGGAAGAAGGCCGTCTCTCTCTCTCTCTCTCTCTCGCTCTCTCTCTCTCTCTCTCTCTTTAATTTACTTTCAGCTCTCCCTCTCTGAGAGAATACTGGCTGAATTAAAGTGATAGTTACTCATCTCCCTCCACCAGCATGTCTGTAATTAGGCTCTGAATCTGTGAAGTCGGGTTCAGATCAGCCCGTAGACGTTTACTTTCATCCCTGAACTGCTCAGGCAGGCCATCTCTGCCATGAGGGTTTAAGGGAGGAGGCAGAGGAATTTACGAATGTATGTTTTATTCGCTGTTTGTTTGCGAGTTCGGCCTCTTCACACATTCGGATTAGAGCAGATGTGGGTCACTGCGATAGCTAAATGGCGTCCCACAACTCTAAAGCTGGTAGTTACAGAAAGTTGGTCTCTGTACGTTCCTGATAAACTCTGATAATTCTTCTTTATGAATGTTTGCTATAGCGATTTTTTGGTCATGTTGCGCATGAAAAACAGCAGTGACTTCACAGATGCTGAAGTGTTATTTTTATGCCAAACAACAACTTTGATCCTTTCTTTTAGTTTAAATTGTAGAAATGCCTTACAGTTGTTTAAAATATATAAATAAATAAACATGATTTTATTTTGATAAGAAAACCTCTCAACCTCTCTCTTTTTAAATTACTTTCTCGAATATAAACAACCTGTGAAAAGTTCACAGTTCGTCGGTTTATATTTGTGATATTTATGTTTGTGATAAATTTGGGGTTTTTTTGGATTTATTTGGTGGTGTAACACAAGAAACATTCATTTTGAAACTGAAATAACAATGTGAATGCAATATTTTAATAAAGCAATGTTCTACATACAAGGTCACTTTGAAACTAACGTGGCAGTGGACTATATTGTAGAAATATAATAGACTTTTAGTACTTAGTCAGTGCTGTTACAGTCAGTGGTGTTACAACTTTACTGAGGTTTTCAACATAACAGACTACATTTTACATTTAAATTACTTATTAATATTCGTGCCCCGTTTGACATCATAGTAATGACCTTAAATAGTAATAGTAGTACTCTTAAATGAAGAAAAATGTAAATAAACTTAGAACTTAAATCGAATAAAACTCAATAAAATACATTTTAATAAAACGGAAATGAAATAAAATAAAATAAAAGCAAAATTAAATTAATCTTAAAGTAGTAATGGCCCTTAAACTATTAGGGAGGAAATGAGCAGAAAGTGAACACAAAAACCAGCAATATTGCTAAAATACATGTACACTTTATTACACTGTGTGGTAGGTCAAAGTAATTCTGTTATAACCAGGAGCTGACAATACAACCAATATAAAATGTTCATATAAGAAGATAAAAATGCTGACATGTTCATTGCAGAACCCTTAGATGTATTATTATTAGTAGTGATAGTAGTAATAATGTTATTATTAAGAACAGCTACTTTAATTTAACATGGTGAGCATCTGCAATTTAGCACACAACTTTTATTTAAGTTTCCTAATTAACAACAGTTTTAGCATTTATATGATTTAGTAAAGAAACCTTTAGGTTACTTATCACTACACTGGGTAAAAATGGCTTTCCATAATTAAATTTTCAGCTGTCTGCTTTCTACATGTCATCATACTGCTGAAATAATCATAAGCTGAAATAAACAGAATCTGTGTTCCTCTTTAAGGCCCAGTCACACTAGTGTTTGAAATCAAAAATTCACAACCTCTCACTGTCCTCTGTAGGGGCGGCCCTTCTTATAGCAACAGTTTGAACACCACCCCGTCAAACTAGAGTCTTTATTGGTTTTCTAGGTGAAAATAAGTTGACACATCCTCTACAGAGAACATATTTAAAGATGGCATATTTCTGCAGATTTTAGTGCACAGTTTCTACTTATTTGTACATATTGAAAAAATGTATATATATATATATATATATATATATATATATATAACACACACACATATATATATATATATATATATATATATATATATATATCAGGCATAACATTATGACCACCTCCTTGTTTCTACACTGATTGTCCATTTTATCAGCTCCACTTACTATATACTTTGTAGTTCTACAATTACAGACTGTAGTCCATCTGTTTCTCTGCATACTTTGTTAGCCCCCTTTTACCCTGTTCTTCAGTGGTCAGGACCCTCATGGACCCTCACAGAGCAAGTACTATTTTGGTGGTGGATCATTCTCAGCACTGCAGTAACACTGATGTGGTGGTGTGTCAGTGTGTGTTGTGCTGGTCTGAGTGGATCAGACACAGCAGTGCTGCTGGAGTTTTTAAACACCTCAGTGTCACTGCTGGACTGAGAATAGTCCACCAACCAAAAACATCCAGCCAACAGCGTCCTGTGACCACTGATGAAGGACTAGAGGATGACCAACACAAACTGTGCAGCAGCAGATGAGCTATTGTCTCTGACTACATCTACAAGGTGGACTGACAAGGTAGGAGTGTCTAATAGAGTGGACAGTGAGTGGACACAGTGTTTAAAAACTCCAGCAGCACTGCTGTGTTTGATTCCACTAAAGTAAAGTAAATAAAGTGTGCCATAACTTTTGCACTGGCTGCATTTTATGTTTGATTGTTTTCCCAGTATGTATTCAGCAAATGAACAGTAGTCGTGCATTAAAATGTGCAAAAGTGTGTTCTCGACCATTTGACCAGGGGAGCCCAAACTTTGCATACGACTGTAAATAAACATTACTTTTGTGTGGTAGATGAGTTGGCCAGCTTGCTGTTAGCTCCTTGGCTAACTGCAGCTGCACACCAGTCACCGCATTACCACCAACCACGCCCGTTATCTAATGTCTAGATGAACTTGCAGCACTATAATGTGGCGAGTACCTGATATAATTTCTTTCACTTTGGTGTTTTTACTGTTTACAGTAGTCAAATTAGCCAGCCTGCTAACTACTTTGTTAGCTCTTTGGCCAACCACAGCTGCATACAAGTCACCCTACTCTCCCCAAACATCTATCTATCTATATATATTTTTACAGATCAGTGCAGCACTTTCATCTGATATAATTGCGTCAATTTTGGGGTCTTTGCCGTTTATGGTTAGCAAGTTAGCTTGCTTGTTATCTGCACTAAAATGGAGGATTTTTTTGTGTCACCAATCTGGACCAGTCTCAGTCACACCCATTTTCACAACCTGCAAATGTCACGTGTCACTGTGACTTTAGCTGCTTACTAAGCAGAAAGTCCAACCCATACTTTAACCACCTATTTGCTTGTTTGTTTGTTTATTCAGCATTGTGTTTACTTTTTGGGGGTGATCATCCAACAACTACGTAAACTGTAGCTCTTTGCAGAGTTCATGTCAGAGGCTTTGTTCTTTGGTGTCATCTGGCCAGAGGTCAGGCCACTAAAGTCCAGAAAATAAACACAGACACACGCTTCAACAAGAAAAACAACAGAAAAGACTTTTCAGTAGCCTAAGTATATGATTTGTCAAATCCAACTCTGTACTAATTCTACACATATTCATTTTTTAGTCCATCTTCCAGAGATCATTGTGAGAAAAAAGAGAAAAACAAGCAAGTAAACAAGAGGCCTGGACAAAAGGAAATAAAGGTATTTAAATGCTGGAAGGTGTAATTATGTCACAAATGTATTCAAAGAAAAGCAGCAGGAATGAGCATCATCATTGTCCTTGACTTTCCTGATTCAATTCATATCATAAAGGAAATCTTTATGGTGGTATTTTCGATCTTTCTCATTCCCAAAAAATTGCTAGTATTGAAAAAATGTTTTTTTAATTTGTGTTTGGTCTGTGAATGTACGATCTGTCAGTGTCTAGATAGAGGTTCTCTCCTTTGTCAGTGTTCTTGTTCTCAGGTCCACTGTTCCTGACCTTATCCACAAAAATTAGATGTAGATCCAACCACTTATTCCAACCAATCTGCTAAGCATGGACTTTAATAAGTCTTTTTTGATGGCCTAGTGCTTGATTAGCTGAGACGCATGTCTAAAGCTTTGGTAGGAACAAAGACTTGGACCCAAATTATACCTTTGTTGAGAAGACTGTGGATCAATACTCTAGTCTGTACCATTACTCTATTTAAGACTCTCCAGCTTTGGTCTTGGTGATATACCCTACCTGTAAAGTTTAGTTATGGCCATATGATAATCCATCTGATCCAGGTTATCATGGTCTTCTGGAACATCTGGGCTCCATATCCAGATGTTTGAGAAGACCATCAATCTGAAGAGAACTCTTCTCTGGAAGTCTGTAACATTTTTTTCAGTCTCCAGGCTTGCAAGGGTCTACAAAGGTTCATGCCAACCCTATTCAACACAGTATCTAATTAGTGAAATCAGGTCATGGTTTGTCTAATTAAACACCAGTTCTCCTCCTGAGGATCTCCTTTCTTGCAGTTTAGTTTTTCACCCTATTTCATTGCTGTTCACCAGTGATTAAGTTCCTGTTCTGGAGGGCAGGTGTTAGCTTATGTTTTGTGGTTTCCTTGCTTGAACACACCTGTTTCAATTCATCTGTTAATCACCATTTGCAGTGTTTTGTGGGTGTGTTTCAGTAGTGGAATTATCAAAATGTGCAGAACACCTGCCTTCCAGGACCAGAGTTGAATATTTCTGCTGCAGACCTTGTTGCCCTTAGTGGGATCAGTTCAGTACCAGTGCCCTAGTCCATTGTATCCGAACCCAGTCCTGGGGATCTACTTCCCTGCATAGTTTCCAGTATTCAGTCCTGATCCAGCTAATCAGGTAATTGTTAAAGTCTTAATGAGGTGAAAAAATAAAACTATGCACAAAAGTGGCCCCCAGGACTACAGATGAGAACCTCTCATTTAGTACAGGGTTTCCCATCCCAGTTTTTGGTGCCCCTAGACTGTTCACATTTTTGCACTTCCAAGATCCCAACACATTGGAACCAAGCAATCATGTACTAGACACTTGGCACAGGTGTGCGGGGACCTGGGATACAGCAAATGAGGGACATCTGAGGACTGGGTTCGAAACCATTGCTCTAGTCTGTGACCTTTCCCTGTTTTCTTTTTTGTGAGTCAGTGAGAGTCTGTGACATTCCAACTGCTGTATTTTCTCAAATATCTATGTTACAGATGTTTGACGCTTTGATCCCTGACCTCCTCAGAGCCGGATATCGTCCAGCGAGGTGAGACGCCGCCCGAACAGCTGCTCCTCGTAGTCCGAGAGCTGTCTGAGAAAACCTGCGTTGGGTGCAGCGCATGTGCGCCTTTCTTTGAGCCAGCGGAAGGCGTGAAGCAGGGACCAGCGGCGCTGTTCCATCAGGAAACCCAGTGTCAACACCGAGCTACGGCTGCGGCCCAGGCTGCAGTGTACAAGGACACGCCCACCGGGTGATCCCGGAGACCCCCGAAGAGCTGCCGCAATGAACCGGGAAGCTTCCGGAAGGGCTTGCCGAAGGTCCTGCTGGGCGTCATCACTGAGCCGCAGCCGCAGGTACCGCAGGACATTTGGGAAGGCGTCAGAAATTTCAGCGGTAGCGTTGACCACATGTGTAATGTGGAGGTTCTTGATGATGCGGTAGTCGTGAGCCTGGGAGGCAGAACCCTGGTACAGCGCCCCCTCCAGGATCTCTGAGGGATAGATGGTGAGTAGGCGGCGTTCAGACTCAAGAAGGACCATGCGTGGTGTGCACAGGAAGGGGTAGAGGGAGTGGAAGGCCGAAAAACCGCCCAGTAAGATCACGGGGTCCATACCGAGCGCGCTCAGTTGGAAGAAACAGTGCTGAAGAGTGGGGCTGTCAGCACGGGCTTCCTGACTGCCTACTAAAACACACACAGTAAAGGAAAGAGAGAAGAAACACATGTAAGTAAATTATCTCTTGTTAATGGATAAATTTGGAGAGTTTAGATCCATTGTATATGGGCTACTACGGTAGGTCTGCAGGGCTACATCTAAAAGGCACTGGGCCTCAAACACTGTTTGTTCTTGACAAAAGTCCTACGAAAAAATCATGATGTTTTCTTAAACAGCAGAACCCATTTGCACCTCTGTGCTCTTGAGTGTGTGTAGATTCTATTCTTAGCTAAAAAACAAATCGCAAATAAGAAAACATTGGTGAATTTACTGCTGAAAGCCAAAAATCTTGCTCTTTGTATTATTTTATTAAAATAATTCTTACAGAGCAGATCAGTGAAGAGACACTGTTTATAGTTTATAGCCCAGATTTGTGGAAAACAAATCTATTTCATTTCAGTCATCTATTTGACTGGAAGAAGACAGTTACAGCTCTCATATGACACCCACCTTTTGAATATAGCTTATGAATATGAACATTATGAAGAATGTGACGAAGTGCGTTTTGGAACCACCGGTGGTCTCAAGGAGTTAAAAAAGGTTAAATATACTCATTGTAGCTATAATTATATGAAAAGCATTGTGTACAAGTTTTCAGCCCTATGTTTTTTTTAATTGTACCTAATACCTATTTCTGGAATGTGCTGTCCGTAGTTTTAACTGGGGACCAAAATGTTTGCATCTTCAAGTGTTTGAAGAACATGCTACCTGGGCTGTGTCCCTCCTCTGCGTATAGCAGAATAATGGAGAACTCCTGTAGCTGGACACAGCTTATCAAACAGCCCAGCTCAGGGTGAATTACTGTCACACTTGCACGTGCCGTCACCAGATGACTCTGCTTATACCTGTGCACACACAGAAGCATTTTGTTCCGTATAAGTGGCTTTGAAAAAACACTTCTTAACTGTGCATACAGACACCGAGATATGTCAGCAGACTTGTACAGTAGAATTTACATTTGACAGACTTAAAAGCAGAAAACAATAAAATAATGACTGTGGCATGTGAAAAAGTTTGGACACCCTTCCGCTTGTAAAGACTCAGAACTTAACTAACTCATTGAGACAGGTCAAGGTTAGGCAGGTCAAGAATTGTCATCAGGAATTGTCATCTGATTACAGTTCCAGAGCGAAATGAATTCTCTGACTCTTCAAACCTTGGGCTAACACTCAACAAGAATGGGCTCCTATAAGCAGCTGGCTGAGGATCTGAAAACAAAACTCATTGATTTCTACAAAGCAGATGAGGGCTATAAAAAGATATGAAAGTGGTTCCAGCTTCTAATTTCCACAATCTGAAATGCTATTAAGAAATGGCAGTCAAGGGGAACTGTGAAAGCCAAGACAAGATCTGGAAGACAACGTAAAAAAATGGAACACTTTGGCCACAGCCACTAAAGGTATGAAAAAAGGGCAGCATTTGATAAAAAAGGGTAAATCCATTATGCTTTGGGCTTGTGCGGCAGCCATTGGTACCTGGAAAACATTACACAGATATATGGAAGAATGAATTCCCCTAAATATGAGAAAATTCTGGAAGCAAATGTGACAGCCAGTCAAAAACTGAAGCTGAAGGATGCTGGCTCCTACAAAAGGACAATGATCCAAAACATACCTCAAAATCCACTATGAACTACTTCAAGAAATGCAAGCTAAAGTCCTCAAGTATCGTTAAAAATCTGTAGTATTTAAAGGTGCTGTGCGTGCAAGGTGGCCCAAAAACAAAAATAGAATGATACCTAGTTACTAAGTATTTAGGACTAGGACTTAATAGGGTGTCAAAACTTTTGCACCTGTCACAATTACTATTTTTTCTGTTTTTAAATTAATTAAACATATAGTAACTGTACATTAACCTTATTAATCTTTTCTTTTTCAAACACCAAAAGTGCCTATCAGAGTGCAACAGATGAAACACATTATGAAGGGGGTGGTCATGCACTATATTAAGTGCTTTTTTAAGTACAGTGGTCCTATAGAACTCGCTAGGCTGGTTCTGCTGCCTACCTGTAAGCTTGCCAGCCATTCTAATGATCCAAGCTTGCCTTTATCTGAGCAGATGAGCGGTGTGTATTACCTGTCTGCAGAGCGGCAGTCCAGTATGAGAATGTAGTACGGGTCATGAAGTGCAGGCTCACCAGCTTCAGCGTTTAGCAGGTTATACACCTGTTGAGGGGTCACATAGCCCCTCTCTATATTTGTTTTCTCTGGAAGAGCAGGAACCAGAAGCTCCTCTAAACACACAAACACATACACTCAGACAAATGCAAAGATTTTAGGTTCTAAATGACAAATACCAACATTAGCATCTCAATCTAAAGGCACCAAACCTTCATTGTTAGTCTGAGTGCCTGAGAGGTGAGAGAGCTTGGCTGTGCCATTCATCTCACTGCAGGGGGCACTGCGTTCTCCAGGCACGGAGCTCCGAAGCCCAGTGGAGGAGACTAAACGGCATTTATCAGCCCTGTATGGTGAGAGGGGAGAAGGAGGGGTGGAAAGGGTGGGAGGGAGGAAAAGTATGAAGGAGGATTAGGGGAAAATAATACTTGTGAGTACACCTGTAACACTATGTAAATACCAAAGACTAATCTAATTAATTATGCTATAATAATACATTAGACGGCATATCAAATACTATATAATACTATACTGTATAAGTCATACCAAAGACTGTCTGTCTTATGTGTAGTTTTGTCTGGGACCCCTTTCTACACTGACTTAAAAGGAATCGTAAGGTAATTATATGCTGTGTCCATATTTTACCACTGACAATTTGTCCCAGTTATATACTGAACACTAATTCTAACTGGCTGTAGTAGATATACTATGTAGCAGGGGTATAGTCCAGTCCTGGTGATCTACTGCCCTGAGTTTAGGCCCACTCTTAAATGCAGATGCTTCTGAAGGGCATGAATTAACTGGAATTAGTTGGAACAAAACTAATATGTTGTAATATATTCACATGCACCGAATGTAAGTATGGTCAAAAAAGGCCAATATGGGCATTACCGCACATTTCAATACCATTTATAACATTCTCTTATCAACTTGGCCTCACCATTTCCCCTCAAGAGAATCCCCAACACCATCTGAAGGGCCATTCCGTTACTTTACCTGCTAGAAAAACAGTATAGACTAGTCTGGCTAGTCACTAGCAAAACCAGCACATGCAGTGTTTTGAATACTGGTATGCTGGTCAACCTGTATGATCATGCTGGGTGACCAGCTGAACCAGCACCAGACCAGCACTAGGTCAGTATGAACCATCATAAACCAGCATGGTTTTATATCGGACTGTTCTGTTTTTTTCAGCAGGGTTCTTAGCTCAGATGAAGTTTCTTAGCTAAACACTGATCGACTTGACGCGACATACATAAAAAGCTTAATATTTAAAATGCTCAGATTTGGTTTAAGGTAGCAACCCTGACAGCGAGCATATATCGGTCCGCTGGTTTGAAAAGGTCGGCACCCCACTGACTGTTTGCCACTGCTGGTCCACCCTCGGACCACCCAGATTATCATCCTGCATACAAGCTCTAACTAGTTTTTAATCTCTTCAAACTGATTTTAAATCTTATTTTAGAAAATAAACAAATTTTACAAACAACCAAGAGAAAAAAAAATGACCAGGCCTAATGTACCATGATTCTATAGAAAATGTTGCTGACGCTGTGCTAAATTAAAATTATTTACTAGTCTAATTTACAAAGTATAACTAAAGGAAGGAAGGAAGGAAAAATCAGTAAATTGGACTGTGAGCGGAAAATGAGCGATGATAAGTGGACTTTTGTCTAATACTCCGCTTAATCGCCAGTGGACCGCCCGGAAAATGCTGAGCAAAACGCCATTGGACCGCCAGCTTTGCCATTAGCAGGCCGACAGTGGACCACTGTCCTCTTGCTACCAGGGAGAGTACTTCGCTAATACAGCTTCATTACTTTGCTAGCTTGCTTGTTAGCTAAAGTCTACACTGCTAACAACAACAAAAAGAAACACACACCACGGTTCTAAACTGAAACCTATAGCCAGACAACAACGTGATTCACTAAGTATGTCTGTCATGTTTAGACGTCTCAAAAATGATTTTGTTCTGCATTTCAGAGTTCGCATGGCCAAATAATTAGCTCACTGTTGCTAACCTAGCGAAGGGTGAGTGCACACTGTGTCCTTTGGGATGATTTTGCTGAGGGCATGTTCAAAAAATGATGAAGTAGCCACAGGATTTGTTTATTTATGTGGTGAGGGAAAAATGAAACACAAAGTGGAGAGGGATGAATGCTCAGTTGAACGCTAGCTAGCTAGCTAACAAGCTCAAGGTAGAACAGGAAGGTTAGTTAATTAAACAGCGTACAGGAGCGAACTTAATTTTGTACAGTATCATAAAAAGAACAGAAAACCAAAAAAATGGACAAAACTAAACATTAAGAGTACAGATTAGCATGTTAAATTAGCATAGCAACATCATTTCATCACTTCCTGTCAGGGCAGATTGGTAGTACATTAATATTTTGTGTTCTATCCTCCCAAAATTTACACTATTAAGATTAGAACACACTACTATTGTATTAGTGTTTAGAACATAGGGACACGCTTATTTATAATTTTCCAGTCATTAAACCTACATATTTTTAAGATTTATTTAGTGTTGCTCTAAATGGACTTACCTGGACAGCACAGTGCCCATGGTTTTGGGTGGGAGGCATCCGGGATTCTTAGCCTTCTTCGCTGCTATGGGCCGAAAGGTAAGAGAGTCGACGAAACCATCCCGACACACACATACACTCTCAAACACGCCTGAGAAGGCCTCTCCGACTCCGGTCACTCAAAAGGGTGAAGTTGATATCTGGCCATGGTGCTCATTTGTTCCGCAGGTGTAAAAAAGTGAGTGCTCTTTTTTTCTTCCTTCCTTTCTTTCTTTCTTTCTGCCCGCTTGAGCCTTCCCCCCTTTCTTGGCTCCCTTTTTTGGTTGGGTTGCCATGGTAATGGTGCACACTGAAGTGCTCTACAGGAGCAGGGGGGAGCTGGACCTGACAGCTCCGAGTGTCAAACACTCACGTGCACATACAAACACACAAACACGCACCACACACACACAATCATACACACCAAAACTGACACAAACACATCTAAATACTTTCATGCAAAATGCAGCATCCAAATTAAACGTACGTACATGCACACATACATATATACATACATATATGGGTGTGGTGTGTGTGTTGTACACACACACACATATATATATATATATATATATATATATATATATATATATAAGATGTAAACAAACAAAAAAGAGTAGGTTAGTGTGAAATTGCTTGTTGTAGAGAAACGTATATACAGTGGTGGTGATAGGAACCAGATGTCCAAAGAGTTAAATGCCTTTAAAAGCTCCCCCCACAGAAAGCAATAAAATGAATTGATATATGTGCTGTCTGAGGTCTGAGACATTGTTTTATAAACAGATCTGAGATTTTGGGTCAAAACATTGCAATTGGTTCCAATCACCGCCATTGTGAACTCCCTACTACGCACCATCAAACACCACATCTCTATGAAACCAATGGAATTCCCCTTTAAGATGAATTTGGCCCGTATTTTTTGACCAACAGTTAGCTCTTAGATCATGCTGGACCCCCATGAGCCAAGGGCCCCATGAAAAAAACAGATTAGATATCGCTGCTGTGGGAAAAAAACCTTGTATCTCCATTTTTGTTGTTTTTCAGTTTTTGACATAATTTGAAAATATCTGTTGCCCTTTACATTGTGTGTAAATTTCAAATTTCATTGACCAATGGACCAAAAATTTCATTGACCAATGGACCAAAAGAAACATCCCAAAATTACTTGAAAAAAAATCTCTTTCCTTCTCCTGTAAAGTTACCTTTTTGGAGATACGAGGTTTTTTTTCTGACAACAGTGCTATGCAGTACTGGTTGATGTTAAATAACCTATTCCAGTATATATAAATATCACTGCTGTCGGAACAAAACCTTGTATCTCCATTTTTGTCTTTTTTTTCAGTGTTTGCTATAATTTGAAAATGAATGTTGCTCTTTACATTGTCTGTAAATTTCATGATGAATAGATCAAAAGAAACGGCCCAAAATTACTTGGACAAAAATTCTGTTTCCATTGACGTACATTAAAAGTAAAGTATGTTTTTCCTTCTCCTGTAAAGTTACCATTTTGGAGATACGAGGTTTTGTTCCGACAGCAGCCACATGCTGAAAGGTGTAGAGATTTGTAAAGCACTTTTCTGCTGTAATGTTGCTCATGAATTCTAGGTTGTCAAGCTGATACTGGGGCCTGTTCACTTGTACATTGTACCACACAGTTCTCACACTTGTCTGAAGTAAAGGGAACCAAAAGTACAGACGTCGCATGATGCCACCAGGGTTGTTAGTCATTGTGTAATCATTGATGTTTTGGTGGAAGTCAATGGCCTGCAGCTGAGAGAAACATGGAGGCTTCTGTTTGCTCTGCTTTTCAGTGGCATCTGTGTCAACATGAGTTATGCAAAACCTTTCTATTCAGGTAAAACTGAAAACAGAAATGCGTGCAATATAAGAGAATCATAATTAGAGTATAATAATAAGCTTGCTACTGTTGTTATTGCTACTTCATTTTATGTGATGTTGCTACAAGCAATACAGTGATAGTTCAGGACAGAAAGAATCTGATCAGATTTGTTCTGTTCTCTGATATCTGATTCAGTATTTTATTTAGAATTCAACCAAAGCCTATATTACATTCTACATAGAATACCAAACCACAATGCTTTCTAGTGGCTAAGATCACTGTAAGAGCAATGGATTACTTCACTGAGAGACAGAGTAGAGGGCTGAGGTGGGGGTGTGGAGGAGGAGTGTCACTCACAGATGGTCCAGCCAAAATGTCAACCAGTGTTTATGTATGGAGCCCCACTGATGACATCCATTCTTCATAAAATTAATGCGTGGCCTCTTAGTATGTACAATTCAAATCGAAACCATGAATTTGTAAAGTATGGGAACAAGATAATTAAGTTGGGCCATGACTTTATAAGGTGTGGGAATGAGATGATTAAGTCATAAACACAATTTACTAAGGTGTGAGAAGTGCATAATTAAGTCATAGTCACGACTAAGGCATGAGAACAAGATAGTTAATATAATAATATTTTCAATCAGTGACAGGTCCGGACTGCAGGCAGGTCAGTTTAGCACCCGGACTCTTTTAATATGGAGCAATGCTGTTGTAATACATGCAGAATGTGGTTTGACATTGTCTTGCTAAAATAATCAAGGCCTTCTCTGAAAAAGACGTTGTCTGGATGGCAGCATATGTTGCCAAAACCTGTTTATATCGTTCAGCATTAATGGTGCCTTCACAGTTGTGCATGTCACCCATGCCATGTGCACTAATGCAACCCTATACTATCATGGATGCTGGTTTTTGAACTGTGCACTGATAACAAGTCATGTGGTCTTTGGCGTCCATGATTTCCAAAAAGAATTTCAATTTTTGATTCATCGGACCACAGGACACTTGTCCACTTCACCTCAGTCCATCTTAAGTGAATTCAGACCCAGAGAAGGCGGCGGCGTTTCTGGATCCTGTTTATATATGGTTTCTTCTTTGCATGGTAGAGTTTTAACTTGCATTTGTGGATGCAGCAACAAACTGTGTTCACAGAATGGTTTTCGAAAGTGATCCTAAGGCCATGCAGTGATTTTCACTACAGAATCATGTCTGTTTTTAATGCAGTGCTACCTGTGACACAAAGATCATGGCCAGCCATTAGTCATTTTTGGCCTTGTTCCTTGCATACAGAAACTTCTCTGGATTCTCTGAATCTTTTAATGTTATTTTGTACCATAGATGATGAAAAGCAAAAGTTCTTTGTTATTTTACATTGAGAAACGTTATTCTTGAATTTGCCAATGCAGTGTTTCACAGAGTGGTGAACCCCTCCACATCTTTACTTATAAAAGACTCAACCTCTCTGGGATGTTCTTTTTATACCCAATCAAATAGTTGTGAGATGTTTTTTCTAACATTACACGACTTAACCAGTCTTTTGTTGGCCCTGTCCCAACGTTTTTTGAAATGTGTTGAAGGCATCAAATTCAAATCATCTTATTTCCCAGTTTCTTGTCTTTGTACTAATTACAATTAAATATATGGTTTAATTTATTAGCACATAATTGCATTATTAAGATATGAGTTCCAATAAATTTGCTCAGGCAGTCTACGTGTGTTTTCAAGCAACCCTGATAGGCCAGCGTGTAGGTTGTTGTACGGCAAAGTAGTCTCCAACCGTTGTCAACATTACATAACTCTGAAGACAACTGTGGGTTCACTGGTCATTATGGATAGTAAATAAAATGGCTATAATTGCTTTGTAAACATTGTGCCCCCTAGTTCCAATCACCACCACTGTAAAGTTTCGTTAAGCATTTCACATCAAACCACTCTGACTGACTTTGTTAACGTCTCAACAAAGTGTTAGGGCAGCGCTTTGGTGTAATAATGTAATTCATTTCTATTGGTTCTATCATTATGAAAAGTTTATGGAGACGTTAAAGAGTACACAAGGTTTTGACATGACAGCTACTATAGATTTCCCTTTAAGTGTTAAGCAAACAGTTTCAATCATTACCTTTGGTCATCCTGTAGTCATACACGGCGTGTATGGTATTTTATGACCCATAATGATGAGCTGAACGTTCACCAAAAGACTACCAATCAGAGCTCAAAAGATAAAATAATAGGCCAAATGTGATGGCTGTTGGAGAGACTTGTTTTGGCTGGGAGAGAGAGAGAGAGAGAGAGAGAGAGAGTAAGAGAGAGAGGTGTTAGGAGTGAGATAGTGATGATGAAACACATTAGTTTATGTTAGTGACGGAGGCTCAAAGTCCATCCTGAACGGTCAGTGCCTCAGAGTGTACACAGGCGTATTCAGGAGGGAAACACAAACAGAAGTGCCCCGTCGTATCTCAGGACAGGACATTTGTACGGTTTATGTGATGATAGATCTGAGAAAATGACCTAGTGGACAATACATGCTTTCTTTCTTTCTCGCATGGCCGCTTAGGAACAGGAGGAGAAAAAAATACGATAACATGACGCACCTGCAAAGTGAGTATAGAAGTTGGTTCTTTCTTTTGATGGGATTTGACTGTGGTTGATGGTGTTTAAGTAGCTATTTTCTCCAGTTTTCTCACAAAGCAAACTAAAAACCAGCATAGACCAGCAAAACCAGCAACCAGCAAAACCTTTCAAGTGGTTAGAATGTGTAAATTGTAATTAACAACCAAGATAATCAGCTTCCTTTTAGTTTTCTTCTGAAATTGATGCTGAACATATTGGCTTCTTTGGACTGTTGTAACTACCATGAGAGTATAGTGACTGTTTACAAGTTACATTGCAAGTGGCAATTTTTGGGGGTCCAAACACTGTACGCTCTTTTAAAAAAGTTTCAGTTGGTTCCTGGTAGTGTCGAACAGTCAGCAATGGTAGGGAAATTAAACTGATTTCTGATGCATTCAATGTTTTCTAATGGGATCTAAAAGTATCTGGCAGGAAATTAGTGGTCGCTAATGGTAATTAAGCTAATTTCCATTAGAAAGCAAAACCATCAGGTTTTAGTCCTGATGGTTCTAATGCTCTATTTTCAGCAGGGAAGTTTAAAATCTCAGAAAATAGTACAGCTTCTGGACATGCCATGTATCTGATTTGCTGTTTATCTTAATGAACAAAACAATCCCACAGCAACGACTCTTGCATTTTAGTCTCAGCGCAGTGCATTTTCTTCTAGAAACAATGCTGCCAGGCCACCCTACACAAGGTTGGTTCCTGAACTCATCTTTTTCATTGCTCATGAGTTTTCATGTGTGCTTCATGCAACAGTCCAGAGTTGGTAGTTGGTCTATATCTATGCGATGCACAGTCCAAAACCCTTTTAACTGTTTTTTTAAGCTGTGAATACTGTGTGGTAACATTAAAGATAGAAGAGAGACAAATTTAGTTTTTTTTCTAAATAATTTTGTAAATAAAAGAACAAGATTTATTTTTATAAAAGTAAGTTACATATCTCCACTACAAATTAACATGTAAACCTTTTTTCCAGCACCTACCATTTTTGAACAATTCAGCCTGAAGCGGTGCAAGTGAAATGTCATGACTTACCCCATAGGCCAGCTTATCTGTAACAGACTGTGGGGCCGGTTGTCTGGTAAATTGATGCAATACATAAATAATTCAAATAAATATGATTAGTGAAAAGATGCTGTGTCAACTACTGACAAATATTTTTTTTGCATCAAAGTATATCAGCAAATATCAGGACGATTTCATTTGAATGTATTTTATTTAAAAGACCATCCATAATAGGTTTTTTGATGACTCAAATTCTGAGATTAAAATAACATAGGAGTGAATTGTGCCACTTATACGGACAACTCAGTAGTCGTCAAACTCTTATGATTAAAAACATTAATTTTATGGCACAAAGAAAGTCTTCAGGGCGAATCTTGAGAAATATCTGTCAGATTGCTGAGATGTTGCTACAAGAAGATGACCAACAGTATGTTCAATGTACACTGTGCAATGAGACTTCTTTTATTCTGTTGCAATGATGGACCCCATAAAGTTTTTGATTAACCTTAGCCGATTCACTCTGTTTTTATATTGTAGGAACTTTGTGACTTGTGTCCAGTGGCCTGGGGTCCACACTGAAGCCCACCTGGCCTCACTCTGCTGGATCCCTGGTTTGGCCCAACTGGAACCAGAATGTACATCTCCAAATGGTCAGAAAATCTCTTTATAGTTCAGACAAAAAATGCTCCTCGTTCCATATGTAGTTAACATGTTTGGTGTCTGAATTTTGTTTCTTTAGCTTTGCACTGGAGCGATGAGGCTAATGTAGCTAACAAGAAACAAGGCCTTACGCTCATCAGCTAGCATACAGAAAACCACATGGCTAAATCATCAAACACTTGGTTCAAAATTGCAGAATTATTTATTTAAAGATTTACACAACTTTCAGAAACTGATGTGCTACCAAAGATATAAAGAGGTTAAACTCCAAATCCACCTGGAGTACTATAGTCGACAGTTTTTTCTTTAGGTCTAGAGTTAGCTTAGCAAGTAGTTTAACTGTAATAGTCTGCTGGGAGTATTTGACAGACATTTGCAGATACAATGGCTGTCTGTATTGGTGATTTTTACAAGCCTGCATCATCAATCATTTTGTCAGTTATGGTACAAAATAAAACATCTCCACCCTAGCTGGCCTAATCCTGCTTTTACTTAGCATCTTAACCAGGCTAATTTAGTGCTTAGCTTTAGCCTCAAGGCTCTCATGGTCAACATACAGTAAAATGCAAAAGTCAGAAAGCGCCCTTCATTTCTTTAAGTCAAATGGCTATTAATGCAAGTTATTCATTATTCAGGAGATATTTCCAGCTTCATGAAAAAATTAAACAAAAATTACCCAGAAGCCTCAGTATCTAAATATGATATCATTTTTTTCAGTATTTTTTCCAGTCTTTACCTTTATTACAGCTTCCATTCTGTTTGGGAAACTCACTTTCAGTTTCTCAAAGAAATCTGCAGGGATATTTTTTCAGTCTTGGAAGTTGGTTGCATTTTCTGCTTCTAATGATCCAAATAATCCCAAACGATGTTGAGATCTGGACTCTGTAATTGTCCTAAAGACCAAAGATGAATGTTTATCTGATGGAGTCAGTTTTGGGGGTCTACCAGGTCTTGCAGGTGGTTGTTAGGAGTCTCATTTCTCTGGAGTTTTGGAAACTCTGCTTTTCACTTATTTTCCTTTCTCTTTCCTTTTGCAAGTAGACTATTTTACGTCTAATCTCAGAAATATTTCCTGAATAATTAATAACTTGTGCTTAATGGCCGTTTAGACTGTAAACTTGTGAACTGAAGGGTGGTCTTTGACTTTTGCTCAGTACTGTAGGGTCTGTTTCTGCATAATAACATGACTTTTGTTGAGCAATTCCATTCATTTCTGTCTCTCCCAGTTCAGTGTGGCTGCGGGTGCACTGCGCTACTGCACTGAGGGTGTGTGTGTATAAGGGTTACAAAAGCCTGGCCCCACTCCTGCCCTGCGGCGCCGCTGTGGTGGTGGTGGTGTTGTACTCGCTGGCAGATAAACTCCACAGCTTTGTGTGTGGAATCTTCATGCCTCAGTACCACTACCCATACGCAGTGCCTCTCGCCCTCATACAGGTACTCTCACTCTTGAAAATGCTCACTGGAGAGTTACAGTTACAGTCTGTGGCTCATCTGTTTCTGCATAATTTGTCACCTTCCACTATCCCATTTACCTCTGGTCAGTTTCTGACCACAGGACTGCTGTTGATCAGATATTTTTTGGGTGGTAGACCATTCTCAGCTGCGTTGTGTTGCTGCTAGGTTAAGCATGAATGCACTTGTTAAGCTTTTATCCAGCGCAGCTTACTGTAGTGTAGTGTTAGTCTGGATGTCTGTATTTTTCAGATGCTACTGAACCTCCTGGCACTGGTTGGCCTGCACGCTGCAGGCCTGGTCATGCTGAAGCCATTTTCCTTGAGGCTGGCTGAGCGTCTGATGGTGCCCGCCGTGTGTGGTAGTTTCCAGTCTGTCCTGGCCCTGTGGGCAGAGGCCAGCTCCCACTCCGGTCTTTATCCCCTCACTGCCCGCCTCCTGCCTGTCCTCAGCCTGGCCTGGAGCCACCTGCTTGCCCTGACCACGTCCAACAACACCCACTTCAACTGCATTCTGGTTGCTGTCACTTTTATCTCAGTCACCATCACAGGTAGAACCACAATTCCCAGCATGCATCAAGGCAAGAATAGGATGATGATAGGCAGATCTGTCATTGCATTAGTTATGGTCTGAGTGTGTCTACGTCTACTTAAAAATCCAATAACTGCAGAAAATCAGATTTTGTCAGTAATCCGATCAACGTGTTTACATGCACTTGAGTAATCAGATAATGGGAAACTCCAGGTCTACACGAGTCAGGCAGTAATCAGATTTCTGCTTTCCAACCGGCCAATAAACTCACAGAAGAAGATGTGACATAAACATGATGTAGAACTCAAACTTCATGATGTAGCTTTTTTTTAAATCATCACGCCACTTCACTTGAAAAGATGAAGAACATTTAAATCCTTCATTTCGTCAAGCATGTATTTGGTTTCAGTGTCGGCGTCTGTTTTCACACATACGCAGACTGAGAAATCCGAAAGAAATCAGGGTAAGAGTTTACATACGCTGAGAAATCTGATTACTGAGCTAAAATCCAGCTCTCTTTATCAGATTTTTTAATCGGATTTCTAGACCTTACTCCGATCTAAGAAATCAGAGTGTGCTATTTACAAGACCATATGAATAATCCGATTATGATTGGATTATTCAGAGCATGTAAATGAACGAATGTTACCAATTTTAGAACGGGTATTCCCTAAAGGGACAGTCCAGCCAAAATAAAAAAATGTAACCGTGGCAAATATGTTGCGAACATGCTTTCTCACATCCTACAGCGGTGCTGCAGTAGTCTGCCGGAAGGGCGGAGCCAAAGAGTGGCCAGAGGTGGCCAGTGCCACCATAGCCTGAAGCTTGGTCACTTCAGTTCAACAAAATAAGACAATCAGTCTTTTTTTCTCTCAAATTGAATAGTGCCCTTCTTAATGAGCTCTAAATGCTTAATATTCTGCTGCACAAACATACCTTTGCAAACATAACGTTGTCCCTGGAGGGCAGCACAGTTTGCTTGCATCTGTAATTTTCTAAAATGGTTTTGAAACAGCAGCCTGATTGCACTCATGCCTGAACCTTTATTGCCTGCCACTTTCATTCAAAGTCATTCGGCAGCATCAGACTTCAAAACACTCAGGCTGAGCCCCAAACCACGTACTACAGCACAAAATAGTATGTAAAAAAACAGTGCACCACCATTAGAAGTGCATTCCTTGGTGTAATTATGTAAAGCACAGAAATACGTGGGTCAGGACGGAGCCTCAGTAACACTAGCTTATGGACAGGCTTTGATGAATGCAATGGAGGCATTGGCAGAGCTTTACATTGAAGAATAAACTGTCAGTCACTTGTTTCACACAGCCAGTGCAATTAAAACTATCATGATGGCCATTCAGAGGAACTGGAAGCATAATCACAGAGTATAAAGCTCATTTGAAAATCATAGAATGTATAGTACCCTTTTGTTTATTTAGTTTTCAAGTTCTTTATTTTCAGTGTCAGAAAAAAACTATATTTTTACAGTAAATTCTCAACACAAAACTATCAGTTCTATTGTGCACCTGCTGCTAGAACACCAAACCTGGACGTCTGAGACGTTGGAAGCGTGAAAAATATCCCTGATGATTTCTGAAAAACTGAAAAACTGAAAGCGAGTCTCCTGAAAAGAGTGGAAGCTGTAATAAGGGCAGATACTGAAATGTTGATATTATGTTTCAGTGTTGAGCCTTTAGACTCAAGTCCCTATTAAAATATATGAAATAAGTTGCACTGAATGGCTGTTTTGACTGTGAATACAATAAAAGAAAGATTTTTGCACAGAACTGTAGTCTAAAGTAATCCTGAACTTCACACTGCCTCCTGTAAGGTGTGTATATGTTTGTGTTTTCAGCACGTGAGGGCCTCTATACCATCGAGCCGCTGGAGTACTTGTACTCTCCTCTCAGCCTCTTCCTGCACAGCCTCTCCCTCGCCTGGCTAGCCAAGGTGGCTCAGTCTGAACGAGGACACACCTCCATCTTTGATCTTTACTACACCCTGACGGTGACCCGCAGCTTGTTGCTGGGGTTCCTGTGCCTGCTGCACCCGGACAGCCCGCGGGCCATCACAGACGGCAGCTGGCACAGTCTTCTGTTCCTGGGCTACATGCTGGGCATCCTGCTGCTGGGCGCAGTGCAGGTCCTTATGGTGGACATTACAGCCCTGAGCCTCTCTGGCATGGCTGCGGCCCTGCTGCACTCAGCCAGGGGACTCACTCTGCCACTTTACAACCTGCTATAGCACACACTGTGCAATCAGAACTAGGAGTGCCTCCTCTCCAGGATTTCCCTGGATTATGGTGGTCTTTCCAGCAAAAAAACCCCATTTCTGGACAATCTAAGCATTTTCATATGTTAGGATTTCTTTAGAACTTCAAACTGCTTCTTTTCATCTAAGCAAACTGTTGCTTTTGTCCAGTTGTCCAGTATTGGGACAGTTGCTTCAGAAAGGTGTCCTTTTGGTGAAACCTGAGAAGATTAGGCTCCCAGCTGGAAAACACAGCACAGACCAGCATATCTGGTCACCAGCAAAACCTGTATATGTTGTATTTTGGATGCTGGTCAACCAGCATGGCCATGCTGGGTGATCAGGTAAACCAGCACCAGACCAGCGTTAGACCAGCTTAAACCAGCATGGAATGTAGCAAAATATCAAGCCACTGATCAAGTGTCCAAGAATTTTGCAGAGCTGAAGTGGCAACCCTAATCAGAGCAATGACTCAAGCTCAAGTGTCCATTCACATTTCAGCCCGAAGAGCAACACTCACTACACATGTAGTCATCAACCAAGACAAGTTTGCGTCTTTATTTCTAGAGCAATGATGCTAATGTAGCTAACAAGTAAGCTAATACAGCACAGTAGAGTAAAATGCATGCTTAAAACTACACTTATATTTCAAATTTCTGCTTTGTTTCAACAGAATCATTCAGAATGGTTTGGCATAAAATGCTTTGTTCTAGAGAAGCTTACCGTCAGAATTTCTTACAGTGGTGGTGATAGGAACCAGATGGCTGAGGAGTTATTGGTTATAAATACATTGCCTGATGTTTGAGACATTGTTTAATGATAATTTTGTAATGAAGTTTTTGGTCTAAAACATTTTAATATATTTATATAAATCAATTCATGGTGGAATGATACAAGACCCCCTGGTTTCTATCACCACCACTGTAAAGAAATCTGAGTCAGCAAATTTCTCTACAAATCAACAATTTCACATTAAACCACTCAGTTAATTATGCAGAAAGTTTGAAAAGTTGGTGGAATTCCCCTTTAAGTGATCATACACTTGCTACAAACCACTCCAAGTTATTAAGTAACCCCAATCAGACTTGCTTACATGGTTTCTGGCACTGTATGACATACTGTATATGTAAAAATGGATGAAAGTGTGAACAGAATTCAGGATTCAAGATGGCTTCTACACATTTTAGAGTAAGTGCTCAGATATGCCTACAGCTGCTGGCACATTGGTGACAGTAACAGTTTCCCTAATAATAATCAGAGTAGATACCAGGTTTACTGTGGTCCATCTTCCAAAAATATTTACCCAATAGCAGCTCTGTGGTCAGAACCTGACCTCTGATAAATAGCTACACAAACTGTGCATCAGCAGATGAGCTACAGTCTGTAACTGTACACCAACAAGGTGCAGCTACAAGGTGGACGGAGCATGTAGAACTTTCAGAGCCGCCTCCACCTCACAGCAATAAAACGTAATGATGCATTGGTGTAATGTGGCAGTAAATGCACTGATGTCAGAGGACAGAATGTGAATCTGCCAGCAGTCAGGCTGAACAAATAGGGCCACTGAGTTTTCTCTGCTGAGTGCTAATTTAGGTTTATATGGCCAGACCCACATTTGTGTTTATAGGTGGTAATTGCAGGTGAGTTTGACTGGGAAAATGATGTGTGTCCCAAAAAGCAAATACTAAAACTGTACCTCGGCTGTCATACAGACTGCTGTAAAATATTATAGCTTCATTAGCAGATAAATGTTACTTCAGATAACATTACAAAATTACATGTAGAAATGTAGTCAAGCCAAGCATTTTCCAATCATATATATATATATATATATATATATATATATATATATATATATATATATGTGTGTGTGTGTGTGTGTGTGTGTGTGTGTGTATACATAGGTGCACTTTGTAGTTCTACAATTACAGACTGTAGTCCATCTGTTTCTCTGTATACTTTGTTAGCCCCCTTTTATCCTGTTCTTCAGTGGTCAGGACCCCCGTGGACCCTCACAGAGCAGGTACTATTTGGGTGGTGGATCATTCTCAGCACTGCAGTAACACTGATGTGGTGGTGGTGTGTTAGTGTGTGTTGCACTGGTCTGAGTGGATCAGACACAGCAGTGCTCACTTAGCCTCACTTATTGGCAATTTATCAACTCTGGGCTTCCTAAACTTATAAAAAAAATGGATTCTCACCATAAACTAGCGCTAGTTTGGCTGCTGATTGCATATAAAATGCTCTTAAAAAGGCAATTTATCATTAATATAGGGACAGAAGTGACATGATAGTGTGCAATTTGATCAAAAAGCTCACACACAATGACTTTTTGAGTCTTTAGAAATATGCCAGTGTATTTGGAGACGTACAAGTGGCACAAAACACACAAGAATCTTTAAAATCAGCTTGAAAACGCTCAAAACACACTATTACTACTTATTCTACAGTGCCGCCATGATGAAATGGCGTCACCAAAGCACAACTCAGAGAAGGCTGCACCCTTAAGAAACCGTGTGGGAATTACAAGCTGACCGTTTGAATAGTTTTTTCTACTTGGAAGATTCAAACTTCCCAGTTTCCGCTTGGTAATGAAATTCAAGCTTCAAAATGCCTGATACTGTTATTTTTAATAATTGTTGAAAGCTATAGTGCATTTATAGAGTCAAAAAACACATAAGCGAGTCTACTTGAGATTACTTAACATCTCAACATGGTTTGAGGTAAGTATGTGGTGATTTAGTACGCTGTTAGCACAATCCTAATTGTTGGCCTATAAGCTTCCATTACTTGTTAGCTACATTACGTTAGATTTTTCCAGTGGAAAACTAAAGAAGCAAACTTCAAACATTAAATGTGTCTTAGCTGCCTTACTTCATTTGGGATAAAGGGAAATATGTGTAAATTAGACATTTTTATTACCTATATTACCAAACTATTTACTGAAGATAATCATCTGCTGCTAACATTGTTTTCCCCAAAAACCTGAATTCAGTCAGGTACAAGAAAAGGTCTGATTTGACACTAGAGACGTGAGAAAGGCGTTGTCAGAGGATAAACGGCCAGGATAAAATCAGCAATGATTGACTCTGCGGTATGAGGAATCTGGTTAATGTAACACCACCAGCAATCCAGTTTATCAGTTTATCAGAGAAGGACAGTTAAAACACTGTGACCCTTTATGAAACTACTTGTAATTAAATATTATTTATTTGATATAGTACTGTAGACAAATTTGTCAGTGAATCCAAATGCTCCAACACATTACGAAATACTGTACAAAAATACACATGCATATTAGAAAACAGTGTTGAAAACCTAATACCTTAAACTGTGTAACTTTGAGAAATGTTACTTTGAGGTTTGCCCAAGAAAATGCAGACTAGGTCAACATTCAGTCTTTCTGCTCTGGTTGGCTCAGGACTGGTCAGCGTCAGGGGGCAGGTGGATGCCCAGGCTCTGCAGCAGGTTAGAGGCGGGTCCAGCAAGGCCGGCCTGTGAAGCCAAGGACTCGAGCAGATTTGTGACCAGGTTCACATCCACATCCAAGGGCTGGAGCTCCTCCTCTGCTGGCTCTGAGCTGCTGGCTGCATCTGCTCTGTCACTGCCCTGTTGGAAATATTCAACAAGGAATGTTAATACTAAACTAAAATTAAACTTTACAGATTATGCTACTAAAAATTTTCCATGGGAAACGCATGAAAACCGAACCTGTCGAGAAATCCTAACAAGAACTTAAACATGTCAAGTGAGTACTACAAACTTACAAACTTTAAAGGGCCCATATTCTACATTTCTACATTTTGTAATGTTATTTCCCCTCTTGAAATCCATGTATAAACATATTGTGGTTTTATGTCATTTAGTTTTTAATCTTCACATTTTCTAATCCCATCTGTTAGAAGTAAACAGGCTATTTTTGTTACTGTGCCTTTAAGACTGGTAAAAGTGCCCCTTATTGTGAATCATTCAAAAAACCACACACTTTCTACAGTAACAACACTCCTTATCACTCCAGCAGGCCAACCCTCTATTGGCTGAACGGACAGTCACACATTTAAATGCCTTCATGGCTGTGACATCACAACCATAATGAATTCAAAAGATGTTTTTTGCAGCTCAGTTTCTATATACTGACTGGGGAGTGAACAGAAACTATAATAATCAAATTCTTATTTAAAAAATGGAGAATTTGGTTTTCCATGAAATGGGCTCTTAAAAATGTTCAGCATTAAAACTTTAGTTATTAGGTTTCTCACTTTGCCATTGCGGGTGAAGCTCTTGCCGACGTTTGTGGTTTGCAGCTCTTGATCCATTTCATCCATGTATCTCCTCAAACTGCCCAAAGCTTCTGCTCCTGCTTGCTCTCGAGAACCTACTTCTTCATCCTCAACCTCATCCTCCTCATCCTCAAAATCATCCGAATCCAGCTCCTCATCTTTTCCACCTGTAAAATGATCATGACTCTCTAAAAATCATCTTTAAACCTTTTGGTAATACTATAAAAAAGGTATTCATATGTTATATCAAGGGGAATCACATATTACAGAATATTATAATATTCAATCACAGAACTATTTATTAAACATGTTAATTTCATATCTATAATGTTCATCAAAAGGAAAGAAGTTGGCTCATTGTATTGACATAATAGGAACAGAGGCCCAACTTACCAAGCAGTCTGTCCATTGCACTGGTCACTCCATCAGGGTCAAAACTAAAGGGTTCTGACAAACAAGACCTGAAACCCAAAGGTCGGCTGTTTACTGTTTAACCCAGAGCATTCAAACACATTCATGAAGTATTGCTGCAGTGTTTGAAGTGATTTATGAAGTACTATAATACTGTAAATATTGTTCTGGACAGCCAGTGTCCAGCACAGTTTGGTCAGTTCCCTGCTCTTGAACCTGGCAAGCAACAGAGGAGTTAAATCAGAAGTGCTTATGCAAGGAAGTCACCAAACTGTGCTGAGCTCCAGGAACAGATACCGTGGGAATTCTGCTCCTTCATGTGATGACATGGCGTTGATGAAGTTTTTCATCCCCTGCGTCACGGCCACCAGACTGTAGCCAGCTTCTTCTTCTCGCTCCTCTTCCTCAGCCACTTGCGTCCCGCACACAAGCCTCTGACCACCCCTTTCCTCCAGCAACCGCTCCAGCTCCTGAGGACTGATGTTCAGCCAGTCATCACCTGCAGGGGGCAGTAAAGAGACACCTCAATACCTTATACAGCACTTCAGCACACACTGGCACTTGCTGATGTGCTCAATATGCTCAAACTGATATGCGGTTTTCCTTTAAAAATGCAAGGAAGGACAAAACTCTGGCCTCAAGAAAGCTGGCATTACTGTTTTTAGCTATGCAATAAACTTTTGTCCATGTTTAAAGATAGCAGTATGTCTTAGAACCTTAGAAACCACATAAGCAACTCTTTAAGATTACTTATAGGGGAATTTCATAGATTTTTGTTGCTGAGATGTGAACAGTCATTCAGAACATTTTTATGTAAAATAGTTTACTGTGGAGACCAAATGTAAAATCTCTTTATAATGGTGGTGATAGGAACCAGGCGTCTTGATGTCTATAACGGGTTATGTTGTTGGACATAAAATGTTTTTGAGTACTATTTTGCCTTTCAGCA